AATGTTTTAGGGTTGCATTTTTTTGGGTCACCCTGGAGATCAGTACTTTTTCCCGTAATTACGAGTGAGTCATATAAATTTCTCTATCCAGAGGGCGCTGTTGACCTCTAATTTCGTGAGCTCTCATTAGGTAAATTTTGTTTGACCCTTGACCCGTGATCCACAATCCACGTGCAGTAGTTTGATACCCACAATGCTTTGCGCCGCCAGCGTTTCCTTCACAAACTTTTGTGAGAGATTAACGGTTATACCAGCTACACCCTCTGATAGGGCGGAGAACACGAGCCAAGTTTTCCTGATGGAAACACTTTGAGGATAGGCCTATTTCTTTTTCTTAAGAGAAAAAAAAGGTTATAATATGCGCCCATTGGCTTCGAAACGTGAATGCGCAATGGCCGGAACCTTTTGTCAACCGATCCTTACTGTCACTTAAACGCAACGATGGAACGGAATTTCTAGAGTCGATAGAGACACGCCGCGGTTTCTCAGTTTTCTATATCTCCCATCGGGAAGGTAAATAAGTGCAATATTTTCCCGCGGTTAACGTTCATGTCCCGCGGCTTGGAGGACTTCATCCCGGGGTTTCCTGTGAGGTTGGATCCGCCCGGACGCGCTCTTGACGGCTGAAGATTGTCTCATCTACCCCATGTTTGTTTAGTAATATCAGAACATGCACGCGCGCAGTACCCGTCTTTTGACAACGCAACAGTACCAAAAGTGATGTCGTTATGTTGTATTTTTGTTTGTTTGGCTTTAAGGCACACCGTGCACACGGAACAAGTGTGTTTTTGAAACCTCGGTACCGTCTTTAACTCGGCTTCAGTGTCATTGGTTTTAAATTCATATTGAAGTTTTTTTTTCCAAACAATAAAAAAGCTCAGCGAAGTCAGCCACAAGGAAGTAGATTTAGTGTTCCGGAACCAAAACTTACTTGAATTAAATCGAGCAAAAGTCCCCAAAGTCCGGGGGGGGGGGGGGTGCTCCTCAAGCTAAGTACAAATGAAGCCGACGTTTCGAAAACCCATTGGTGAGTCATTGTACTTCGTAATGACGAACATGCGTGGCGGTAAACCCAGACACGAAGACATTATGCCGCAGCATTTTTTTGTTTCGTGTGCCCAACTAATTAAGAGTTGCATGTGATTGATCATTAGGCTGCACCAGACATGCACTGCCTACGCTTCAGGTCTGTTAATAAAGGGAAGTTCAAACAAAGTACATGTACGAGACTGATAAAAAATAATAATGGTTTAACAAAGAAGGAAGAACATTTATTATTAATCATGCACATTCAAAGTGCAACATAACTGCAAACTAATTTACAGTGACATTTAAATTAAAGGCTCATGAATCGCGCTGGACAAGTCAAGTCTAGTTTTGTTTGTTGCATGGTTTTTGTTTATTTGGTTTTTTTTTATTAGTTGTTGGGTTTCGTTGTATAGGTAACGTTGTACGTTGGACTGTTGCATGTTTGCTTGTTCGTTTGCTTAGTTGGGTTGTTTGTTTGTTTGTTTTTCATGTTCCTTGAGAGAGGGGTCTATTTTTTATTTTAACATAACGAGTCAGGTCCATATTAGATCATTAAATTTAAAGAAAATCTTGGAAAATATTAGAAAAAGAAAAACAATTTGGAGGTGTGATTTTACAGCATTAATCGAGCCGGTGCAGTAGGTTTTTTCTTCAACTGTGCTTGAAAGAAAGCCAGTTAACAAATACCAAAAGTATTCGAAGACAGCAAAACTAGTGTTTGAAATTGGCAAACACGGAAAGAAATAATTTTGTCGCAGACTGCCCTTGGGGGAGTTTCGCCAGGCGAAGCGAGGCCTGATATGACCGTCAAATTGATCGATTTCACCCGGTAACAAAACGCATCAGTCCCGCTACTTGCGTGGGCCGCCGCGTACTAGCCCGAAACACCCCCCTTTTGAATGAATTCAGAGACGGTGGTGGTTCAGGCGGCAATTTTGCCCCCGCGAGATTCACAAGGTGCAAATTAGTTTTGCCTTTTTAGGCTGCGATCTGCCATCGCCGAGGAAATTGTATCAATGTGCCAGGGCCGGGAGAAATTTGCCTTCGTTAACGTATAGGGAAAATCTGGGTGCACTGGCATGGTGGGGTGAATGTATTAAGAACGGGCCTTGCGGAAGAACATTGAACCGTAATAGATCAAATTTTCAGGTACAGCTGGGCAGTTTCTATCCCCCCACGTAAGGCCAAAAAAGTCTCCGGTTCCTGGTCTGCGCGCGCCGCAGCCATGCGCGTCGGCAAAATAAGCTTTTTTTTCAATGTAAGATGCCTCAAAAACCGCCAAACTCACTGGTTTGATTGGAATCCTACTACTGCAAAATTTTAACGTGCTTTTAGATAGGGTTACGATCGAGTATAAGTTTTATGCAGCCTCTCTGGGCTCCCATATAATTTGCACTAAATTTAGTCGGGCACCATTTGCAGACGGTGTTGTAATTTTTTAATTGTGCGTCTGGAAGCCAGACCGAGGGAGCGATGGTCGTGTATCTAGAACCTGTAAGTAAATAAACTTCCATAGACCCCAATGATAAATGCTCTAACTTCAGAAATTCGGGAAAAATACTCACAACTCTCCAAGGTGTTTGAGACACACATCAACTTAAAGCTTATTTCATCATCTTTCATTTTCTTTTCAAATTTTTTTTTTTGGGGGGGGGGGGGTCAAATGATGACTTTTAGGAGAAATGTCCATCCGAAGATGATCACCTCTAAAAATAGTCCTGAAGCCCATCGCCATTTTGAAAAATTTTGGCCATATGAACTGCAGTTTGAAACGGGAGACTTTTGCATCCTGGCAAAGAATAGTCTGGTAAATAAATGTTAATTGTTATACGAAGACATCCGTATTCTCGTACTCTTGCGATCCTCCAACTGGAAAAAAATATCTTGTGAAATTCGGACTTGTTTTTAAATCTTAAGCTATGCACAAACGGAACAACATCCAAGTTGCCTGATTCCCAAACTGAATTTTTCAATATGCAAACCTATATTTCTGCGGTTTTTAAGCTTTGGCAGGAGCGTCTACATGTCACTTGGTGGTCGGTCGGTCGGTCGGTCGGTCTGTCTGTCTGTCTGTCTGTCTTTTCTAGAAAATTGACAAAAAATAATTGACTTATTGACCAAATGATCGATCGATGCGCATGCGCGTTTCTTTTCCCCCGAAAATTGACGCAAATAACCCCATAAGTTTCCAACAAAATATATAACTACCAAAATTTAATTTAAAAAAAGCAAACAAAATTATTTAAATATTTAACAAAAATAGTGTATAACAACTCGGAAAGATGTTTAAGAAAAGTTTGTAAATGCAGGCAAACTAGTATGTGCAATAATGTTATAGTCACGTGGTATTTATCACAAATCGCTATAAATCTGGGTATATACATCTAAAGTGTGGTTCTCCATAATGTGCCATCGGTGTCACATTTTGGGCGTCGCTCTGGCAAGGATCGTTTTGATAGATTTCATGCAAGACTTTCATGCAAGACGGCCAGAGCTTATTGTGCACTCGCACTCGTTTTTGTTTTTTTGTTATTCGTTTTAAAATGGGCCACATTTTGCCCTTCAGGGTCTGTTCCATGCATCCCATAGCCAATTTACATCCAATGGAATTGCTTTCCCCAGCTGATGTTAGTTAATAAATTCATACCTAATTCTACTGTGAAACCTGGAGACTGAATAAAGCGTATACAAGTTCAAAAAGTGCATATAAATAAAAAATCACAGCGTTCTTCTCAAACAAAATATCTAGCCCATGTCGCTCAGGAATCATCGCACTTCGCGTACTATTAAGAACTCCAATGTGTGTACTGTTCTTATCGCCTTTCCCCTGGTTATAGTCTCTTATTTGATCCCGGAACTTCCCCCTTTAGCCGTATCCTCGCAAAACCCACCCGGGAATCCCGATTAATCTCTCGCACAGGCCGCTATAGATTGTGCCAGAGAGCTTTCCGTTATTAAACCGATCGAACGGGATGCTTTTGATATCACCCGGACCAGCAGTACGCGCCGAGTTCAACTATTATCGTAGGTAGACGTGACAGGGCATATGGGAATACGTGTGTAATACATGGTAATACTTCAAAAGCACTTCTCTGTGAATGGAGGTGTGGAAATTGGATCGACTAGACTTGATTCAAGACGATAGTTTTGTACCAGTGCCCAATGTCACGGGACTTTGCTAAAAATTTTGCTCAGCACTTGTGTGTTAAGCATGAATCACCACGGTTGACCAGTCATAGGCAATTCATTGCATTTAAGCAAATACTTTCTGCGCTAACCAAAATATCTGTGGTTTAAACAGCTCCCTAAAATTGGCCCGTTCCGCAGCATCACATAGCATGTCCCTTCCAGTTAGTCACGATGTAAGCTTACTGTGTGTACACAACATGCCACCGTGACCAGCCCGAGTAATTACCTTTACACACAAGCCTCAGTTAGCGGACAGTATTCATACCACATAGTTACCTGGCGGGAAATTACCGTAGCAACTGAATTAACATGTGACTGGCGCGGCGTTCTCTCTGGTGCTTTGTCCCTGGCCCAAATGTACTCAAATAAGACCAATTGTTTCCGTTCTCCAGTTTGATAGAAAGTCCAGTGGAATAAATGCATGGGGACTTTTAATTTCCACGGTAATGATGGTTTTGCTCATCTTTTTACATGCAGCGTGCAATGTTTCATCATTGGTTTCCAGACGGTGACAAGAGATTCCGGCGTATGATATTTGAACCGAAGCATCAGCGCTTTCATTAAAGAGATTAATGCAGTCTCTATTAAGAAGCGACAAGTGAATTTTTCTAATAGATGTTCGGCGCAACGCCATGTGGAAGTCTGTTCGGGATGCAATATGCACCAGTGAGTTGGCTGCTAACAGTGATAACGCGATGTTTGGGCGTTTGGGAAAGGGGAACTTTAATTGAGAGACATTCTTACCAAAAAATGATCGAATGCTTCAGTCATGCCCACTGGCAATGACTCACCCGGTCGAACCAAGCAGAATGTGTCAACGAAATGTAATAAAGCTTTTTCTTTGTCTCTTCACTATAGGCGACTTTTTCATGCTGGTGTACAGCATTGACAGCATGGAGTCCTTCCAAGAAGTGCGCCGCCTACGACAACAGATCGTCGACACCAAGAGAAGCCGGAAAGGGACCAAGGCCGTTCCCATGGTGATCGCCGGAAACAAGACAGACCGGAACGAATACCGGGAGGTCACACTGGACGAGGTCAAGAGGGCTTTCTCTTCCGGTCGGAGGGTCACGTGTCACGAGCTCTCCGCCCTGGACAACTGTAACATTGACGGCGTTTTTCGCGCCCTTTTCGAGAATGCCCGCCTGCCCAGCGAGATGGCGCCCTCTATGCACAAACGGGCGACGGGCGCCACCTCGACCAACCTGAACAGCGGGACGAGCCCGAGGGGGCTGTCCCTGCGCAGGCGCATCAGCGACGCGTGTGGCATCATCTCGCCCAACGCACGACGACCCAGTCTGCGCAGTGACCTGATGCAGGTCAGGACCAATGTCTTGCGTGAGGAGCATCATCACAATGACGACGAATACGAAGACGAGGCGGAAGGCGATGACACTGCGTCTGGTGGGAGTACCAAGAAACGCGCCTGTCTCATCCAGTGACGACAATGCATCATCAGGAAACTGCCTGCGATTTCCAATAATAAAAAAAACACTTCGCATTTGCTAGCCATTTTTCAAAGCCTTAATTGTTTGTACACAACTCATTACCAAACTTGTATGCAAGTATATCTCGGCTCAATGAGGATAATGTGCATGTTACCCGCTCCTATATTATGAACTAGGAGCAAAAGCCTGCTGCATGGACACCTACAAGTGAAAAGGCACTGCTTCAACCTCCGTGGGCGCTCAGCAAAACATTATTGACTAAAATAAGCCTGTTTCCAAGGTACATACGAAGGCTGCACTTGCCAGAAACAGAGGCTCTTTTGTCTCCATCAGTTTTTAAATCAAGGGACAGCGTATTGTCTATTTTAACAATCGACCCTTTGTGGTGTCTTCATTTTGAATAATTTTCAAGTGAAATTTTTTTTAACAAGCATATGGCTGCGTTATGTGGACTGCTTGGAATTCAATGTGAAGGTCAAGTTTAAACAATTATGACAAGTCATAAGATAAACAGATGGAGTCTCGAACCCTTTAAAGGGGCATTACGGCCTGAAATCTCCGTAAAGTTTTGGATTGTTTACTTATCCTATTTCAAAGGTCTGGTTGAAAGGAAACCAACTTAATGCTTACCGTTCCCGAGAAAAGACGAAAAAAAACCCCAAACCCCTGGTTGTTTACATCGAACGCGGCATACGTATTTCAAGCCGTGTCTATTCAATGAACTGTACACGGTTGTGTGAGTGTCACATAATACACACAACACCAATACGCAAATGTTGTTTCTCGCACGTCCGCAGAATGCGAAAGACTGTGCGGCAGGATTCACAATAAAAAGCACTGAACAGCTCGATTTTTGAGAGTCAAAATGTTGACCCCGAAAGTTCGTTCTCGCATGGTTCTCACAAGAATAACCCAAATTCGCCCAGTTTTTAAAGGAACGTTGTGTGGACGTTTATTTCATACTTTTATCTGTTCTTTCCAATTAATATAATTTCGTTTAAAACGCGTTTTGTACGTATCCCACTTGGGCGCATTCCAGGCCGTAATATCCATTTAAAGTTTAAATGTGCAAATGACAAAATAAGTGTTAAAAAACCGCCTTGAGCATCTCCGCTTGTCACGTCAGTCGCCGGGCAAACTACAAGTCACGAACTTCACGAAAGGTCTTCGCATTACATCAGCACGAGTATTTTGAACGATACTGCACCGCTTTACCAAAAAAAGAAAACCCGCATCTGAATGCAACTTCCCTGCGCACCTGCACTGTCGCCGTCTGATCTGCATTTGTACACAAGCGCGTATGTATCCTATACTGCATAGCGGCGGCGCGGCCCGTCGTGTTTAATGATCGCGGCAAGTTAAAAGCCCCACCAAGTGATCACAGCGCTCGTAATTGTGTCAAAACGCAATCTCTCCAAAAGGAAAGAGGTATCGATCTGAAGTGGCAATCGTTCAGATATTTGCATCTGCCACTGCCAGCCTCCCCTCTCCTCCCCCACACGTACACTCGTCCCCTTTCCCCTCCCGATTACTTCACTTCTCCCACTCCCCTAAGTGCCGTGACGAGATCCGTCTGGGGGTTGAATATTTCCCCATGATCGATGTCGACATTCAACGACACGGGGAAATGGTACTTCAGACTCGGAGTGCGGCACCCGTGGGCAAATTTATACATGTTGCTGAGCATGAAACCGTCTAAAAAGAGTGTCTCGCCGACTTGCAAAAATCTAGGTGCATTGCCAGCGACTGTGTGTACTATCTACCACTTGATGTGAACACACCGCCCAAAATACAGTGTCAATTTATACAGATGAAAATACATTATCTACGGACCAGCTGCACCTCTTGGCTATACTTTAAAATGATTATTAGCCATTTTCCCTCTCTCAACTTGAACTCAATCGAACTCAGCCTGTAGCTAGCTGTTATTACGATGAGTCACTGTCTGTTGTTCGCGGATACACTTCACACTTCAAGGACCGCAAACCATTCCCTCTGTGCAGACCTTACCAAAACAGACTCCGCAGGTAGCAGTCGTCGGCTTTGAGGGATTTTAATCGTGACTTGCCAGTAATTTAAAACATCAGAAGGGTGAAATCGCTGGAGACAATCCTATCTCGAAGACAGGGGCCATAATATATGAAGTCACAGACGGCGCACTTATAGGTAACATATCGGGAGCGTCCCTCTTGGGGCATCACGGGGAAGAGACGAAATGAAGCCACCGGAAAAACACACACAAGCCGTCATTTTCTCCGAGTCATCAGATATTAAAGAAACAATCCGAGCACGATGTCGAGGGAGGAAGCTTGCGTTTAAGTGACGGTTGATTCAAGCTTAAGTGACTGCTTGGTAAATACAGTTGACTCAATGTGGTTTTGCTTGCGGCGCTTATATGCAAGTCATACATGTAATGTAAACGAGTTCGAATGGAACGGTGCACAGGTCATTGCGTAACATTCTCGAAATATTGGTGTCAGAAGTGGGATCCGGTTGGGTTGGTCGTGAACACGTGACTGTAATTTCTCTAGCCCACCATCTCGGATTTGGCACACTGCTAAAAAGTAATGTCGATCTCGCTACTTGAAGGTTGAAGGTCAGACCATGATGCATCTGGAGCGAAACACCACCATTTTGAAATTAAAAGCGATTTTGGTATACAAATCCAAGGCCAGAGATAAAATCCTGAGCCCAGTTCGTCTGGCTTTTTGGAACAACCTTCCCGAAGTCTCTACATGTATTTTGTTATTTAATGAAGGGTTGCACAGGGGAGGGGAAGGGCTAAGCTGTGATTAAAGCAAACCTAGCATTGAAGAGTTAGAGCTCCATTCTTTCGCAATTTTTAAGGCGTATCTTTCTGGTGCAGCACAAATGGAAGTGGGTGTCAAGCTTATTCAAAGTACAAAAATCTCATAAATTACAGATGCATGTCTGTATTATAATATTGAATCGAGACAGGTGTTATGTAGGCCTGTATAAGTCGAAACAGATGTAACGTAATAGCCATAAAAGAATGGTAAACGTGTCCTAAACCAAAGACTTCCTAAAATTCTAACATTCCTAACATTAAGTTTTGCCCTTCACCGACGTTAAAACACTGTATACTCAGTGTGTTACCTCCCGAGTGAAAGTTGGAAAAAATACTGAGTATACAGTGTTTTAACGTCGGTGAAGGGCAAAACCTAATTTGATTTATATCACCCCGACGCAAAATTCCATCTTATAATTCCTAAAATTGTCGAATGCACAATATTATTGTGTACTGATAGAAAACAAGACAGGTTCAACGCATAATAATTATATGTACAATCTTACAAAGCAAAAACGTGCTGAGCGCCTTTTTGACTACAAACAAAATCTTTTCACTGGTTTACAATATTTCCGTATCTTGCAGTGCTTTTCACCACTTGCCTTCGCTTTTATTTTATCAATAAACATCGGTGTTGCTTAAAAGCCATTACTTGCCATTTTGTGCTTTGTTTCCCTCAAAATAGTACAATTTATTAACGGTGAACTGTTGCGTAGATTTTTCGTAGAAACGTTCAGCAGAGGTTGTCGGTTGGGTACCATGCATCATATTTTAAGTATTTGAATCTTCATTTTAAACTGGTGCCTTGTGTTTCTTCTTCCATTTTGTAACCTATTGGATGTGTTCAAATATCAGTGACTCGACTCGACCACACCCTGTGACTCGACTCGACTGAGTCGACTCGATCTTCTTGAATTAATGACTCAACTCGACTCCAGTTATATCACTTCCTTAAATGACTTCCTTCAAAATACAGTGACTCGTCACATATCTGGCGCAATTATGGTCGTTCCAAGACAAATCCATAAATATTACTATCTTTTGTAATTGTTGACGTTTTAATTGTACTCCAAGAAAGGGTTCAGTAAATTTCAGACACTTTGCTTTAATAGTCTACCTAGTTGTTTGAAAGACTTTTTAAATACTTTTTTTTATTTTTTATTTTTAAAGAGAATAGGACTATAGGTGTCGTATGAAATTTGGACTCCTATGAAATCTAGTCTCTTTTGCACTCTAACCCCACGTGACCTGTCACTGTCGTAATTACGTTCACTAAGGCATGCGTAATACATCCTTCCAGTCCGCATCTCATAGTGTCGTAATTTCACACCTACACCTGTCTAGTGACTCTATACTTTAGGGGCAACTTTATAAATTGCGCTATTTTAAAGCATGCTTCTGTTTATATTCGACCTCCGCATTCTGTCTCTGATGAAGGCCCGGCACAGAGTCTATAAGACTGACCACAATTTGGGCAATCTGATTCCAATGCTTTACCCGAGGGCGATCGAATCCGGTACAGAATTCAATCTCACCCGGTTGTTGTTATTCTTTTAATCAAATTATTGTTTGGAGATAACTAGATCATAGGGTCCGTAGCCAAACCGAACACTCCCGCCGAAAACGGATGCAAAACACGAGGGAAATTATTAAGGTCGTGACTTGAAAACCTCATAACGAGTGAGTGTGTCCCACCGTGACACTCGTTATGAGGTCAGCATTCAACATTACCGCTAATACACATTACCATTAATGTCTCTGGTGTCCCCATTTTGTAATGATCTCGCATCCGGCGAAAGAGACGTTACAGAATAGAGTGGAACATGTATAGAGGGCGCCCTTTACTTCACTCGGATCAAGTTTGAGGTTCTTTATGTCTATGGTTTGAGCTCTCGCCATCCGAAAACAACATTGAATTTGCAGCAGGGACGGAGTACGATGAGTATATTTTAGACGTAATCTGCAACTTTTCAGTTACACCAAGCCGCTCTTCGATTCATTCTAAATAACGTCCATAAAATCTATCGTGCTCAAAATATAACCAACCCCACTCTGCAGATAACGGAGTTGTCAAATCAAATTTGAAGAACAATATCCAGTAAATTGTCCGGCTATACGAACTATAAAACACGGCACTCTTTCTGTTATTGACACAGCGTTTAATAGCTGCGTGCGTGACGGACACGGCCCTCCATAGTTGCCCGCTGCGCAAATACAGATGTTGAAACGAGACAATTCGTCTGTTTGCAAATCTGTTGAAAACTGAAAGATTTATAACTTTGTCTCCGGATGAAAGAGACCTGTGAAACTACCAACTTGCCATTTGAGAAATAAGGAGACATCAAGTCAATTTTTAACCAGCTTCAAATCTATTTTGCGATTGTAATTTGCTGTTGGTGATGGGATGAGGGGGGGGGGGGGTTGAAGTATTTTTCTACGCTTTGAACTCTTCGAGAAGTTTCAACAAATTTCGTCTGGGACGGTGTTAATACCGCTTCAAAACACTCTTGCATCAGTGAGTTTCGTCCTCCAGTTCACTCTCAATCTCAGAAGATCAAACGTGTTTACAGTGCACAGTAATGAGCCCCCTTTATAAATGTTATTGTGATCTTTTACGAGGGTAGTCCGTTTCAGTAAAAAAAAACCTGCTTTCAGAAGAAGCCCTCACATTAAAATTACATCAAAATATAAAAAAATGACACACAAACAAACGATTTTACAATTATCTCATAAAAAGAGAAAGCATCTAGGCCTACTTGGCGAATCGTAATTTCGCAAATTGAAGAGATTGGGTGTTTCAAGCCGGGAATAAAGGGGGAAATTACAGGAAGGGGTGAAAAGGTGGTTCCAGGTAAGATGATTACCAGGCCATCAACCCTGGCTGGGAACGGGCATCCGCCGAGAATAAATTTAATCAATTTCGGACAAATTTCCAACAATGGAGCGTCTTAAGGTCGGAGTGTCATTTGGAAATAAATTGGCTGGCGGCGGGCGAGGGCCGCACGCTGAAATCTATCAGTCACGAAGTCAGGGTATGGTGTATTGTGGACGTATCAGCAAGGTATGGAGATGTATAAAGAGGGGACGAGTGAAAGGGTACTTTCTCAATTTCACTCGTAACCGGATCCGTAATTTGCATTTCTTTCATATCTATCCATAAGTTAATCGTCAAATAAAACGGTGGGGTCATTTCCAGTACTTAACCCCTAGCCGCGGCTGTCGCTATTCAAAGGGTATATGTTATGTCTCAATTACAAACGGTGCGTGGAAATGTAATCTTGCTGTGATTTAAACGGAAACAACGGAAAGTGATATAACTCCGAAAAGATACGGAAGTTACCAATCCGCCGGTCTGCTAGCTGGGGCGCCCCCTCCCGGCAGCTAGCCTGTCAGGCTGTCAACCAGGGTGGGCGGACGGGGGGGGGGGGGGGGGGGGGGGGCAGCTAGCTCAACTCCAAGACATGCATATGGCCAAAACAAAAGCATACCAAAACAAAAATATACAGCCCATGTATCGTCTGGATTTTAGTACACCCTAAATTCATTAAAACAATTATGCCCATGATGTATCTCTCATAAAGCAAATACATACAGATGTAGAAGCTTTGGAAACGATAATTGTTCATAGTACTTAGCCTTGTTTTTGTTTTTCATTTATTTAAAGGGTACTACAAATTGTTATCGCTTACAACTGTAAGTGGGCTCCGATATTTTTGAAGGAAATTTTGGGTATACACATGTACATGTAAAGTAAAAAATGACAGTGTACACAATTGTATAGCGCCACCACACTTGCTAAATTTAACAACAGACTGAAATTTTGCAATTGCAGGACTAAAAAAAAATGACATGTGCAACAAGACCAGTCTGTCCTTTATACCTTTTCTTATAATCTAAGATACGTTATTTATTATTTCTTTTATAGATGTCACTTGAGTATAAATATACAGCTAATTAAACTTTAAAATCAAATTCAACACATAGCATTTACAATTTCTTGAAGAGTATATATTATTACATTTCTAATTATTACGAAAAACACAAAGATATATAAAAAGCAAAGATTTGGATGATGTTCGGTTGTTGCCTGTGGAACACATCACGTATATTTATATGGGGTAGCTTTGTAAAATGTTTACCTTCTGTTTGCATTGGCCACTGTCCCTTTTATCCTGTGCATGAATGTGCCAAAGCAATCATGCCAAAATCAAAGAATTAGCTGGGAAAAAAAATAAACACTACAAAGTCCGATAAACCTAACTTGCCCAAACCAACACGAAAAATTGCCTGAAATTCAAAATTCTTCACATTTTTTTTCAGAACAAATAAAAATTAAAAAAGAAAAAAAAATTCGAAATCGAATTTAAATTACATTATTATTAATTTTTAAAAATCTCCTAACTTACTATAGATTTGTAAAGATAAACATTGAATATCTCGATTAACAGCTGAGAACATATAGCAACATTTTATGATAATTCTCAGCACATGGAAGGCATCTGATAGTGTCCATATTTTCTACTAAAGTTTATTCAATATTCCCTTTGCACTGGATTCAAGGAACAAATTCGATTGTGTAGTAATAATCCATACTATGTGGTTAATTTCACGAACTTAAAGACGAATAAATGAAACCCTCAAAACGTTCTTTTCATAAAATAGTTTATACAACATGAATCATCAACTCTACACAGAAATTACATTTTGCTCTACTACATCTTCTCCCAAACCAAAAATACGTCATAAAATTGTTTGTATATTTGTAAACTTTTACAATAAACACCCTGCACTAGCACTCCACCTGGTAATTTCCCAACAAAAATACGATTTTAGCATTCAAGCATTCCTTGAACCGTCATTAACAAGTAACAGAGATAATTTTGCCTCATTAGTTTCATACACAGCAGAAGAATTCCAATCAAAAGTACCCAAGGAGTTGGGAAAATGATTTTGGCCCAATATCACAGTTCCGCTTACCACAGAATTCCGCACTCATTATCATCTTTCTGTGCTTACAGCACTTGCACAGAAATTCTGTAAGCACAGAATCCCAAGTAATGGGAATACACACAAGCAAGCATTCCTTGCTAACCCTCCATTTTTTTCCTGCTATAATTTGCAAGGATTCTTTGTTTATAGTAAAGCAGTGCCATGAAATTTGGCCCTCATTATGGTAACACTTAGAGAGAGTTTGTAAAAGCACTAAAAATGGTTCACCCCGATGTGTGTTTCACAAGAGGGCGACATATCCACCATTAGAGATTTTGTTGGATCTACCCTAGGCATGGAAGAAGATAGTCTTAGCCCAAGACTGTATTCAGAATTTTTATTCTGCAGCAGTAAAAGTTGCAATCAATATGATGAATCAAATCCAGCTTTGGGAACTTTGGCAGCACTACCAACAAAACTATGAGTTCGGAATTTCCTGGGTAGTGCTGGCAAAGTTTCCACGACTGGATTTTATTCATCTCGTTTATGGTGACCTTTACCTTTGGCTGCGTTAAGGGAGTTAAATACCAATCCAGTTTTGATTCAAGACTAGGAGGAACGCTCACCCAGGAATCATCCGGCTCACGATAGACTCAGTCTGTCTTACTCTTAGGCTTCTCGGAATACTCCGGTGGCGGAGCAGTCTGTAGGGGAAAAAATGATAAAGCATTGCTAATGTTGCTAGCATTGTGACTTTGGGCGCGATCCCTGGCTACATGGCATATACGGTTTTATGGCTTCTGACTAGCGCCCCTTGAACAAAGAAATTGATAAATTAGAGAACCACCAACATAGGGCTGGATAGCTCAGTTGGTAGAGCACCGGAACGACAATCCGGAGGTCACAGGTTCAAACCCAGCTCCAGTCAAATTCTTTGTTCAACATTGAAACGTATTATAATGCTAACAGTCAGTTTCCCTTTGAGGTTTATTTGGAGAAAAAAAACCCCACAAACTTGAATACAGTAAATGGTTAGTTTGTGAGACATTAACAAAGGACAAAGCGGGTTCTCTGTTAGTTTAATCTAGGAACAATAAATGCACAAAAGCTTAACACATGCCCATCCAAGCAAAACAAAACTACCGCCCTCTGACTCACCCTAACGCACAAGGTCTATTCCTAGCACCGATTTCAAGAACAAGAATAATTTGCTTAGCACGTTCAGGTTACCAGACAAAGTTGCAAACTGTCATAAACGGCCTGTAACCGGTTAGCAACTGATTCATGCTTAGCTGATAAGTTTGTTTATAACAACTTCGTAAAAATTGGGCCAAGAACATCATGCAATGTTTAAGGCCCATGATCGGTTCTCAGATTATTTTTGCTTAGCACCAAACAATATTTTTTGTCAGCGGCTTTTTGACATTTGGCTTTGGCTAAATCAGAGAGGTGATCTTTGATCCACTGGATGACATTTCTTAATTTGTGATATGTCCGATCGTAGTGTGGTACTTACCGGAATAGTGGAAGGTGCAGTCTGTGTCATGTAAACGTTGTGTGGATCGTTCGGATTGTAGTAAGCTGGGCCTGCAGTGTATAAACAAAATTAACAAATAAGCAGAAAACTCAGTGCCTCAGTGTACAATGCATAACATGTGATAGAAGTGTTAACCTGGGTTTGACCTTAGCGGTAGCCTGCTCGCCAAATGCGAGTCAAAACAGCGGCGGGCTAGTCAAAACCATTCTCTAGTAGCACGCCCTGGCGAGTCAAAATTAATGAGATAAGGTATGCAACTTTTCAGTGTAGCCGCTGATTTCCGCCGTTTTGTATTGTTTAAGCTGGTCTGAGAAAAAAATAATCTGATACTGACGTACATGTAGCTTTTTTCATGCCGTTGCGCTACCGAGTATTGCGCCAAAATCGCTAGCTTATAAATTAATAAAAAAAAAAAAAAAAAAAAAATGATTGCGGATGAGTGAAAAGGCCTGCGAACTAGTTAAGAGTCTGGTTAACTAGTCCGGCATGCTAGTGAATAAAAAAAAGTTAAAGGCCAACCCTGTGTTAGCAATATCAAAAGATAATATATACAATTGATTTAGGTTTTGGCCTTTTTACAAAGGTCATGTTGTGATCAGTGCATGCTCGGCGCTTAAAGTCAGGAAGGAACACTGATAATTTCCCGGAAAACGTAACCTACAGATTTATTGCGAAAAATCTTGCTCAAAGTGAAGATAGGGATGTCCCAAGTACCCTGTGAAATTATTCAGCCAGAAATGGTTTTGATCGAAGGGAAAACAATCGATGAAGGTATTTTTAAAAAAATGTGCCCGATGGCACACTTTTTTTTTTACATGCATTAGCGACGGACTCCAGTTCAGAGACCCAAAAGTTTGCTCTCTTAAAATAGATTGTATACACTGTGCTGAAACTTCAACAACTTTAAGTTGTTGTGCATTGCGATTAAGAATTTGAGCAATTTTGTTGCTTTAAACAATAACAAATGTCAATAAATGTGTAATTTAACCAGAAAAAAAAGCAACACTGATTAACCAGGAAATTCATGAATAACATAGTTCAAACATTCTTCACAGGGTACGACTGTCTTATATTCTGTCCAACAATAGAATCATGTCAACGATGTTGGTTAGCCCCTGCACTCTGGAAACTATAGAAACTGAACGGCTGCTCTCAACTTTATTGACTCACCTGGAGGGGGTGGGGCTGATGGGCTAGCGTCCGTATAAACGCTAGAGTAAGGAGGGGGTTGATCCGATGGTTGGGCTGCAATAAAAAGTACAATATTTTAATTAAAAAATTTCAGTTCAAAACTACCAAGTTAGTTTTTTCTTATATGTACTACAATACACAAAATGTCCATGAATGTAGCAAAATCAGAAACATGACAAAAATCTTAAAGGTGTACTGACTGTACTGTTCCTCAAAGATTTCAAAAAGCAATTTTTTTTTTATAGTGATACAAACGTTATTCCCTTTTTTAATGAGACATGGAATGAAAAAATGTCTAATTTTGAAATAACTATTTTACAAATTACAAACTGTTGCGGGCCCAACAATAATCCAGTTTTCACAAGGTAGACTGGTTCCTGCCCCCTATCAGGATCAACTAATGTAGAGACTGGGAACTAGTCTATCAGCAGGGCAGACCTGTATGTGTACAAAAGCCTACTTAAAGGTTTCAGAGGCCCAAACTAGAAAATAATATTTTGAGGAGCGCAGACTATACATCTTTAATGTGCTATGTTGTAAAAAAATGAAGAGCATGGTTTAAACCCCCCCCAAAAAACTCCCAATTGATACCTTACCTCCTGGCGGGTACTCTGGGTACACAGTCTGCCCCGGGTAGGCGTAACCACCCATCATGGGTGGTGGGTACTGGGCGCCAGGCATGGGTGCTGGGTAGCCAGCGGTGTACCCAGCACTGGGCTGGGGTTTGGGTGGCTCACCGGGTCTGGGCGGTTGGACCTTGGGTGCTGTGTAAAGAGGAAGAATTGGATTCAGTGAGCAAAGAACAGTGCATTTGTGAGTTAGGTGCACGAACCTTCCTAGTATGATTCTTACACTTTTTTAACACATTTTACACACATTTGTATTAAATTGTATTTACACTTGTATTAAATTGTATTAAAGGGAATGTACAACATTTGCGTTTGCTGCAATTTTCAGAAATAAATGGATTTGGAGGATTAGTATGTTATGGCAAATATTGTTACACTGACTTGTTTCAAGTTTTGGGTTCGTAGATGCTGGAAAAACCAAGAAAACCAATCATATTCTTGAAGTCTGGTTCCCTGACCCCACTTAAGATGAAATGGAGCAATTTATAGACTTTGGGGAATTGTAAGATCAGAGAATCAGTCTAGCAGGCTTGTAGTCTCCACAGGTGTGTAGTCAATTGCAAAGAAAATGCAGACAAACTAAATATGAAAAATTAGGAGCGTTGGAAAAAATACAGTTTTTCTTGAAAATGTCAGCACACCAGGAGCCACAACTTTACAGGATGCTTTAGACTGTCATTCCCTAACCATCCAGTATGGTATTTCGTGATAATTTGATCATTTCTTTTTTTGATGTTTGCAAATGTTGTATCTTCCCTTTAAGTGCCTGTGAACCAGCATGGCAAGGGCTTTTATTTCCAAATGAATGTTCTAACTTAAAAATCGAAACTGTTTTCATTTCATAACTGTCACCACTGTTTAGGGATATTACATACCTTGTGTAGCAACTCTCAGTAATAACTGCCCCAACTCAATGGCACCACCTGACTTGAAAACTATCTTGAATTCTGCTTTAGAATGTGTCTCCCATCCACCTGTCAAAAAAAGAGAAGAAAATGGACTCCATTATTTTGGGGTCTTGGATAGCTAAGAGAATGAAATTCATAGTGTGCAACTCGCTTACCCCCTCTCACCCATACAAGTGTGTATTTGCCTGCAATCGGGGACCCCCTATTGTCCCTCTTTTGTTTGTACTTTAACTTTTTGGAAGACCTCCCATATGTTTTGTACACGATCAGAAATTGGGGATCTCTTGGAATTGTGGACCCTATTGTCCTCTATTGATCAACATCCCCTATTGAATGCAGAAACAAACTCCTCTGCCCAGACCGGTGTACACAACTCATTGTGTTTGTGTCTGCAAGGTGGGTGTAAATCAAGAAAGGGGTGTTTTGTGAGCAGGGGCACAAGGAAGTATTTCTTCCATCTCAAGTCTCGTTCAGTTACTAAAACACGTTACAATTAAAAAAAATCTTTTATATCTTATGTATTCATCATTATTTCAGAACCAAATGTAGACTTTTGTATTCTTATTTCTATTTCTGTTGCTGTAAACCTATAAAATCTAAAAAGTTTTGCCATGTCAACCCGAGAGAAACAAGGGCCAAGTTCGGGCAAGGACCATTAGTCGACTAGTGGTTGATTTGTGATGTACCTTACGCCTGCGCACTGAAAGCAACGTGCGAACGTCTCTAGTCAAACGCTGGTCAAAATGTCATCGCAAAACTTCTGGATCCTGGCTCTCTGCTTGCGTTATGAATGCGCGTGGCTATTGGTTACCAACGATGCAACCAGCCCCAGTAGGTTGGTTCCAAATAGTCGACTAGCGTAGTCAACCACCATCGACTAGACAGAGTTAGGGCAAGCGTTAGTCGAACTATGGTTAACCATTGGTCAACTATAGTCCTTGCGGGAACTTGGCCTAGGAATGCATTTTTCCTACCTCCAGGCTGAGATTTGATGACCCCAGTTATGGCATTAGCTCCAAACAGCGGCTGCTTGATGTCCACATTCTTCATGTAGTAGAAAGGCATTGAGAAGGACTTCATGGGATCACCGCCTTTGGATTTGCTGAGAAAAATCACCTGTAAGAAGGAAAAAAAGGTCAAGGGGGGCAAGGGGAGGGGGTGGGGCATGGCACCCAACCTCCTCCTCGAATGTTGCTGAGTTTATTCTTCACTTTGTTAATTATTAAACCAGACGAGGATAGCAGATGATTGTTCTATTATTGCTGTTATACTCTATTCATCCTCTTTCCCTCAACCGACTCATACAATAGTAACAGAAAGACACGGAAGGGGAACAAGAGCACCCCCAGAATCAAATAAGGTCTACCCCTCCCCATTTCGAATCAGGGGTCGATTAACAAAACAAAAGTTACATGCACAACTGAGATTTGTCCTTGAAAATGGGCTGAAAAACAGAAAAATTTGCATGCACAGGCAAATTTTACATGCACAGAGCCAAAGTTTAATGCATCTGTGCATGTAAAACCCCTCTAAATCGACCCGTTTTGAATCGGCCCCTAATTCCCCCCCCCCAAAAAAAAACCCCCCAAACAAACAAACCAAAACAAACAAACAAACAAAAAACTAAATGAATATCATATTGATTCTGGATCTGAATGTGTTGAGAAAAGTACTTGACACTGTAGTGTGCCTTTCTCATGTGTCATGCAGTGGCCGCTAAGATTCCTAATGAAATTGATTACGAAAGTGAGAAACACCACCCATCTCCCCACCCCCCCTCCCACCAATTAAAAAAGAAGAAGATATCCACGGTTTTTCACTATCACTATTTTAGAATTGTTCTGTACTTACTCTCTGGTTTGTGAGGAAAACAGTCCCTTCTTTTGTCCCTTTGAAGGCCTCATGTTTCGGGGTGATTTCAAAGCTCAAGTCTACCTTGTCCTGTTCTTGCAAAATCCTGTTAATAAAAATATCAGCAAGGTTCAACAGAATTTCAGAGCTCATAAATGGTCAACATTTGAACTAAAAATGACTCTAGAGATCTGATCAGGGTTCTCTATTGCCTTGGGTGGATTAAACAATGCCGGAAATTCTCAAGGGAACAAAGAATAATTTAAGATAATTAAAAAATCTAATAATTGAAAAGTTGACAAATTTTCTTATTCCATTATCTCCAATCTCTCTAACATCCAACTATGTGATTGTCAGAAAATTGTGTTATAATTGAAGACAAATCCATTAGGCTTTGGAAAGCTTAAAACATCTCATGAAAAACTGTGTTTTTAGAGTACATTTTTGATGCACACATCGTTTGGAGAGCCAATCGTGTAGGCAGCCTGCCCATGTTAAAGAGTCTGGAAGTCTGCCATGACCATGACAGAGCACTAGCCAATAACATAGCGATTCCTCTTCACGAATATTTAATTTCTCATGAATATGTCATGAATATTTAAATTATTAAATATTCATTAGTCTTACTTCAACGGACACCTTAAATATATCAAATGATCTCAATGTCGACAACGTAGCGCGTGGATCGAGTGGATTACAACATTTGGTGTGTTTAATGAGGACAGTTTAAGCATCTTGAGAGCTCTCTGGGTTTGATTCTAACATGTCTAACTTCCAAGGGATGATCGTTAAGTAAATAACACAAACTGATTTTTAATAATTAGACAAGAGGGAAGGAGAAGGTGAGAGTTGAGGAGTGAAAGTAGAGAAAATAACAATATACGATGTAACTTTTTGGCACTTCAAAATTATATTGAAAAAAGTAACGTCCGTATACAGGCCAATATGGAATTCTTTACGAAAGTTTAACTGAAAAATCACGTTGATATAACTTTTCTCCAACGGATCAGTAAACTCAAAATTTATTTCAAAACAAATAATTCAAACTTTACTTTAACTTCCTGAAAATGATAATGGTCTTTCAGTGAATGAATTTGGCTCCGAGAATCTTTTCCAATTTTGGATGAAATACTCGGAAAATTGTATACATCATGAATGTGGGCCAGTACTTTAGAGGACGTTCCCACAACCACCAAAGCGGTGTGAGGAAGCCCAGTTCCCCCCCCCCCCCACACACCCGCCCCCTTGATCAATGTTGTTGTTTTGGTTGGGTAGGTTTGCCTACGTCATTTGGTCAGATGACTCAGTGACTTCGTTCATCATCGACATCGTTTAATCCCCGATTTTACATCAAATAATAAATACTTAAAAACAGAGAAGGAGTTTCAGCATCTCCACTACCACGAGAAAATGACAAAATATTCGACAGAATATTCACCGTTCTCCGTTATAAAGCACAAGTCCGTTGCGGATGCTGTCACTGTGGGCTGTGTTCAACGCCATCTTGCGAAATCTTGTTTTGGATGATCGATGACGTAATACAAACTTAACTCCATCGAGTAAAGGGCGATTTGTGAGCTTGTACAGCGCCACCACGAGTTCTAGGAAAACGAAACATTTTGCGGGTTTCTCGATGGTGCACATCGCATTGGGACCAGCGCAAAAGTACATGGTTCACGCTTTCAAATGCATTATATTGAAATATATTTGCGGGAAACCAGGGATAAAAATTTGCGAATGTTTTTACGTTTACGTATTTTAACGTATGTCATTGTGCAAAAGCGAAACACAAAAACTTGATGCTGGTTCCTCACTCGGTCTCTGTTGATGCGGATTGTGAGTATAAAAATTGTGAGTTTCTATCACTTTTTATGTGAAAAATAGTCCTTTTGTGGAAATAAAAGCCATTGGAATATGGTCATACTGCTGCTAGGCTTACTTAATTTCAATATTGCAGATCAGAAATGACAAAATTACGGTTATTTTGTTCAACATCGTGAACATGCAAATCACAGTTTATTTTTGTTTGCCCCATGTTTGTATTCGGATGTGCGTCATGTACGTCATTCTCATGACAAACTCGCCCCCATAAAGTTGTCATATGTCACTGTCAGTGTCACCGCAGATTAAAAAAAAAAGTGATCCCTGTCACTGCAGAGCATGCAGAGTGAGGGGCAAAGAATGTAGTAAACATGGTAAACGTCCACTATTGAACTTGAACTTGAAGAATCAAACTCTGGCTGCCCCCACCCCCAACAAAAAGGGGAGTAGGCTGCGGCGTATTACCCTAGACACCAGAAAACTCTGGAGAACTCCAGAAAAACACCCGGAAAACCCCAGAAAACCATTGGAAAATGTTTCTTCATTTAAATCATTACTCGTGCACGAAGGTCATTGTTTCATGTGCATGTTTATTAATGCATTTCCTCAAATGTGCAGTTCTATTTGTTTGAAATGACCTAATTGAAAAATTATTTGGAGAAAATGTTGCAACCTGACACCGCTTCCGCAATTGTGTACAAAGTCTATGGACAGTCAAGAAAATTTTCTAAAGATTTCCTAACAAAATTGGAAATGTTTCTTAGTCCCAGATGATGTCTTTATCATTTTTGCTATGAAATACCTTTATTTGAGATGATATATGAAGAAAAAAGTGGCGTCAGGTTGCAACATTATTTACAATTATTTTAACAGAGTAGGCCTATCGTCAAGTTATAAACTTGTATGACCACTGATAAGTATACATTTCTCAACCAATCAGAATGTTTCATACCTAACTATGATACTTACAGGAGTCCAGGATCATTCCAATAAGTCTTCGGTGCACCGAGCGGTCTCTAGCAACCCCTAAAGTAATGTCATGCACCAAAGGATTAAGGACTTCAACCTGACTGCAATTTGCAGTGCACTGAAAAGAAGCTACATTGAAAAACAAATTAAAATCCTTTTTTTACAGGTACCGCACCGGGCAGAAGTTCAAAGCTCCAAGCGAATAAAAAAAAACAACCCACAGACATCCTTTCAGATTGACTGAACCTGTTGAAGACCGCACAGGAGACAAATCACCTGCAAGATGCAGGCAACTAATTTACAGAATTCCGGCCAACGGCAAATGATGGGAGGGGCCATGCCTGTCGGTGTCAGTACATGTAGTTCGTTAATGCCGTCAGGAATCGGTGCCGGGATTGGAGGAGGGGTGGCAGGCATTGCACAGACGCGACTATCGCAGGAGAGAAAAGCCTGGAGAAAGTCTCATCCGTTTGTAAGTGTCAGTTTTTGTCTTCGAAAAAGGCTCAGTTTTTCAGACTTGTAGACCAATCCCTGATGTTCTGAACAATTAAAGCCTTGATTAAAAAGTCAAAGAGGATGTTCCACCATTTACATACAAAACAGGCACGCATGTCTAAGATAATTGTGTCTTCTTTTGGAATTCATTTTACAGACCCTTTAGTTAGTTACTGTCAAATCAGTTCTTCATTTGCGAATATCCCTGTACAGTAAACTTAATATTTTGTCTATTTCTTTGAAGGGATTCGTTGCTAAACCTACAAAGCATGCAGATGGGACGCTGAATTTGATGAATTGGGAGTGTGGTGAGTTTCTTAGTTCAGCTCAGTTGGCAGGCACAGGCACATCTTTTTTTCCTGGGAGGTGTTCATTTTGATGTAAACATATGTTAACTTTCCAACTAAATCAAAATGCATTCATTACCTTGAGTGTTATCTCATTTGCTGTTTTGCTCCATGTGTCCCGTTTTGGGACATAGTTTGTGACTGGGGATGGGGATGTCATAATGCCAGTTTTGTTTACTGAGTACCAATTGAAGGCTCAGTTTTCAAACTTTGATGCGCATGGTCAGTTGAAAAACAAACGAAACCAGTTGTTCCCAAAAGAGTATTCTTTTGATGACCCTCCTAGTCCACTGCACCTGAAAACCCTTCAAGGTTTGCCTCCACCCCCCCCCCCCACTTTTGCCCTTATAGTAAGTACCCACACTTCAAAATCCTTTGAAGTAATATTCTGTGGATAATACTCAGTGTGGATAACTTTTTTTTTCAGTGACGCTCTGTGTTTCACATTTAACACACATTTCATATCCCTGCACCTGAAAGTTTTTAAAAATTGATTTCCCAGTAAAATCGCAGCTTTTAATTTTTAGGTAAACAGCTGCTTTATGGAGGGAACATTCAGGCAATGCCCAGTGTACATATAAAACTCAAAAAGAGTGATATCATTGTTCTCATTGTCTTTTAACATTAATTTTAGGACACATTTAAGAAACTAGTAAATGGAATCAGGTTACAGTAATGCAATATTTCTTTTCTTTTCTTCTGTCAGCAATTCCGGGGAAAAAGGGGGTAAGTTTCTCTATTCTGGTTTTTTTTTAAAATTTAAAAAACCCAACACTTTACCAAACCATTTATTACCCAATAAATTTCAATCTTGAGGTGAGGTAGAAGAGGTGTTCAAGATTTCTTTTGTTTTGGCTGATTGATTTGATAAACCTCAATAAACCCTTGGTTCTCTATAAAGTTGGAAGGAAAGGACACTGACTTTTGAGGAAAATATCTTGCGTATACCATTTAATCGTCTTTTCTCTATAGATTTCACTCGGATGGGACTCGAACCCATGACCTCCTGCTTACTTGTGCAGACGTCTTACCACTCGACCACCGAGCTTGCCAGTATCAACTGGCTGGTTCGAAACGGATATAGGAGCGGGTACCGCCACCAAATTATTCATTCGATGCAAGCTCGGTGGTCGAGTGGTGAGGCGTCTGCACTAGTAAGCAGGAGGTCGTGGGTTCGAGTCCCACCCGAGTGATTTTTTTCTCACAGTCAATAGGATCTTATACGGACAACAAAGAGTATACCGTGTTTATATAAAAAACATGTCGGTGAAGGGCAAAACCCAATTTTAAATTTACATCACCGCAGCGCAAATTCCATCTAATGGATAAGTCCTTACAAGTTCACCTTAAGACATTCAGCCTAGTCACAAGCCCCAAGTTCACCTTAAGACATTCAGTCTAGTCACAAGCTATTCAAATGAACTGTGGCGAAGGCATTCCTTTGTTATTGTTCATCCCCAGTTTCTTGTGACCTAACTTGCTATTGACTTGTTATTTACTTGTGACTGGACTTGTGATGGTCTTGTGATGAGCTTGACTACAAGCTACAATGCTATTGCCACTTCTTAGGAATCTGTGATTTCACCCATAATTAAACATTTTGCATTTTGTTGTTGTTACAATTTTGTATATGTAGACGTCCTGGGAGAATGGTGTATATTCCTTGAGGATGATGTTCAAGGATGACTACCCCTCATCACCACCAAAATGTAAGACATAAATGCTTTCTTGCCTGAAATCTGAAAGTTGTGATTATTTTTGTGCCTGTTCAAATAATTTAGTGTTATATTATCCCAACTTGGACTTGAGCGAATATTCAATTTCGAAATGCACTGATAAAGGTTAACATGTGCCAACCTAAAACTCGTCACCTATCTGGATTTGTTAAAAAAAAAATGACGAAGAGCTTGTTAAAATAATATAAAAAACAGATTGTGGAATGGCTGATGTTTTACCGATTTTCAAGAAGAAATTTGAGCTAATATTCCTCATGGAAGCTCTCAAATCAAGCACGAAAGTGGCATTCAACAAAAGTGTGGCCTTTGACAAACGGAAAAACCACTCGCATTTTTCAGCTATAAATCCATATTCTGATATTCTGTTGGTGATCGAATATTCGAATATGCAGTATATTCTGCACAGCCATAACTTGCAAAGTACTCTTACCTTGATAAATTTGCTGACTGTTTGCTTTCTCATGTAAAAGAAGTTTAAAGATAGAGTATATTTTTTTCGTTTGAAGCAATAAAAGTGCTCAAAATCTAAAGACGGGTGCTTAACAACTAACCTGATGAAGCTTTAGCTCTGTGAATAATGCATATTCCGAGAAGACAATATTCTAGGATCTCGATTTCAATTCAAAAGTTTCTGAATTTTGGCAACTGCGCGCGCATGTGCGTCGTGTCAACACTTCCGCGCACCCATTCATGTCTTTGCCAGATTAAAAACGAACTACTATCGGAAATTTTGAAAAATGCGTCTTTAGACGCATCTTTGGAAATGACCTTCTTTTATTGTTTTCATCCAAATGACAGCATGCCAGGGTGTTTAGTGCCATTTTATCTTTAAACAAAGTATACTTTTAACAATAATTTTGTCAGTTACTTTTTGGATAGCTGCAAATGATATACTCTAATCTTTAAATCTAGATAAAAACAGGAAAAGTTCACTGTAATTGATTGTATTCTAGCAATCACTCCATTGAAACTCTTTTGGTCGCTCTTGGTACTTGTGTTTTAGGTAAATTTGAACCTCCACTGTTCCACCCTAACGTCTACCCTTCGGGCACTGTTTGCTTGTCGATACTGGACGAGGAAAAAGACTGGAGACCAACAGTTACAATTAGACAGGTAAATGGGATGGAAGCATGGTTTCAGATGATCATTCGAAATCAACATCAAATTTGTTTATTTATTTTTTGGGGGTGCTTTTTTGGCTCTGATTTATTGTCTGTAAAATGGTGAAGAGAGAAAATAAACATAGTTATTGCTACGTCTTCGGCGGGGTGATAAGACATGACTCTTTAATTTTCTACTTGTCACATATATTTTTGTAAAAGTAATTTTTTTAATCAATGTAGATAATCAAAATATGTGTTTTAATGCTTTGTGTGTGTGTATGGTGTTTTTCAGATCCTTACTGGGATACAGGCATTACTTGACGATCCCAACATCAAAGATCCAGCGCAGGCGGAGGCCTACACTATATTTACGTAAGTCTGACATTAGCAAAGCTTACTGGTTTCTCTAGCCGAACTGGCAGTGGCGTAAATCAACGTCAATGAAGGGAGGGGATAATGCTGGAAAGAAATCCTGAAACTTTGCCAGACAAATTTGAAAGGTTGGCGGGGAGGGGGTTGGGGAGAGGTAACACCGTTGTTCATAATTTCGTAATAAAATCTTGTGTGAAGGAAACCAAAACATACCTGTGTATAAAAAGAAATTGGTATGATGATTTTTGTGTTGAGATGTTATTTTAACATTCTCCATTTTGAGAATGTTTTGATGACATTGTTCATCTTGGAGTTGACTCGTTTGCAGGGTTTTTGCTAACGTTCTTGCTAATGCTAGTGTAAGCTGGACGCATGCTACATGTACGTCCCCCAGATTTTGTTTCTGTTTCAGGCCAGTTCGTACTTCTCACAAATATGACTGCGAAGCAATTTTGATGTCACGAAAAACATTCACAGCCACATTTGCCCAAGTTGAAATGTGTTCAACTCTTGCGAATTTGCATCGCGAAAATTTGACATGACGTCACAAATTTGCGATCGCATTTTCACTCGCGCCGAATTTGAACCGGCCCCTCCGATTCCATTCTCATTGTATGTTTTCTCTTTCTTTTCAGGAGCAACAAGGCGGAGTACAACAAGAGAATTAGATCGCAAGCTGAACAGTTCAGGCCAACTTGAGATTCTTGTTGCCTCGTCATCATCATCCACAGCCATCCTAAGTCCTTCTGTGTCCTGTTCCTTCGGAAAACTCAGCCTCAGATACTCAATTTTTTGTTTGTGTTTTTTCACTTTTTGGTCATGACTGGTACACATACACACACAGGTATCTCAAAGAAGACTCTGTCCATGACGAATCTGTCCAGAAAACGTTTCAAATCTTGGAGTTTTCTCCTTAGTTATCCAACTAAAAGCAGCAGCTTGTTTCATGTGTAGATGGAAGCCCTGTAGCTTACCCGACCCTTGGACGTGAGAATTTGCCGTAATAGCTTTTATGCCACTTTCACCTCATTGGAAATTGCCTTTCCAAAACAGTTAGTGTTGTTTTGTTACCCTGTTTGGCTCACAAGGAAATTATCCCCCCAAAAATGAAAAGAAGAATTATTGTTATTATTATTATTAATCATTTCTGGTAATGAAACCAAGGATTCCTCAAAAGCGCCCTAGGCACTGTAGCTCGCAAGCCTGAAGAAACCTGTGGACAATGAGAAAAAGTTACAGTTTTAGAGGCGGGAAGAAAAGCCCAGAAGAATATTCTGGGGAAAACCCACGGAATCAGGTAGGGACTGAAAACCCAATCCACATATTGGCCCAGGCGGGATTCGAACCCGGGTCACAGCGGTGGAAGGCGAGGAAAGTACCGCTACGCCAACCTGGCTTTGTAAGAATGGCTTTGTACATGCTCATCAAAATTCACATTTTATATTTTCATGTTTCTGGCTATGGAAATCAAAGCAAAAAACACAAATCGCAGTGATGATTTTTGCAAGCGTGCAGACTACTTTCTAGAATATTGTAAGTTTTTGGATGCTTTTACCAGGGCAGGGAATTTTACTTTCAAAGAAATTACAGAAATAACGTACGTGTTTAGAAATTGCCTGTAGATAATCCATTTTAATTTAATTCTAGGCTGTGTTACAAACTCTTTTGTGGTACATCGAAATTTAGGTAGAACGTACAGGTCTCACATTTTCTAGAAGCAAAAATGAAGGTAGTTTGAGTTTAGATTAAACACACAGGGACACGCTGTGGTCTCTGAAGAACATCACAAAAATACCCAAGTTCTTTTGTGTAAGAACAAAATTCGTGGAACTTCTGTGTAGAAAATATTACTGTATTTATGTTTGTGTTCTTTTGTAGTCCAAAAGTTAAGAGTGTTGTTAATTCTGATGTAAAAAAAGAAACATTAAGCCTTCACGAAAAAACAATATTTGTTGATGATACCTCGTTTTAAGCAAGTTTTTTTTATAGAAGAATTAGAAAGGGAGAATGGAATTATCCAGAACTGTGTATAATTGTAGATTTTTCTTGTCAGTTTAACCAAGAAATAAAAAAGGCTTGGCACTTGTTTTTGTTGGATGGGGGAGGCATGGGGAAAGATTGTTTTTCTTTTTTGCAAACTTTGGGATGTTTTTCTCGAGTGTAAGTATGAAGACCAATCTCAAATCGGTTTCTGATTTGGTCAGATTATTGAAAACAAACATTTCTATTTGTTCAGTCATCAATAACAGATAAAATCACTGCAGGAATGATTAAAACAATGTGGCATGTTAAACTACACTAAATAACCTGAAAGTTTCATTCAAATTCCCGTGTTTGTTCGTGGCCAGAAAAAAAGGAAAACTGTTGGTGTATCAAACATTTTTACGGTTGTGATCGACAGGTAATGTTTTGTTTTTCATAATATTGGGAACTTGTATTTTGTTTGTTTTCTGATTGAATTCAAGCTAATTATGATTTTGGTTTGGTTTCCAGCTGTACATGTTTCCCATTTGTGTGTGGACTCCATTTGTGAACAACAGAGGGAGCCGTTTGACCTGACAATCACAGTGTACATGTATTGAGGTCACATTGCTGATGTGTGTGTGCACTTTGTTTTAAATGATCTACTATGAGACACGTTTTCTGTAGCAACAGCACATTTTTTGTTGTCATTTTCACTCCAGAAGGGTTAAGATGTAATCATTTTTTTTCAAAGTTGAACAAAGACATTGACTGGAGCGGAGTTTGAACTTGCGACCTCCAGATTACCTATTTGGTGCTCTACCAACTGAGCTATCCAGCCCTACGTTTGCAGTTCCCCTTATTGTTAATGTCTTTGTTCAAGGTGTTCAAGGTTCAAGTCCGAATATATACATGTAATCACAGATAAATCAGTATCCGCTTAGTTTCTGATGCTGTTTGTTTAGCACCATTTGGATTGGTACTATGTTCGCTTAGCATGGAAGTGGTATCGCCTCGGAACAAAGCTTACCAGTCAGCAAAGCGACAACTCATAAAATCGGTCTCAAGTTTGTGAGTGCCAAGCAATGGTTGAAGACCCGCTTTTCTGATTGTTAGCAATGTTTTCTTGGTTTTGCATTCGCTTAGAATGAAAACGGTAGAATAAGATTAATTTTCACATGGCTAAGCAGTTGCTCAAACTTGTTTTTAAAGTTTTAAGCACATGATATGAGACCCAATGCTCTGATTGTTAGGGTTCATTGTCAACTGTTCAGTATTTGTTTGCTCCTACACAATCCTCACATTTTGTTTTAGTGGAGTTTGAAGGAATTTGATAGAAAAAGGGGTAATGGAATTCTAAAGTTTTGACTGTTGCATCTGACTCACTCATTTTTTTTTGTACAGTAGGTGTGACATACTTATGTAATATCACCAGATCTCTATATAAAAGAACACTCTATGATGTTATTGCATGTAACTTTTACACATATTGCTACCATTCTCTAGGTACAAATGTAGTTAATTGAATGAGTTTTGACTAACTGTAAAGTGTGTTTCAAGTCTTCTGGAGTAGGTGGGTCTTTTTGGAGGTTTTTTTATTAGAGTTATTTCGAGGGGAAGGCTTTCAAAGATAAATTGCAAAGTACACTGCGTCGGAAATCACACAGTTTCCACATGCGAAGCTAACAAAACAAATATCAGCAATTTTCAATTTCTGTAAAATAAATCAACGTGTAGCTGTTAATTTACAACTTAGGGTAATCTGTATAGATGTAGATTGTAGAAATCGGGGTTTGAAGAAAAAAACTTTCCTTAGAACTGCTGTGACGAACTCATTTTCAATATTTTCTGTGCCTGTATTTCTTTTCTGACTGTAGATTTCTTCTTTTGCGCAGTTACTGCATGGCATGATGGTGTAGACTACTAAGAATATTTTGTACTGAACATTAAATGTGAAAATTAATCTCTGTGTAACACCAAAAGTATGTTTCATTTCTGTTTGTTTGCTAAAAAAATGTATTGTTCTTGCCTTGCTTACGCGCTTCTTGACATATTAACAACTTGTGTTTTTTCCTACGTAAAATAATTGAAAATGCTATGAATGTTGTTCAGGAAGTATACAGAATGTTTGTGTTTGCTTTCATAATTGCTTGAAAATTGATTTTGAGCTAAACATTACATACACTTGTCTCACCATCATCAATGTGGTTTCTGATAATGTTCCTGTATAGTGTTATCAATACTAGTATTATCAATACTGTAGCTATGATCATACATCACAAGAGGAGATTTCAGTAGTTAATAAGCTGCCCTGTAAATGTAGTAGTCTTTTTTTTCCTTTTCCCCTCTGAATTTTGATTAGAAAAATATGCCTCCTTTTTGTAAATACAGTATGTGTTTGATTGATGGTCATGGTGTATGGATATCAAACATTAATTCTCATTTAATCTCCGATATCGATAACGTATGATTAATTTAAATCTGTTATGTTTAGAATGTTGCCAACTTAATGGGATAGATCTTGGCGACGGATTTTACAGCAAGGGCAGTTGATTTGTCTGAGAAAAAAAGTCCATAATCATAAAATCTGTATCCGAAGTTGAAGCACATTTAGCATTTTATCATGCACATTATACCTGACGTTTGTAATATGTAAAAACCTTGGCTCGTTATTTAAACTCATTTTCTGAATCAAATGGAATAAAGAATTCAGTTTATTTGGAAAAGGGCTGACGATTCAGATTATTTTTGTGGCAAGTCAGAGTATTTGTCTTCATTTGTTTAATGCTCTATCATACATGTTTCACTTCAAGATAAAGGGGATTTTTACAATGTTTTTAGTTACGGATGATGAAAAACATCCATATACAAGGTTTGTGCATAGACTAGAATTCACAGACTATATTTTTTCCCGCATCCTGTGAAACTGAACGTTACTCCGTCTAGAATTCTAGATATCTTCATAATTCCAGTTTATGTACTGCGGCTTTTGCTAAGTAATATAGAAGCCTTGGTTTCACGGGAAAGAATAATTAAATAGGAAATAATAAAATAGTCAAATTGCTCGATATTGTACAATTTGAATAGTTAATGTTTAATCCATTAACGCTTTTGTCCGCACCTGTATCGGCCTGGCGGTCGCAGATGCATTTTTTTGTTCCTTTAGTTTCATTTTCTCATTAATAGGCCTATCGGCTAAAATCGTTTTGTAAACAAAAGTTTAACAATTCCTTTTTGTCTTCACTTTCGATATGACCTATTCACATAAAATTAAAGGTCTATTACAATTATTCTTAGCAAGTGCTCCACGCATTTGTAATGAAATTCAATCGAAAATAATGCGAAGCGATGTCAAAGGAAAATTCGAAGTTCATTGGAAAAAAACAAAAACTGTCATGAACAATGGTTTAATGGTTTCCTAGCTATATGATATGACCACTTCTGTGTTTATGGGTGCGAAGTTGGGTGTGGTGGGGTGGGCGTGGCAGCAATGCACAAGCACAGGCAGCGCCCACACTACCCACACCTAGCCAGGATTATTTTTCAGTGGGGGTGGGGGAACCAATGGTTTTAAGGTTACCAATGGTAATGAGAGGCACCAATGGGGGGGGGGGGGGGATGAACCTCTTTTGACGCTAGAGGACGCTCTTTTTCTTATCAATTTTTTTCACATTTCTTAAACCCATGCGGTTCAAGTAAAAATAGTCATCTAGATTTTCTCTTCATTTTTAATAAATCAAACAAATACCTTAAGAAAGACACTTCCTTCAAAAGCGGGAAATTTCAGATTTTTCGATTTTGAAAGTGAAGTTTCAAAATGCTCTTATTTTAACCAGAATTAGTTTCCTTGGCTGAAATTTGAACTTGATATCCCTTTTCTAAAACTCTTCCATTTGCGACGGATCAACCCACCTTGGAAATTCCTAGTTTTTGAGTAAAATCCATATATCTTTTTCGTGAAAACCTTGTGGAGGCCTATTCATCAATAGAAATTTCCCTGTGGAGACCTTTACAATGTTTTGTTCCCTATTGTGTGCGTGTCTCCACAAGGATACAAATTCGTGTGCACAAACTTTACTACACGAGAACAAAGAAATGTCTCCATAAGGATACAAATTATAGAATGGGTGTGTGGGTGTGGGTGTGTGTTCCTGTATTGTATTACGCTCGAGGACAGACAACAAAAGGAGCACAAAGGGGCCATTCATCCTCGAACGACGGTGCCTGTCCTCGAACGCAGGTTTGTGCACTAAGTCTATGGGAAAGGTTAAGATCAGGGAACAAAGGAAAACACAAAGCCAATCCTCGGAAGCATAGCAAAAAACGACATGGGTGTGTGTGTGTGTGAGCTTGTCTTACATACGCAGTGTGGACTTCCGAACAAAAGACGTCCACATAATGTAGGTAGCACCGACGTTGTGTGGACTTGCCCACGTCCACACAGTGTTTCCCCATTTCTGGAAAACAGGTTTAGAGGCATTTTTGGTTAGGTTTATTTGTAGCAGAATGAAGAGAAACACTATAGGGAATCATAGAAAAAAAAATGGGTTGTAAGAGTTTTCACAGTTTGAGAAAAATGAGTTTTTCCACTGGTGTTCCTTAACTACACGAAAAGAAAGGAAAGTCCACACTACGTATGTGAAACAAGTCTGTGTGGGTGTGTGTGTGGGTGTGTGGGTGTGTGTGTGGGAGGGGGGGGGGGGCACTGATATTTGGGGGGGGGGGCACCCTTGGTACGCCACTGCCCACAACCATTAACTTGCCCCGCCGGGGTGCTGTTGATTTAATCATGGAGCTTTTATAGCTCCATGATGGTTTATGCAACTTGAATTAGCGTTGATACTGTATATTTTCCCCATTTTATCGGGGGAGTGGGGGTGGAGGGTGGGGGAGGGGGGCGGTACGGTTTGGGGCTGTTTTTTTTTTTATTCTGCAAATTATTATAAGGCCCTAAAATAACCCGCTTCCTGAGATGGGGTTATTAAAATAACATAATTATATTCTAATTTAAGTAAATATTTTTCACTGTAAAAAAAAAATTGGTGAAAGTCGCTTGACCGGTCAGAGACGACTTCTGCCTGAAATTGTGTGATTTTTACGAGTCGCAAAAAAATCATGTCCCAAAACGATAGGTCATATTGCGCTCAGTTAATGACATCACTGGTATCCGCACAGCAAATCTCATTATTTGGAGCGTACCCTCACGGTTACCAGTTCATGCGCCTCACGCTGCCGCGCCGCGCCGCCACGTCAACTTTGCAGCCATTTTCCGGAGGTTTCGTGTTGTAGTTGGTCTGCGTTTCGTCTAGAAAAAACAACCGCAAAATGAACGTTTTTCGGCTTATAGGAGATCTGTCCCATTTGCTGGCCATTTTAATTCTTCTCTGGAAAATCTGGAAGACGAGGTCATGTTCCGGTGAGTTAAAACTACGTATTTTTTTCTATGTGGTTTTGAGATGTGTTCGTTTACCGGTGAGTTGTGTCGACGTGTCCAGGCTACGCGGCGCACGGACGGTTCATGCCGGCCGGGTGGCCACGTTGTCACCGCTCGGCAGATTTTTAGTGGTGTATCTTGATCTTGTGTACATTGCAAGCCTTATTTGAAAAGTTCCCATATCTGCCCATCACTAGTTTTTCCCCTCGAGCGACTTACGGCTAACAGAAAGTGATAATATATGTCCTAAAAGGTAAAATATAGCAGGGAAAATATTGAAGTATTTACTGAGAAAATACTTAGAAAAATGTTCAGACTAGTCTCAACATGCTCAATACAGTTTGTGCACAGGGTGACAAGTGATGGCCAGATATGGGGTCCTTTCTGCCATATTTTGGCACACATTGTGTATTGCCAGTGTTCTATAATTCAAGAGATCAGACTGCTGTAACTTATTTCGGAAAGAATGAAGTATCTCGACGCCGCGCCACTTCAGTGGTTGTGTACAAAGTCTATGGATGTGCAGACGTGATGGAGTCGAATCGAGGATTCCGAATCAAGAGTCAAGAATATTTTCAAAGTAGGCCTAACGTCCCAACATGCCCAATCTTAAATGGTATTGCATTTTATTAGACCGCTGTATACCGTGACAAAAAAACCTCGCGGTATTTACTTAATGTTGTTTTCCTTAATGTTTATTATGTGCTTGTTTTTTATTTGTCATATTTGTTTGTAAGATTTGTCCTGGTCAAATAAATAATAATAATAATAGTAATAAAACTGCGGTATTATGTTAAGCGGGGTAGGCCTAGTCCGAGTAACTTGGACCCAACTTATTGCCTTTTTAATATTCGGACATGGTCTGGCGATAGTAGGGTCCAAGCTAATCCGTATATGCCGAGCAAGACAATTCTGTCATTGACCCCAAAACCCAACATTGCCCCCCCAAAAAAACCCATCTGATTTCACCCTCAAAACAGCCTCCAAATACTAGATACGCCACCTGAGGTACAAGTAGACATCAATTATTAATATGGTTGTACTGAAGTTTACTAACGATCCGGATGAAAAGTGAAATTTCCCGTTCAATTCCGAGAGCTCCCGTCGTGATTGTGAACACGTGAAATTTCCGACTCGTGTTTGAATTGCGATGTGGTCATCATGCCCAGCGTTCATTCGATGGTCCACGTATCCCGAGTGCGATTCCGTTACAGAGCGCGCACAATGCATCTATTATGATACCACAAAGGTAAATGATGGAGGACACCAAGGCATATGAGCAGTGGCGTAGCCAGGAATTTTTTTTGGGGGGGGGGGGGGGGGGGGGGGGGGCGCTGGAACATTTCATGGGGGGGGCGTCATGTAGATCAATAATTTTTTTAGAAACGCAAAATCTCAGGGGGGGGGGGGCGACTGGGGGGCGACAAGGTTTCATGGGGGGGCTGTCGCCCCCCCCCAATTTTTGTTTTTGTAATTTTTGTTTTAGTCCCACGATTTGAACTTGGTGATATGAATGTGGCCTATTTTTGAGTAGTATAATAGGGGTGTAAGTGGCGCCACCAACGTCAAAATAGTCCCCCCCCCCCCCCCCCAAATAAAACCCCAACTTTTTTTCTGCGGCCAGAAATTTTTGGCATATTTTTTTGAAAAAAAAAAGTGACTTCTAAAAAATTGGAAAAAAATTGTGAGCCCCCCCCCCCACCCAAATCCTGGGTGCGCCACTGCATGTGAGGACACAAACAAGCAAAATAGTACCCATTTTGTCTGTACAATCCTGTCTGTCGCCGCATCAGTTCCGGAACTTTGGTCTGACCAGAGACCGACTATTTTTTGTTGTTGCCTACTCAGAACTAAATATCTACTGAGTGACAGTAGTTATTACCACATGGTGTTACCACAAACCGAAACGATACTAATTTGTATTTGCTGGGGGAAAAACACTCAAGCAAAGACTTGTTTATGTCTAACTTGTAAAAAGTTTATAGGAGTCATGACGTTTGGAAAGAAACTTCTGACTAGGTAACAAATATTTCTGAATTTACATTAATTTTGTCCAGAAAAAGTAAAAAATCAGGCCACTGACTCTAAACCCTTCCAGTTCCTTTAGCACCAACCAGGAGGTTTTGAAGGATTTTGTGGGGTTGAGGAATGTAGACCCCAGCATCCTGTATGTTGCCTAGAACCTGATGCCCTGGAACATTTATCCCGTTGGGTTCCTGTGCAGTGGTGGATTTTGGAGGATTCAGTAAGGTTCCTATCAATTAAATGCCTAGGGACTGAGATAGTGATCCATGATTCAAAAACATGATTATTTCTCTTTGTGATAGGTATTTCCGGCAAGAGCCAGATTCTCTTTGCCCTGGTCTTCACGACGCGCTACCTGGATCTCTTCACCAACTTCATCTCGCCGTACAACACCTTCATGAAGGTTGTCTACATCACGTGCGCCTTCCTCACGGTTTACTTCGTCTACATCAAATTCAAGGCCACCTACGACAGCAACCATGACACCTTCCGGGTGGAGTTCCTGGTGGTGCCCGTCGGTGGGCTGGCCTTTCTGGTCAACCACGATTTCACTCCGCTTGAGGTAGGTGTACTTCTGGACGAGCAGTCTGTGTTTTTGGTTGTTCTCAAAAGTCCTCAAAAGTAAATCCCGAGTCCATCACAAGTCATGCAGTCCCAAGTCAAGTCAAAAGCTATTCAAAGGAACTGCGACAAAAGCATTCCTTTGTTATTGTTCATGCACTATTATTTGTGACTGGCCTTGTGAAAGGTTTTGTGATTTACATGGGACCGGACTTGAGATGTACTTGTAATAGACTTGTGATAGACACTACTACAACATTGCCAGCCATCCCCCCTCCCACCCACACCGTCCCCCCCCCCCCCCACCACCACCGCACGCCAATCTCCACCATTATTACCACATTTATACATAATCTTTTACGGCTTTCACTACTACTCTCTATGGCATCACAACGCATCGCATGTTTGATGTATTGAATATTAGGATTCGCTCTACCTTGTCCCTAGGGTTAGGCATCCATATCAAGGCATCTAGAAGTAGGTATATACCCCACCACCACCTTAGCCCTAACCCTCCAGCATATTTTGTCTAGAAACCATTCTCTAGCCCTAACCCTAGGGTTTCTAGCCCTAACCCTTAGGGGTTAGGGTTAGAGTTAAGGATATTGAGGCAAATTGCCACAACACGCAACAGTTGTCAATGTGACTTGTAAGCCTGCTCATTGTCACGACTTATGAGATCCGTCAGGTCAAAAAATCCAATGGCCAAACTATCTCAGAATCCGTGGTCGCCAATTGCAACTGCATACGACACTGGCATTGTTCAGCGGGGCTTTTGTCTCAGAATTGGTAGTTTATACAGTGGTGCTACCTGCCCGATGCAACAAGCTCCCACAGAATTGTTTCTACCCGTTGAGCTGTGTTGCATCTGGCAGTGATAGGGTCTTGTTCTTTTTATTGTCTCAAGGCCATTCACTACATTCTCCCTGACAGAACACCACTGCTTTGAAATATTGAAATGTAATCCAATGGATTCAACATGAATGACTTCAAGCCAGAGTCCATCATTTGCAGCTATCCAAAAAGTAACTGGCGTAATTATTGTTGAAAAACATACTTGGTTGAAAGATAGTAAGGGGACTAAACTCCCTGTGAAATTATTCTTTCTGGCAAGCTGTCATTCCGAAGAAATCAACGAAAGAAGGCATTTCCAACGGTGCTTCTTAAGAAGCACCGTAGGAAATTCAAATTAGTAGTTCGTTTTGTTATTCGGCGAAGCGCACGCAAGCATTGGCACGACGCACACGCGCGCGCGGTTTCTATAATTTGTCGGATCAGTGCGCGACATCCCGTAGCTGCAATCGGCTCAGTGAGAACGTGTCTCGGACGCTGGATTCAGGCCCAATTCAAAACATGATTCAGCAACTTTTGATTTGAAATCGAGATCCTAGAATGTTGTTTTTCTCAAAAAAAGCAGCTGAAGCTAAACTGAAACTTCATCAGATTGGTTATTCAGTACCCTTCTTCACATATTGAGCACTTTTGTTGCGTCAAACGAACAAAATGCACAAATTACAAATGATGGACTATACCTTTAACATCTGCTCATGTTCCCCTCTCCTTGTTCAGATCCTGTGGACTTTCTCCATCTACCTGGAGTCTGTCGCCATCCTGCCCCAGCTCTTCATGATCAGTAAGACCGGCGAGGCTGAAACCATCACCAGCCACTATCTCTTTGCCCTGGGTGCCTACCGGGCACTCTACATCGTCAACTGGGTCTACCGCTTCTACTTTGAGAGTTTCTTCGATCTCATCGCCATCGTGGCTGGCTGTGTCCAGACAATACTCTACTGCGACTTTTTCTATCTATACATCACAAAAGGTAGGTGTATTCTCTCATGCTTCCTGGCACCTCAATATATGGACAAGTACCGCCTCAATCGGTTGTAAAGGGAGAGTTGGTAGAGACAACTGGGAGGGACATTTGGGCAAATTGCAAATGGAGCCTGACACTCACGCGAAGACACTGAGTGGTTGTGCACATTCAGAATCATATACACGCACATGATGTGTCACTCTCACTAAGACGCTTCAAAATTGTTCACTAAGAGACTTCTACTAGCAAGTGTGGTGTTGAAATACTGTCACCAGCATTTTAGGCCCCCTAAAAAAGTCTTTGGTTTCTGGTATGGAGCTTGCCCCAAAAGTGGTGCGACGACGCAGCTTTTTTTCTTCTTTTTTTTTTACTTTGTTTTCTTCAAATGTCGGCTGATGACTGCAAATGGTGCCTGACTAAATTTGGTGCAAAATATATGGGAGCCCAAGAGAGGCCACATAAAGCTTATACTCGATCTTAACCCCATCTTAAAACATGAAAATTGTGCAGCAGCAGGATTCCAGTCAAACCAGTGAGTTTGGCGGTTTTGAGACATCATCTTACATTGAAAAAAAAGTTTATAATTTTGCCGACACATATGGCTACGGCAACACGCGCGCAGACCAGAAACCGGAGACTTGTGTTTTTATGGCCTTAGCCAACACTATAACACATTACAACCATGACAACTGCCAGACGTTGTGCTCTGCTTTTACATTCCGTTATTTTCTCTGACCTGGCTGCAACTTGTGGGTTTTTTTGTCTTTTTTTCCCCCCTTGTACTGGGTGGCCCAGTAGGGGTAATAATACAATAAAACACGATTGGAACATTAAAATTGATAATCAAAGTGTGATTTTGATTGTGATCAGTTAAAAGTTTTTATGTTAGGGTTGTAGTGATAAATTCCCCTACAATATCCTGGTACAAAAATCTGTATTGTGACACATATTGTATTGTGATCTGTGCATCGTCATAGGTACAGCATCCTGAAAATTGGTATAGTAATGCGCCCACCCGCTCCAAAATTGTGTTTTGTGGTGCCAAGGTTCTTGCCTTTTATACTATGATTTGTGACATAATGTACACAGGCTCCGTGCCCTAACAAGAGAGTGCACTTTTTGATCACTTTCAAGGGCCACTTTTGTGACACTTTTGAGAGCAATTTTTTACAAATTTTGTGTCGCGAAGTACACAGGACTAATATTTTCTTGAATGTGCACATAGCCATAGCATCTTCGCATGATAGTCAGGAGTCGTCGGCAGTGCGTTTGTATGTTTCTCCCAGTGGTCTCTCCAAACTCTCCCTTTCTTAACCGTTGAGGGGGTAATTGTGCACGGAGCCCATACCTCAGAGGATAGTCTTGCCACAAACACTAATTATTTCAAATGGAAAATTGGGAGAAATGCAGCATTGTATAGGAGTAGTTCAAATGCCTGTGGTCGTACCTATTGATGGACACAGTGGCGTTGCTGTGTCATTGTTTTCAGATGAGCTCATGCCGAAAACTGAAAAACAAATAGGCTACGAGTTGGACATTTAGCAGGACCAGGGCGCATCATGGGACATCGGGGAGCTGTCTTGCAAACAGTAAGCCTACTCTTCTGCCGAGCAAATTGGTAGTGGCTAGAGTAATTGAATTGGGCAAATGTGACGATGTTCCATTCACTAATCTATTAGCTTGCTAACCGTGGTTCGCTGGCAAAAGTTTTGCTTGTCTGAATTGTCTGTCTGAACCCTACAATAGCGGCGTCAAAGCGCCCTCATTTTTCACGAATATGGCCCATTGCGAAATGAATCCAATCAGCTCTTATCCTGTTTGTGACATTTTAATAATTTCACGTTTTTCTTTTATGTCGCCCATCTGCAGTTCTGCAAGGCAAGAAGCTGTCATTACCAGCATAAATACCACCTTTCTCCGCGAGTTCTCACCAAGCTCGCCGATTCAGCTCAACTTCAGTAGACTGTCGTCAAAGATGGTTTTCAGTCTCTTCATCTTCAAACATAAAATTCCAGAGGAATGTTTTTTTTCATTTGGGGTTTTTTTGTGTAGTTGTAAAGTCACTTGCCAGTTTTTTTATTTCCTATTCTGTGTAACGATAAGTTAAGCATGTTGTGCCTTTATTAAGCAGTTTTATCAGACTCGGGTGTTTTCCTGTCGGTGTTGTGTTCGAGTCCATCACAAGTCCTTTCACAAGTCCTTTCATAAAACCAGTCCCAAGTAACTGGATGAACAATGACAAAGGAATGCTTTTGTTACAGTTCATTTGCACAGCTAGTGACTTGACTTGAGATTGAAAGACTTGTGATGGACTTGTGATGGACTTGTGATGGACTTGTGATGGACTTGTGATGGACTTATGATGGACTTGGGATGGACTTATGATGGACTTGGGATAGACTTATGATGGACTTGGGATAGACTTGTAATGGACTTGGGATGGACTAGCAGCAGGCATGTAACTTTTCCTCGGAACAGCTGATTTCCTTGTTTTTCACTTCACACCTATGCCACTCAAAATTGAAAAACACTGTACAAAGTCTCGTCAAGATTGGAGTTTCCTCGTTTTTTGTTTCTTCCAAGTTGCATGCCTGAAGTAGGGACTCAAATGCAACACTGTTTCCTGTACAGAAATATCAATTGGATCACTGACAGTAGGAAATGTTCAGACAGAATCTACAATTCCAGACTTCACAATAAAATACATGACTTATACTCGCATACAAGAATCAAGTAATTTACTATTTATGTAATTTGTAGCATTTCACTAACCTGCTATGCTTGCAAAATGTAATTAAAATACGCTGTCAAATAGTAGATACTGCAAAAATTGCATGCTGATTTGTAACAGGAACCAAACTTGAAATACAAAATCACTTCAAAAAGGCAAAACTTATTTCATACATATGCAAATTTGTGACATCAAGGCAAATTTTCGCGCTGCAAATTCACAAAAGCTGAACACATTCTGTCGCATCGCATTCGAATTGCATTCGCATGAAGTAAGAACCGGCCTTTACAATATCAGGCTTGGAGTTGTACATCATGTGCGTCATATTTTTGCAACATGGTTCAAAACCTACCTGTGACTCTAGGTTTCCTTTTTGAATTTCATTGCATAATGTTTATGTTAGTTCTCTGTTATTTAAAATTGTATATACAACGGTGTGCATCGGCCATTTGAAAATATCTCAATTAGGGACTCATGGAGTCATGGACGTATTTAAAAAATATTGTCTTTGGTAAACTGCCAAGAACTTTTGTATCACAGGGGCAACATATCAAGAGTAATGTGATAGTATTTCTTGTACTGTAAACTATTCCACAACATGTTTCTCAAACTTGTATAAAATTTGCTTACTAATGAATTTAATGCAGATTTGTATACATGTACAACTGTTTTACATTGAACTGTTTTCTCATAGTTAATTGCTTCGACTAAATGTCTCGAAGTCCCCCGATTGTTTATTTTGTGATTTCTTCCTATTTTTTTTGGCTTTATAGCATGGATTTATGCATTATAGTATTCCAGGCATCTTTTGTCTGGGAATTGTATTTACTCCTAATGATGTAGATGACTGCATTTTTTTTAGATGCAGAGTTTATTAATGTAGAGGATTAGAATTATTATTAAAGTTTTCTTTATTTTCTTTTTTTGTTGGAGATGTGTAGTTTGTTGTACATTGACAGCTTGTAAGGCAAGGGGAATTTTTACTTCAGTTTTGCTGTACTTTTGTTGATGACAATACAGACATGAAAATGAAACTTATCGGACAACTTTGGGCAGAAGCTGTTTTGGAACAAAATCATAACGTGAAATAAACTTACACTGCACATGTAAAAAGTTATGTACATTCTATTTGGGCCCATTTGTAGAAGTATGTGTTGACTGTTCAAGTTTGTTCATGTATAAACTGTTAAATGTTCAGAATTTTTTTGAAGTTGAAAAAAAAAACCATTAAATAAACCAGTGAAAAATTGAAAATGTTATTTTTGATCCCGCATTTTTAAATAATGCATGCAAACCTTAAAATGAGATGGTTGTAATCGATTATTGATTAACCATAATTATGCAGTTTTGTTTGTGCTTTGTTCTGTTCAGTAATCATTTTAATGCCTGAAACATGAATTGCATCAATAAATGCTGAAAGTTCATAAAAGGTCATAATGATAAGGTCATAACAAAAATTGTCCGTTCAGATTGTGAGGTGTGCCATTAAAATGGGAACTTTTTATTTTGGAACCACAGAAATCATTGTCGTTTAATTTTTGTTGTTCACTGCCCTCCTTTTCAAAATTAATTACACTTTCCAATACAACAGTGTCTAAAAAAGTGGGGATAAAGACACGAGACGTCCTTATGCAAAATCAGAGGAATATGGGCAAGTGGTTGAATACAAGTAAATTTGATTCTAGAAGAGGTATATTTAATATTCTGTCATTGTTACTGAACAAAAGAATTTTTTGAAACCTAAATTTACTTTTAAGAAGTAAAGTTATTATTTGATTCACCCTTTTCCTCCCGTAATAGTCGTATTCTGATCAAAGTAAAGTGTGAAAAACCATTAAATAAAAAAAGGAACAACTAATTACCCCCCATAAAAATCAATTAACCTACAATAACCATTGTCTTTTCGTGCATGATGACAAGCCTATGCCAATATCGTCTGATTTTGCAAGAACACGTAAAATAATGTGGAAGAATAATATCTTTGATTCAGGAAATTCCCTGATGCCTCGGATTCATGAAAAAACAGTTCAACTAGATAACACATTTTGGCAAACTGACACTGACAGGATTTGGTGAAGTGTGCATCAATATATATTTACTCAATTACTATTCCAGTACTCAAAAGAGTGTAAAATATCTTCCATGGCAGCATGAAATTATATACATCAAACAAGAGGGACCTTATCTCCAACATTTTGGTCATTACGAGTTGGATCCTGTTAAAGGTAATATTCAGCATTTGCAAACATCAAAAACAAAACACCAAATTGTTGTGAAATATCTTACTTGACTGTAAGTGAATAATGGTCTCAAGCATCCTGTGAAATCATGGCACCTGGTGTGCTGTCATTTTCAAGAAAAGTGGATTTTTATTTATCAATTTCAAATGATGGTTGGCAAACATTTTGGGCCCATAAATTTCAGGCCTATTTACTGGTCTGAAACCCTATAGGTTGCACATCCGTAAACGGATGCAAGCCAGCTTAGTCTGGTTCTCTGACCTGACAATTCCCCGACGTCTATAAATTGTTCCGTTTTGTCTGAAGTAGGGTCAGGGAACCAGACTACAAGAACAGCATTAATGTTCTCTCGATTTTTCCAGCATCTGTGAACGCAAAACTTTAAACAGGTCCGTGTAACAATATTTGCTTTACAATACTTAACCCCCAAATCCATCCATTTCTGAAAATTACAGCAAAAGCAAATGTTGTATGTTATCTTTAAATGTTGGCAAATAGGACAGAAAAGGTTCAAATTGTCTTCCCAGGCATGTAAAAAGTCACAAGTCAAACTGTGGAACTTTCTTCCAAACCTGCACACACAAAAAATGGTAAAGATCGGCCCTTCATTGGATGTATTTACGTATATTCTTCCTTGGAAAATACAACTTTATTAAACTTTGACAGAACACTGAATACAACCGTCTAAATTCATCAAGAGAACGCTCCGATTTGAATTTGAAAATCTTATCAATTTTCTGTGTATATGAAGACTGGTTATAAACTGGAAAAACTCCATTGACCGATTTGTTCTCAGGCCTGTCATTTTGAGGGCAGTGCTGCCACAATTAGGCTAATAATAAGGCTGAATTTCCGAAAACTAAAGGCGAGGAACCTCGCTTCCTTACGTACTTTCTTGAAAACCTGTCATTTCTCAAAAAGTTGGTGAGAAGAATCATCCTTCAAATCTAAACTTTTGCAAGAAAACATTTCCAATTGCCAATATTTCAACCATCCAGAAGGGTAGCTGACAAATAACAAACACAATATTGTTACTTAAAATAAATGATGATTGTTGGAAGCTTCAAACGAAACTCGTCAAAATCAACGCCAAGAATTTGCATATTTGGTTTTTAGATATTGTACACCTGCATACCCTTTTGTACACTATACAACTGTAACTTTACAAATTGTGTAATGCCAAATTTTAAGTAACGTCAAAATTTTAATAATATGCCGATAGTTTTCTGTAAGTCCAAGATTTTGGTGATTTAATAAAGTTCCTTGCAAAAGCACTTAGGATCAATTAATTATTCTGTGATTGCGCAGTTATAAGCGTCCTTTGAAGTTACTGCCTTTCACTGAAATTTTTTTTTTTTACAAAACAGGAACAGTCGCATTTAATACCATGTCACATTTTAAGAGAGCACTGCCTCTAACAATGGACTTTTTAAACTCTCATGAAACCTTCAACGAAAACTCTGTTCCATTCTTTTCCGAACTTCCAATATCGCGTGTGACTGACAGCATCCATCCAGACAAAAATGTCTGAAGTTATAGAATACAAACAAATTGGATTGAAAGGCAGTATAAAGACACTTGACGCAGTATGTCAAATGAGGCACGCCTGAAAATGTCAAAATTAAGCTTCAATATTTTTAAACAAGCTAACAGTTTCAAATAATACGATGTGAAAGTCAAATCTGAGAAAACGACAGTTTAAAGAACAAAGGCGAGTATTTTTACACTTTAAATACATGTTGTTTATACAACTTTTTACAGAATAGTGGTTTCTGAACGTCGCCAATATCAAAAGCTGGGTGTTTTTTTTACCAAATTTAGAAAACACGAGGCGTTGAACGTGTTCTCTAAATTTGGTAAAAAAAACACCCAGCTTTTGATATTCTACATTAGCAATTTGGAGAATAAGGCCAAGATACCTATAGCTTTTTTCTTTCTTTCAAGAAGAAAACTACTTTAATAAATGCTAAAGAATAAAGATATAATTTATCATACACATCTATACTGAAAATTAAAGTTCGTTACATAACATACCTACAGTGATCATGTTTATTGTCTTGGATCAATAAAAAATGAAACAAATGTTTAGATTCTGGGATTTTCACTTGCCAACCTCCCCTTTTTTGCTGCCCCAAAATAGGAAAAATCATGACGAAAACAGCTGCCACTAGAATTTTTTTATAGTTTTATTATAAAATGGTAATGTCTATTAGTGTCTTTGTATGATGTACACTGGGGCAACAGAAAAGAGATTAATGTATTATAGAATAATAAAATAAGAGAAAGAAAATAATACAGGGAGCATGCATAAAACTAATTAAGAACACAAACAAAACATTAGGACAATATCCCACTGACTCTGTGCATTACTAGGCCGCCAGTCCTAAAAATGCAACACATGAGGAACACAAAGCACACTCAGATTAACTCATCTAGCGCAATCATACTATTGAGTGTTACCTTTCTCACTTATTTGATGAGGCTTGCCTATTCATGTATCGTCCGTGTACCTGTTTTCGAGGATCAAGGTTTCGAGGTTGGACCTTGCAGCGACGCACATGCGCAGATTCGTACCACACAATTGTTGTGTGTGCGGTACGTGATCTGATACACCGTACCCTCTGGAGACGTGTGTACAATAGGGAACAAAACATTGTTTACGTCTCCACAGGGCAATTTCTACAGATGAATACGTCTCCACAAGGTTTTCGAGAAATAGATATATGGATTTTACTCAAAAACTAGGAATTTCCAAGCTATGTTGATCCGTCGCAAATGGAAGAGTTTTAGAAAAGGGACATTAAGTCCAAATTTCAGCCAAGGAAATTAATTCTGGTTAAAATAAAGAGCATTTTTAAACTACACTTTCAAACTCGAAAACTTTAGTACACGAGAACAAAGGAATGTCTCCACAAGGATACAAATTCCAGTATGTGTGTTCCGTTGCCAGCCCCCCCCCCCCAAATGGAAACCAAAGGCTATGTCGGTGTTTTTCTCTTGCTTGAAATAAATCTTTGCACCCTCCAAAACCGGTACATCAAGGATATATGTGATGTAGCATCCTACACCACATGTGCATTAGTCTGGCGCCGCTTGTTTCATGTTCATTCATGATGCATGTGTAGGCAATAAGTCAAGTCTCCATGCGAACGATGATAGCGGATTTCAATTTTCAGTCGTGTTATCACTACAGCTTATCCTATGAACTTTTGGATAAATTTTACAATATTTAGTAAACCTTTTGCAAACGAGTTGAAGTTTGTGCGCTCGGGGACCAGCTTTAGTAACCTTGCCTTATCTTGTTCTACACTTACGTGTAGTTGATACCTGATCATGCAGGAACCAGTATTTGCATGTTCTGCGTCCTCCTTAGACTCTGATGGTTGAGGAATACAAATTATGCGAAACACGAAGCAACATCAAAACATGAATTGATCTGAATTGAACACCGGTCACAACATAACGTCAAGAGTTGAAAGCTTTGAAAATTTGTTTGCAAAAGTGCTGTCAGAAAAGAAATTTAAAGTCTCTTTTCGCACAACTTGGTAAGCGTATCTGTTAGTGAAATAAAACTAAATATGAATTGATCTGAATGGGACACAAGTCACCACACGTAAGTCATGAGTTGAAAGCCTTGAACCATTGTTTACCAAAGAGCCAGTTAAGAAATGTTAACGTCTCATTTAAAGTAAATTTCTTAATGTAACCAAAGATTAAGGCAACTTGCAGCATTTTCTTTGGAGAATTGTTCATTGAATGATTTTTGCATAGAATATCTTCCTTAAAACAAACAATGCTTTTCCATCGCGATCTTAAAAAGTTTCTTGTTGGAATTTGTGGGCCTGAGAAGTTAACAGTGCTTCACTTTCCTCCCACTGGTAAGATCGGCAAAGGTTTGCTGAGTCAGTCGCAGCTCGACATCAGAAAACACGCTGTTTCTTGGCGTCGGGGGCGAGCTCCGGTGCACCCAAACGATCCCGGGAATCTTTGGCTGTAAGAAAAAAAAAGACCAGACAATTAAGTTCTTTTGTTGTTGAGAGCGGAAACAAGGAGACTGAGCATGTACAACTGTGCAAACTCCAAACTCCAAAAAAAAAAAAAAAGGTCATGAATCAACTACTATAAATAAATCAATGCTTAAAAAAGAGAGCAAATCAAATTCGCTCTTTGGCTAAGTGAATTAAAAATAATCTGGGACAGAATACATTCTGATTACTCCGAGGGCCAAGTCACATGAGGCAAATTTTCACAGGCAACTTGGCAACAACAGAATGTACTGCAAGCTTAAGTAACCCCCTCGAAAGAATGAAGTACACTTTCCAAAGCATTTTGGCAATTTTTGCGGAAAGTTACACAGAATTTGAATCTGCCTGTGGGTTTCTTCTTGGAGACTAAATGCCGGTTTAGACTCGGCGCTAACGCTAACTTGTGACGTCAGGGCAAGTTTTTGTGCTGGTGGCGAATTCACAAAAAGTTGAACACATTTCAATTCTGGCGAATTTCGCGGCAACTTTCGCTGCGAACGCTTCGTGACGTCAAATTCGCTTTGCATTTGCATGAAGTATGAACCGGCCTTAACTGGGAGAAGTTGCCTGTAAATTGCTGTGCGTCACACTGCCGTAACAACTCGGTCATGATCATTCCTCCACACCATACACATATGTAAATGTACTTTCCTGGCTGTCATAGGTAAGCGACAGAACACTGTATACAGTTCTTGTACAGAAACATCTTAAGGTGTGTCGAAGGAGCATTCAAGATTTGGCCATAAGCCTCGCCCACCTGTCATTGCTTTACATTTCTCATAGTGCTTGCCACAGGGACAGTCCCACGTACCACGACCACCTGACCAAACAACTTGGGGGGGGGGGGGGGGAATTTCACGGAGTTGCTAAGCACAAAAAATTTGCTTAGCACAAATCAAGTTTGGCTTATGAAAGCAGGTTACCAGCCAAAACTCCACGTGATGTATTTTGCTTGTGATTGGTATTCCGCTGTTGTTTGCTTAGCATGAAAATCACATGGAGTTTTGGTAACCTGCTTTTATAAGCCAGACTTATTTTTGTGCTTAGCAGCTCTGTGAAATTGGACACTGTCTGATTGACAGACAGGAAGGACTCGCCTCTAGCTAGCTTCTCCCGCTCTGTCTGTAATTCCTTCTCCAACTCTTTGACTGCACGAGCATCATCCTCCTGTAATCATTAAAAAACAAAACCCTCCAATTAGGCATAATAAGGCATAAATTATCCCTCTGTAATAACGGGGAAGTGTGGCTTAGTGGTTAGGATATGTGACTAATGATCAGAGGGTCAGGGGTTTGAATCCAGCTGCTGGCCGTATGTTGTGTCCTTGGGCAAGCCACTTCACCCCCACTTCCCTCTCTCAACCCAGGAGTATAGATTGGTATCAGCATTAGCTGGGGAGTAATCTGCGATGGATTTTTAATCGAACCATGATAAATAACAGGGGTGTGAGTGACCACTGATAAAAATAGCTGAAAACAGCTGAAAAAAGGTGTAAAAAAGCTGAGCTTTTGGAAATCTCCTATACTTTTGTACACTGCAAGTGAAGGAAAAAAAGCTGAAATCCAAAACAAAAACAGCTGAAATCAGCCATAAAGCTGAGATTTCACACCCCTGAAATAATCCAGCAGAATAACGAGTGGCACGGCACTTACCGCAGGGTCAGTCCACAGGGAACATTGAGTGCACTGGGTACATCCCTGGCCTGGATTGCGAGCGTGGCTACAGAAGTGGTTGTAATCAATGTTGGGCTTGCGACAAATGTAGCACATCTTGGCGCCACACCGACACGTCATCTGTGATATGAGATTGGGAACAAAATATATGGGGCTAAGTGACACGCTCTGCTAAACGCGTACGGCGACGCATACTGTACGCTTTGCATTCCCAGTTCATGTGCTCCAACACAACTTTCAGCTAAATAATGAAAGGTTTGCGGAAACACCATGTGCGAATAATTTCTCAAGTTCTGAAAAGAACCAGAGGTATAAACTCGACGTTCCAACGTTCCGGTCAGAGCATACTGACCGGAACGTTGAGTTTATACCTCTGGTTCTTTTCAGAACCATTCTCTTAGTTGAGAAATTATTCGCACATGGTGTTTCCGCAAACCTTTCATTATTTAGTATCTCCACCATGCAAAGCCTCAAATCTTACTTAACTTTAAGCTAGCATTTCATAGAATCCGTGTATGCGAATCTTTATTAAAACAATGAAAAACAGTAGTGTCTAATGAGATATCTTCTCAAGCAAAATTGCCTGTGACAGCAGTTTATTGGACCTCTGAATCAATTTCATTATCAATCTTCAACATTTTGCACGCGTGAGAAATGAAAAGGTTTTTCTGACCATATTTCATCATGTTACACGGTACGGCAAAACTCATCAGAGAGAGTTCTGAGTTTCAAGATATTACTAATGAAATTATAGTATATGCCGGCTGCGTACGATCCATGAGGATCGTACGCGGCCACCATGCACAAAATCATGGTTTGAGTAGAAAAAAAATTGTCGCTGGTACGATACTATGATTTCAAAACCCAATCGCTGACTTCCACATGGGAGCCATTTTCATGACTCTGAAACTATGGCTTGTGTGTTTATGGTCACCATTTGGTGCCTACAAGACAACAGAAGGAATCCTGTACTAACTTTTTATTTACAGAACTACAAATGGATGTATTCAAACCTTAACCCCACGCTTATCCACAAAATATGCGTATTTTTTCTTCCTTAGTTCTGGTGCAGGGATTATTCTTAATACAGAACTAAACTCGGCCATCAAGTTAAGCCTTTGGCGGTTAACAAATAGTAGAAAACTCAAAAACTTGTCTTGCTTTCCAACAAATGAACATCCTAACACAAAACCCCTGCCTGAGCATAATCAGTATACTTTCTTTCGATGGTCCAGGGAAAACACATTATGCCTGAGCAGCTCACAGGAAAGTCCCTGAAACTCCTAACCTTTGGACTTGAAAATGTGACTGACCCTCAACGTAAGACTCGACAACCTAGCATTGGTATGGTAGAGACACCAACTCACAGGCTTATTGAGTTTCTTTACCTTATTGCAGCCTTGGTCCTTCATAATCCCAGTCTTGCATCGGTGACAGGTTCGAATCTGAAGCTGGGACATCCTCTCCTCACTAGGGGGAAGGCACACAATGTCAGTGGGTAACAGGCTATCGACTGACAGTCAAAAGCTTTCAAGACATTACGTCATCACTGAGTGCAGAGCCAAGAGGTGATGTGCAAGTCTTGGAAGATCAACATCAGCCAACGTAATAAAAAAGTGGGTCGATAAAACTGGACTCTTTTGTACTTCAAAACTTACACGCAATTGTGACCAGTCAACACAATAATTCTTAAAAGCCTTATGTTAAGAATTAGTTCATCACAATATTATGGTAGAGCATTTTTCAGCGATTCTTCTTTTGTTATATCGTTCAGTTTTGTCATCTCAATAAACGCGGACATTACGATGGTGAAAAAGGTTGGCAGTTCGAATTGATTTCATTGTGTTGAAGTAAAATCTGCTAACGTCCGACTAATTTTGCTTGGTTGTGTCACGCATGGTGGGGGGGGGGGGGGGAGAAGATCGTACAACATGACAAAAACAAAAACCACAGGTTGGGGATTGTTAAGAATGTTGTTAAGATATTTTACTGGTGATAATTTTTTTATTTCTGCTATAATATCAAACAGGTAGAATAATCATCACAGGGATGGGTGAGGTATGGATAATATGAGAGAGGGTGATCTTACTAAGATAATCTCATGTTGGTCTCGGTTTTCTTCTCAACTTCCTCGCATCGTTTGCCAAAGTGTTCCTTCCAGTCTTCTCCACAGTGACGACAAGTTTCCTGAAAATTAAAACGTGAAGATTTATTGTACGTTTCAACTCATAGAATGTGTCATTGCACAGCTTTGGACACTGGTGGATAAGGTCAGCTTGGTCTGAAAACCACAACAAACAAATTATTCCAAGATTATTTCTCCCACCAAACCGGAACTCTTTCTCAGTATGCTTCTTCAAAAATGGGCAATGTACTAAGTGCATAGGGGCAATTCCAGGGTTACTCACGTTACATTTTCGTAACGTGAGTAACCGATTTTGTGCCTCTTGTTTATCATACATAACACATTTTTCTGGATGTCATCTTTGGTGCTAAGGTAGGTCTAGGTCTACTCTATCTATCATGGGGATAACAGTTATTAAACCTTTTCAGTAAGGTAATTACAGCCCAAGGAAACTCAAAAGTACATCAGAAATGTAACGTGAGTAACCATGGAATTGCCCATAGTATGGTTGGGTCAACACTCATCAGTGTTGAAGAACTTGTGATAGATCGTTACTTGTGATAGATCGTAACTTGTGACAGGACTTATGATGTACTAGTAATCCACTAGTAATGTACTTGTGATCCGCTTACGACATTCTTGTGCTCTATTTAAGATGTACTTGTGATCTTCTTATGATGTATTTGTACTAGAGCCTCACCTTCAAGCATTCAGCGTTCTGGCAAGAGAAGACCTTATCTCCCGGGTCTAAGACAGCAGCAAAGTCACAGTAAGGGCAGCGTACTAAGCCGTCCATGCTGGCTAACTGGATAGACTCCTCCTGGACACGCTCATCATATTTGGCAATGTCGGTGGAGGTCAGGACCTTCTCTAATTGATCTGAGTTTTAAAAGAAATCAGTAAAAGACAAAGAAAACAGATTAAAAGTTAATAATAGAGACCAAATATTAATGCACATTTTTTAAGTGCACATGTCCACCAGATATTGGATATCAGTTAATTTGTTTCTCGGGCACTGGTCAAAAGTCACAACTTTGCTGGTTCTTGTTCGCTGTTTGCCATGTTAACAATCTACTTCCACAAGCCTGCAAGAGGCAATGACACCAAATATTCCTTCATTATAGGGCAAGTTCGATCAAGGACCATAGTTAACCACAGTTTGACTAACTCTGACTGAACGCACGCTAGTTGACGATGGTTGGCCGAGTCTAGTCGACTATTCAGGACCAGCCTTAACAGGTTGGTGGCGATTTATAGCTGGTTACAAAAGCAATTTTTCATAGCATAGTGTGAGAAGAGACCAACTATCAACAAAAATGGCGGAAATACGAAAACTGAGTGGTAAAGTTCATTCTCACTGCATAATTTTTCCATGTTAGTTTATGATTCTGTCATTTTTGTCACCACTGTACAATAATAATGGCGATTACGTATTCCTAAACTACACAATCACTACTAATTCTGTAAATAAACAGAAACACCAAGTACTGAAACATTCTTAAGCCGATGTGCGACCGTCATTTTCTCACGGTCGTTGATATGACAATAGTTTGACTAGAGTCGTTCGCAATTCAACTTCAGTGCGCATGCGCAAGGTACGTCACAAATCACTAGTTAACTACTGGTCCTTAATCAAACTGGCCAATTGGTGCTCTTCTTATTTTCCCTGAAGAGGGGGCAATTGATCACAGAGTCCATATTTGTGAAGTGCTCTATCAAAACCAGATGCTTCTGGGCAGAGCTAGAAATGACGATACGACCATTAAAAATGAGTGTGGGGGCAGATTTTTTTTATTTTTTTATTTTTGTAGTTGTATTTTTGTGATCCTTAATACGTCAAAAATATACTGTTTAATTTTCCGACTGTAGTTTTGCCCGTGAATGTGATTTTTGCTACGATTCATAGATGTGTATGTGTCCAAAAAAAAGCATGACCAAAAATTTCTGTCAGGTAATTTCTCTTTTTTCCACATTGCAGTTGTTGAGCATGTAAACAGATTGGACTAAAAATGAAAAGAAGAAAAAAAAATTTCACCTCTAGGATAGGAGCTATCACAGCCATCGGTCATACACATCAGATGTGCCTTCCCCTGTCCATAGACAGCCTGCTTGGCGTACATCTGAAGGCACGACTCACAGAAGAGGTGACCGTCAAGACATTGGATCATCTTCTCAAAGGTGACCTCGGCGTAGCAGCAACCGCACTCGATCAGCTGACCCTCCTGCCACGGATACAAAGGGTTGAAAGAGAGTGTAGAACTGTCAATATTGGGTTTTGCCCTTCACTATAAATGTAGTGTATAATTGAGTCGTCCCAAAAATAAAAATAGAAAATTCATAAACTTTAAAAAGGAATTTAATTTTGCCAACTAGAAACCACCACTATAAACCCGATACATCCACACTTGAAATTATTGTGTCTTCCTCCTTAAAGGGAATATACATCATTTGCTTTTGCTGTAATTTTCAGAAATGGATGGAATTGGGGGGTTGGAAATATATAGCAAATATAGTTACACTGACTTTTTTGAGGTTTTGGGTTCGAAAATGCTAAAAAAACCAAGAAAAACAATCATTTTCCTGTAGTCTGGTTCCCTGACTCCATTTAAAAAGAAACAGAGCAGTTTACATATATTGGGGAATCGTAAGGTCAGGGAACCAGTCTAGCTGGTTTGTACCCGTTCATAGGTGTGTAATCGATTGCAAACAAGTGCGATGGTCAACTGGGGCCAGTATTTGAAAAAAAGCCAGTTTTTTCCAACGCTGATCGGCCGATCAGCGTTGGAAATTGATACAAAAATACCACTTTTCTTGAAAATGACAGTATACGAGGTGCCATGATTTTACAGGATGCTTTACACTGTCATTCACTAACAGTCCAGCAAGGTATTTCAAAATGATTTGGTAGTTTTATTTTTTGATGTTTGCAAATGTTGTATTTTGCCTTTAAGGAATTAAATTCCAAAAAAGTGACACTTACAGCTTCGTATTCGTTTTCATTCATGCTCAAAGCTAGCAACAAATCCTTTTCCTGTGAGAGAAGGGAAAAAACATAGAAAATGCACAAGTTGAATGTTCGCACATAAGTAATTGTACGGATAAAAAAGTTGATTACTTGAATGGAACACTTCAGAAATGTTCAGATTACTGAGGGCTCCTTTGGAGAGCAGTTTTTTTTAAAACTGAAACAGACCATCCTCATAAAAGATTACAATAAATAAACAAATAATCAAACAAAAATAAACCATTTGCAAGTAACAATGCCTTTTTGGGGATTAACTACGAATATCTTGTACACACGAAAAATTCAGAGGAACCCATTCATTGTTCTCAATGGCTGAGACACTACATATTTCTTCAAGAGGAACTTGCTTGAAGAAGTCTTGCCCTGAATCATGTCATATAACAACTGTAGTTCCCTCTTTTTCATTTCACATCTTTTCTTCTACATGTCAACAGTTACATTTAATTAGCAATCGATAGCTGCTTACCAGAGCACTATTCTTAACGTATTGCTGGTAGAAGTCCATTTGTCGCTGCAGTTCCGGCGAGGGTTTAAGTTGGCCCTGGTAGAACAGATGCCTAAGCCCTTTCAGCAGGTGAATCACGACATTTGATTTGGCCTCCTTTCCTTCAGAGTCTAAATGGCAAGAAAAAAAGTGACAAAAGCAATCGTGTAATTCTTGGGACTAAATACTTTATGGAAAAGAAATATGTATTTTAAAGCTGTGGTGATAGCAAGTAAAAATATAATAAATATAGTCACTCTTTATGTTAATCCTAACCCTGCCAGACCCAACACAGTACATCAGGTGGAAAAAAACCCACTTTAATGCATTCATCTACAACACCAGTGCATAAATGGCCAGCTCTGAAACAAAGAGAGTTAAGTCCCATTGAACAATGCTACAGTTGTATCCCTCTGCATGCGGTGACCACAGACTCTGAGGCAGTGTGGCCTTGAGACTTTTGGCCTGATGGATCTTGCTACATTTGGCAGGCTTGTCACTTAGTCAAGTGTTGCATGTTGCTACCTTTGGCAGGGTTCTAGCAAACATACCCTGGAGGGTTTTAATAATGCAACAAAATCAATTTTTTTTTAATTTTGATGTTTGATGTAACCCTGAGAAATACACTTTCCAAAACAATTTTGGAAAACTCCTGAGCACTGGCACCTGAAGAATAAGCACTGCAGTGCCAATCAATAGGGCCTGATCATATGTGACCTGTTCTGTCAAAATCAGACTTTTCTGGGCAAAAGGTCAAAAATGAGATTTTAGCATATTGTTAAAACATGTTCTTTTTCTTTTTAATAGGTGGTTTAATTTTGAAATCGGTCATTCCTGGGCAGAGTTATGCTGTTTTGAAGTTCATTGTGTCGAAAAGTAGAAAACGGAGAAAATGGCCACGAACATCACAAAACAGTAATTTCTTTAACTGATATAGCTTAACAAATCATCCAAAATACTATATTTAGAGTTCAAATTAGGGTTTCAAACTTTTATAGTATATTTTAGACATGTTCAGGATTACAGATATGCAAAAATGTGAAAATCGAAAAAAAAATCACCCCCGCAGCATTTTTTGGCCCTATCTTAATTTCAACCTCTGCCAAGAAGCATCTGCTTTTGACAGAACAGGTCACATATGACGTCCAAGTGCCATGTGATCATCTAGTTTTCCCATGACCGTCAACCACTGCACCAGGCAAGTGTTTGCTTTTTAGCAACAACATCGTGCATTGTAAACTAGACAGTAGGACTTGCACATATTTTTCAAATGGCATAATGGTCACTGCCGGTGAAGTGAACGGTTGCCATAATTGTGCCGCCCCAGCACTGGATGTTGGCTCCACGTTCGTCTCACAGTTTGTGCCATTCATCGCAGCTTGGAAGGCTTGCGCGCAGTGCAATATGACCTTGGCCTAGGATTTAAAAATGGAGGGGCCTGCATCATGCCACCGCCTTTCACCAGACTCACTTTTGATGGTGATTTGAACCCGGACTTTTCGCTCGTGGTGCTGTGCGTACTTGACCCTGGGTAAGATTTTCTGGATGGCTGCGTTGGAGCGGAGGATTTCTTCAAGACACACTCTGGTTGGAGCGTAGTGGTAGCCGTGCAGCGTCCAGACTGCCTTGATGGTGTCCAAGGACAGCTGGGATAAAAAAAATAATCATGAAATGAACATTGCATTGAAACCTTTCACACACCAATACCTTCGAATGTTTGAATTTTAGGTCCATTAACCCTTTCCTTACCATGGGCGACTTTTGACAAGAAGAACCCCCCTGCTGGTTCCCATGGGCGACTTTAGTCGACCAGGAAACCACACACAGAACACCCTCAACACAGATATATTCACTACTTTTCAGAAAGGCGGCATGTTGATATGTTTGGCCGTCCATACATCAACCATATACCAGCTGAAAGAGTATGTTCGGATCGTTCTAATGGTGTAGTTTATTCATAGTGTTGCCATTACAAAAAAATGAGAAAAGTGCTTCAGAAGTATCCACGCACAAATGGAGGTATGGAGTGCCATTTGGTCATGTGGTGAAATGGCTTGCAGTTTGATAAATGGAACCAGATGAACAAACAGGCATAACTTTCTTATATTTACACATATGGACTTCATTTTTACATCACATACAAGAGTAAGGTTCAAAGAACAAACTTTACACACAACACCTATGATTTAAATCACTCCTTGGCAGTGAAAATCTGGGTTGAAAAAAGTGAGTTTTGGACTTGTGGTCATTTTGTTCACGCTCTAGTGATTTCCGCATGACTGAGCAAACAATTTGGTCCTGGGGAGAGCCAAGTCAATAAACAATGTGGTCATGAAAGGGTTAAATGTATGTTCATAGTCGTTTTGTGCAGCATACATGTAAATGTAAGAATTCAAGCGTTAAGTTAATCCATGCCAAACCATTTTTAAATGAAACTGGGGATTCTGTTCTTTTCTGAAAAATGTTGTAAGACGAAGTTGGGACAGCTAAGGTTAAAAACAAACAATGCAATAGGATGTCTCAAAATCTGTAGAAGTGCTTCTAATTAATCTTTCATGGCATATGTGTGAAGCACCTAAAAAAGAAATTAAAATAATGAAAAAAATTATTAACTGCCTTTTTATTTTGGTAAATCCAATGATTCTTGTTCGATCGACTGAGCACTTACCATTCGAAAGTCGTTCTGCAATTGCAGCACGACACACTGGGTATCGTATCTGGGTGCTTGGATCTTGTAGTAGTCTTTTATATAGTCAACTTTCTCCCCCTGCGATTTAACAGCAAATATCATTTCAAGTCAAATTATAAACGTGCATACACACTTTCTACATTGTTATTATCAAAATCGTTCATTCAAATACTCTCCATTTTGGGGGTGTATATTTGCAGCGAATGTCTGTTTCACTCCCGAAACCACAAATTGTCTGCCAAAAAGCAGCGCTTTAGTAGTCAATTGTTAGGGACCGTGACCATTCAGCCCTGGTATGAAAAGGGCCCCCCGGTACCTCGTCCGGTCTAGAGCCAGTCCGGTCTTCAGCCCAGTCTCGTCCGGTACATGGTCCTGTCTGACCAGAAGTTTTGAAGTCAGTCAGGCGCATCAATTTATTGCCCTTCAGAGAACGTCCAGAGCAGAACAATAGCAGACTTACCGGATTAAAGATAAAATCCTTCCATAACGCCTTGGTAATTTACGGTCCCATTGTGCGCGAAACCGCATGGCAGGGGTTTTGATCTGTGCCGACGAAAGTGTTCTATTGTTTCGCGCCGAGAGACGAAAACCACAAGCGGGTTTCTTCTGGGATATATTACATGTGTCAATACTTGCAAACAATAGACCCCAGGATAGAGGAGTTCCTGATTAGCAACCGGATCAGCTCCTGGGCCGGTAGCTGGGACGGTACGAGAGGACTTCTTGGGAGGGGACGAGCTTACTGGGGGGCCCTTTTCATACCGGGGCTGAATGGTCACGGGCCCTTAAATCTTGAAAGACAGTAAGGCTGTGCCATATCGAATATCGAATATTCGATCATCATACAATGTAAATGCAAATTTTACATTATGAATATCAGGAAAATGTGAGTGGTACCTAGGAGATGATGGAAATAAAAATATCCATGATGTTAATTTGAGTGAAGAAGAAGTGTTGTATTATTGTGTGTCAAATACCACACTTCTGTTGAAAGCCACAAATTCAGAGGTTGGATGAGGTATACATGTGTAAACTCAAATATCTCTTTTAAACAATCAGTCGAATGATAGACACCACATTACACTAGGGGGCGCTCTTCAGGATAAAGATGTATATCAATATGCATACTCGCGCTAACATCAAACAGGCGCATTTTTACAGGTTTTGTACTTTGTTTCTCCACTTTTCAGTGCCATAGAATAACTTTTAGTGGTTGGGATGTTTGAAAAATACCTCAAAATCCGCATTTTTGTCCACATCACAAAAAGGGGGGGGGGGGGGGGGAAATGATTCAATAGCCCATCCCCCTCCCCCCTGGGATTTACGCCCCTGTCTGGGAACCAAACTACGCCCATTGCAGCGATATTTTGCGTGCGTGGAGCCAGTAACCGGTACGATACGCACAACATTTGCCCACTTGAAACCAAGTCTACGTACAAGTTAGAACAATCCAGTACTAAATTATTTGAAAAGGCAACGCTCTGAAAGAGAGAAAAAAAGAGTCAAGGGGGTCACAGACCTCTGCTTTGGTCTTGGTTGGCTTGGCGGGCGCTTCCTGCTTCTTGGCTCGTGGGTAGGTGGGGTTCTCTAAGAGATGATTGCAGACCAGATTGATGGGTGCAGGGTAATCCTTCATTTCTTCTAGTCGGGTCACGACAAAGGCTGGGTCGGCCTCTGGGAACAACACCAACTACTCATGGAGAAAAAAAAAAAAAAATTTTAATACTTTTTTTTAAAATCCAAAAGGCTTTCCAAAAGTTCCAAAATCTTCCAGGCGGATTTGGAAGATTAAGGCTGAATGGCAAAAAGTGTTGGTTGATTTTGGTGGATGTATTGTGTCGAGTTAGTAGGTTGTACCCAACATTGTTTATGTTCAGTCATACACAATTGAGCCCTGCGTTATTCTCTATATCATCAGCACTGCTTCTGGATGTCATTTGCCTGCCTCAACCAAGGGAGGATTTTGAACGATTGAGGATGGTTTGTACTCAAAAGGAATAAAGGGGTTAGGCTTAATCTGTCCTGCTTAATATCTTTTTCCAAATTTACATGTAGCAAATCTGCTCCTACTGCTGACTGTTGGATTTGGGATTTTTAGGGTAGCTGAGGTTGAGGGACACGTCTATTTTTATCCCCAATCTTCCCAAATCCTCTTTTTCAAAATGGAGGATTTTGCAGGATTGAGGTTGTATGCAATTTTTGCATGGAGGCAGAGGGGTAATTCCACGGCTACTCACGTTACATTTTCGTAATGTGAGTAGCCGATTTTGTGTGTCTTGTTTATCATACATAACACATTTTTCTGGATGTCATCTTTGGTGCTAAGGTAGGTCTAGGTCTACTCTATCTATCATGGGGATAACAGTTATTAAACCTTTTCAGTAAGGTAATTACAGTCCAAGGAAACTCAAAAGTACATCAGAAATGTAATGTGAGTAACCATGTGAGTAACCATGGATTGGAGGATTTTGCAGGATTGAGGTTGCATCTTAGTAAAAATATCTAGTAGGAAGGTAGGGTTATCAAAGGGAAATAGTACGTAACAGGCACTTGAAACAGGCATGAAAAACATGTTTTTAAGATGTTTGGTTGAAAAGTTACATACCACTTCTGCTTTCATCTCTTCTACACTCTTTCCACTTCCAGGTTGGTTCGCCTGGGCAGGGACGTCTTGTGGTGGCTGATAAAAGGGGGCTGGTGGCGCCACTGGTTGTATCACTGGTGGTGGCTCTGGAATTGGCACTTGGGGTGGGGGAATGCCTGCCTGTGCAGCCAGGTTGAGTGGCTGAAATTGAGGTTGATGAACAGTTACCGGAAGCAGGGGGTTGGCAAATGGTTGTATCACTGGTTCTGCCTGTGGGTTTGGCACGTAGGGCGGCAGGACACGTCCTGGTGCGAATGGGCTTGGGACTCCAATTTGAGGTGGTTGAATTGTTACTGGAGGAAGGGGGTTTGCAACTGGTTGTATCACCGGTAGTGCCGGTGGGTTTGGCACGTAGGGCTGGGGGGTATCACGTGGTGCAAATGGGTTAAGGACCGGTAGTGCCGGTGGGTCTGGCATGTAGGGCTGGGGGGGATCACGTGGTGCAAATAGGTTTTGGAACGGTTGGTTAGTAACAACTGGCAAGGGGTTGGTCACTGTTTGTGTCACCATTTGCGGCTGTGGTTTCGGCATGAAGGGTGAGGGCATGTGTTCCTGTGCTTTCGGCACGAAGGGTGAGGGGAAGTTTCCTTGTGCTTTCGCCACGAAGGGTGGGGGGATGTGTCCTGGTGCAGCCCGATTGCTGAGTTGTGGTGAAGGTTTTGGCACAGTGGTTTCTGCAGCATTTCTTACGGAGGCTTGTTGATTTGTTGAAGCCTGACTAGTGCGCTGCACCTGGGGCGGGTGTGAAGGTCTAACAGTTGACACTGATGAGATCGTGGCTACGTTTGCCGCTTCCTGTGCCAATGATTTTGACACAGGGGCTGTTGGTTGATGCTTGGGGACACTTGATGGATCCGCCAGGGTTGAAGCAGTCTTTGTTTTTGGTTTCTCCACGGGCAAGGAATTTGAGGCACCGGAGGAAGCCACAGACAGACGAAAAGTCTGTCCTGAGGGTCTCTGATGAGATGTTCCTGCCTGTGTCTGGGCAGTGGAAAGTGTAGCCTGCTTGGCAGGAGCATGAGTCTGGAATATGGGTTTGGATGGTAACGAGGGGGACTGGTGTTTGGTTCTCGGTGTTGGCAATGCAGGCTGACCGGGCCGACTCACAAGCGAACTAGTTGGCCTGGCTGGCTGTGTGGGCCCGACAGACGTAGCGGCAGGCTTGGTAGATGTAGAAGATGTCGCTGGTGGTATCCCAGATGTTGGTTTCTTGTACAATCTCTGGGTGTACGTTTGGTTGGATTTCAGGATGGCATAGGCATGCTGGAAAGAGCTCTGGGCACCAGTTGCAGAGGTGGAGGGTTGTGGAGTTGCGCCAGACCTCGTCTGAGAATCAACAGGCCTGGAAGAGGATGTACTACCTCTTTCGTAGTCAGTTTTTGTCTTGGCCTTAGCAGCAGCTTGTGATGTGAGACTTGATGTAGATCGCCATCCAGAGAAACTGGCCGTGGTTGCTCCAAGCTTCGTAGGAGTGGAAGATTTGCTGGAGGCCTTCGTCTTGAGGGACTGATAAAACAGTTCTAACATCTCACTGGATTAAAAAAATAATAATACATATTGAAAGAGATAGTCAAATAATGTATGAAATGTGTCTTATTCTGCTGTTTGTTCTTGTAGTCACTATTGGCAAAAACTCATTTGAGACATTCAAGAAGGGGTTAAATCTTGGGACAGTGATGGATTTGTGATGTTCCTAACATCTGTGTGCTAATATTCAGTGGTCTCTCATCACTATGGTCATACTGCCCTGAAGCCTCTCTGTCATGCCCCTCTCTGTCGTGCCTCTCTGACACGCATCTGGCCGCGAAAAATCTACCAATAGATTTGAGCCGTTGGAAAGCTTACGCTAGCGGGTATTTGTTGAAATTGCAAGTTTAATTAATGTGAAACATTAATGTGAAAGTGAGGAAAGCAAATGGTGGTTACAAGACAGCATCATTGAATTCAATTTTTCTTCAGATCAAATCTGCCCGATTATATTGATAATATTTGGATGGCTTTTTTTTCGGGGGCTACAAGAATAAATTGCACCCGCTATAACAATATTGCACTCGCCCAGGACTTTTGCAATATTGGTAAAGCTGGTGCAATTTATTCTTGTATCCCCCTGAAAGCCATCCAATATATAGACTGTGTCCACAACGGGCTCACAGATCCCCGCTACGGCTACGTCTATCATCAGCATGAAGCTGTAATCGCTGAAGACCTAGACAATAGCTCAAGAAAGGAGATGCAGATGATGCCTTACCTTGACTTTTTGGGTGGTTGTGCACTGGTGTCTTTCTTAACATCTTGCACAGGAGTCTCTGTAGTCGAATTTACTGAGTCCTGTTGCTTCTCCTTAGCTTTCTGGGCACCAGAGTCGGTTGCTTTGAATTCATTGACAGACGAACTAATTTCTTCTGTTCTTGAACCCGGTGAGGTGCTATGCCTGGCGCCTGGGCTCTGAGTTCCCGAGGCTGAGACGGGTTGGCCGCTGTTACTTGGGGATTCAGTCTGTTCAAAAGCCTGGGTTGTCGCTAGAGGAGATCCCAGTCCTTGATGAGACGGCAAGGTCCTATGGGGTTGGTCATTTCTGAGATTGGACTCTTGCAGACAGTTGGGCGAAGGGTATGCCTGACAGTCGCTGCACGGACATCTGGACATAGTAGACGGAGCCTGGGAGGCCATCCTACGGTGATGTGTTGTCCCTGTTCCATTACTGGGGCTCGCCCAGGCCTGATGCTGGACTGCAGATGACGTGGCAGATGCATCAAGCTTTGGGGAAGACCTCTGCTTGTGAGCTGCTTCCCAAGACACTGGGGCTCCTGTGGCCTCCACAGTGACGTCTGAAATTTTAACAGAGGGCTTCTGAGATGCGACAACTGACGAGTCTGGGGTCCCGATACCACTGTCCGTTGTCCTCAGATTGGATATCCATGGGTTGGTGACAAGCATGTCAGTTGCTTCAGGTTTCAAATCGGAACCTGTTACACCATCACTGGCCACTTGGCCACTGTTATTCCGATTCAAGTCTGACGATGGCTTATCTTGAGCGTTGCGATTGACATCAACGTTGTCTTTGGTGGGATTGGCCTCAAACAAATCAGGCGTCGTACTGAAATCAGTGAATCCTTCAGTCCTGGTAGTTTTCTTGGATCCAAGAAAATCTGACAAGAAGTAAAACCGAAAAGTATAATCATATATAATCTGTTACATAAAACTTTATATAGACACACTAATTATTTCTTTTTGAAATTAATCCATCACTGCGTCAGTAATTCCGTCACCATTTGTTTGGTTGGACTATAAATCAAAAACAGTTTTGTTCAGATGAAGGCCTACCTGCAGAAGATGCAGGAGGCCCAGGAGCATAAAATCTAAGCCAAATACCTAAAACGAAATCCATGCAACCAGCTAGAAATATCGAAACACGAAGAATGCCACCCAGGATTTTCGCAAAAAATATATAACTAAAAAGGGAAATATTGTTAAAAAAATGCTTGAATGCCTAAAAAAAAAAACATTTAGAGAAATTAATAAAATTGGCTGATTTACAATTTTTTTTCTGAACTGATTGGTTGTGTTTTGGTCTCATCAAATACTTGACAAAGCACTTGATCAAAAACAAATTCTTTCTGCTAAAAAAAAAAAATTAAAAAATTAAACGATTGTCAAAAGCAGATTTTAAATTGAGCATGAAAGTTTGTTTCCTGTCCCATTATTATATCAAGTACATACCTTTTTGGGACTTGAGTTACAGAGCTCGAATCAGGAGGTTGGGACACCATCACGGTGTCTATATCAACTGGCGTTGTTGAGGCCTCACGTGACCCATCACGTGACCCATCACGTGACCAGGCTTGGTTTTATATTATTTCAATCTTAAAAGGGTCCATGAAATGAATTTACCCTTGTGCATATTTGTAGCAAATGTATCACATTTACCATGTTTACATTTCAATGTTTCACACTTTTCCTAACAACTGGGCGGGTGTCCCTTTTATAGAACACACTCTGTGGATTAGGGTTTTTCTCTTCAAAGAAAAACACAGATCATGCAATGTACATGTACAGTACACTTGCCTAGGACTCATTCTCAGCTGATATTCACTCAGCACATACAAAGCTCATAAGGTAAGCTCTATGTTCTGTTTTGTATCTCAGTGAAATTGGGCCCCTTGTTGGACTTGATGTGAATGCCACTTACCATTTGTAAGGTCGATGTAACTCTCAGAGTCTCCTGCTCTTGTGTCGGCGTTGCTCGTAAAAATGGCAGAGTTGAGCAACTCGTCGATGCAGCTGTTCGTCAGTCGGTTCTGGTCCAGGGGATCGGCTAGGAGTCGGCTCTGCCTTACGACAATCTCTTTGATCATGGTCTCTAGCAGGTACGGGAACATCGGCTTCAGGTAGGCCACAATGTCATCTTGAAGGACCTGCGCAGCCGATTTCTCCACTGCGTCCCTGTGGTAGAGAACAAGTTCATGCGGGTGGTTCAAGGGTGATCTGATTCCAGAAATGCTTGAGGCCGACCTACATGTACAAACATAAGTCCAAACATTTGGGATTTCACCCATTTGATTTTTTTAGGCTACATATCTTGATTTATTTCAGCAAATCTTAAATGTCACTAGAAACCCCAAAATCCAACTTTGATGATATAAATTTAGTGGATATTATGCCGGATATGGCTTTCTGTAAATAAACGATGTTAAGCTGGAGAGATCTTAAAGTACCCTATTTGACGCGTAGACGAGTTAGGCCTACATTATAATATATTAAATTACCACCATGTTAAATGCACTACTGAGACCTTCAGAGGTCTAGTTATCCAAAAATCATGGAAATTCGGCAACGAATTCCCACCGTTTTGAAAAAGCATGGCGTCTCTGATATTTACCAGACTGTTTCCTGGCCACTCTAATAACAGTCAAAAGGCCCATGGGGTCTGGGAACCAGACAAGAGCTTTAATCATCTACTGAGCGTGCGTCAACTTTGGCAAAGCGCACCGCGGCTGTTGCCTGTCATTCCAAACTCTTTGAAGCCCTCTGCAGTGAAGCGTGCCCTCTTGTGTGCGCTCTTCATCAGCGGCCGCGTATTGCATCCAGTTACTTTACAGAGCTCCAAAGATTCTGGAATGACAGGCAACAGCCGCGGTGCGTTTTGCCAAAGTTGACGCACGCTCAGTAGACGATTAAAGCTCTTGTCTGGTTCCCTGACCCCATTGGCCTTTTGACTTTCATTAGGGTGGCCGGGGAAACAGTCTGGTAAATATCAGAGACGCCATGCTTTTTCAAAACCGTCGGAATTCGTTGCCAAATTACCATGATTTTTGGATTGTAACCAGACCTCTGAAGGTACTGAATTCATTTTGTGCTATTTAGCAGTCATAGGCCTACTATAGCTCGGTTGATTTTCTGCTGACAAAATATGTTTGATCTTAAATTGATTTTCGGCTCCCCTAGCAACGGGAGCATCCACGCACAGGCCTTATGACTTATGTGCCAGTGTGACTGATAATCATGATAATACAGAGGTAGTCCAGTATTTCAGTCACATTTATGGGACTAAGCTTCCGCAAGTTGTTTCAAGGCAGTGGATATTTTGCCGGAGACGGCAAACCTTTAGTAAACGTTAGTTTGCCGGATATGCACTGAACATGCACAGTTACTGTTTTTTTTGTACTCGAACATTTTCCGGTGACAAATTTTGGTCTGGCTCCATGCCAATATTATCGTTGTAACCTCGTATTCACAAGATGGGATTCAGACCATTTTATAATTTCGGACTTTATTTCCCTTTTAAAAAAAATCCTCCAGAGCCACAAATCTGAAAAAGAAAATGTAATACTCTGCAATAAAATGTTTGAGACATGTTAAAATAATAAAAGAAGAATATTCTTATTTATTTGGGGATAGGAAAAAAACCTTAAAAATGTGGCGGGGCTCGGGATCGAACCCGAGTCATCCCGCTCACTAGAGCCTTTGCTTAACCACTACACCAAACGTGCTTCACAACTTTTGGTGGGAATTTAATACATCTTATAATTCAGCCCTATCTTAAAGAGTACAGCGCCCTCTGTTGATATGGATTGCCGCCAGCAAACCTTTAGTAAACGTTAGTTTGCCGTCATTACCTCCGGCAAAATATCCACTATCTTGTTTCAATCGTCAATTAAGCACCATTGATATAAATCAATATTACTGGATTATTCAATATTATTTTGATATCGATATCGCCGATAGCAATTTTTTAAGAAATATAAAAATTTTCTTAATTGAGGAATCATATCAGAAATATGATCAAAATATGTCAGATTATCGTCAAAATAAATATGGTAGTGGATGTTTTGCCGGAGGTAATGACGGCAAACTAACGATTACTAAAGGTTTGCCGGCGGCAATCCATACCAACAGAGGGCGCTGTACTCTTTAAAATAGGGCTGAATTATAAGATGTATTAATTCCCACCAAAAGTTGTGAAGCACGTTTGGTGTAGTGGTTAAGCAAAGGCTCCAGAAAGCGGGATTACTCGCGTTCGAGTCCGACCGCACCACATTTTTAAGTTTTTTTTTCTCATCCCCAAATAAATAAGAATATTCTTCTTTTATTATTTTAACATGTCTCAAACATTTTTTGCAGAGTATTACATTTTCTTTTTCAGATTTGTGGCTCTGGAGGATTTTTTTTAAAAGGGAAATAAAGTCCGAAATTATAAAATGGTCTGAATCCCATCTTGTGAATAAGAGGTAACAACAATAATTTTGGCATGGAGCCAGACTAAAACTTGTCACCAGAAAATGTTTAAGTACATTGTACAAAAAAACAGTAACTGCGCATGTTCAGTGCATATCCGGCAAACTAACGTTTACTAAAGGTTTGCCGTCTCCGGCAACATATACACTGCCAATAAATATCCCGTTTGTGCAAGTTAATGTCAGTGTAACGTTTGCTGTAGACTATGATAATGAAATAAAACTCGGCAGCTAGTTCTGCTTGTATTTTGTAACTCAAAAGAATGAGACATGATGAGAAGTTGCACCCTGACACCACATTTTTATTTTTTCATCATCATCTCAATGAAGGTCAGTCATCCGTCATGTCCGTAACGGTAAAGTGTTGGTTTTTTGCGGACGTGTAAGAAACCACATTTTGTGCATTTATGATTGGTCATCGCTGTTTGCGAGCAGTGCTGTGTAGGTGTGTCTCATAAAGTCATATTCATAACACTAGTCGACTAGACACACACAACGTGTATCGTACATCATGTACATTGACTGAAAACGACAGGCATGACAGGAAAAACGTATTCGAACTCTGTCAATTGTCTGTCGTGTTCTATGTAAACAACCTGGTTTTTTCGTCTTCTCTCCGGAATGGTAAGACGGTAGGTTGGTTCCTTTCAACCAGATGTTTTAGATACGATACGTAAACAATCCAAAACATGAAATTTTCGGGGATTTCAGGACCTAGACCTAGCGTAGTGCCCCTTTTTTTTTTGCACGTGAGCTGTTTCGATCAACTTCGCAAATAGGAAAAAAATCAACGATAAAACACATAAATGTTAGTATTCAGATTTCTCACCTGATCAGTACATCTTTACTGTCAATCGCGTCCATGGTGCATTGCCTGACGACCTTCACTTTACAACAAAAAAGACGAAGATTTAGCTCAATATTTTGAGCCACAACCTTACGTCGAATTTGGCGCGCCTCATAACATGCATGGCGCACAAACCAGCCCAATCTGCCTATTTACTTGTGTACAACAGACCGCAAATTTGGGCGTGTAGTTACACTTCTTTCGGCGCCTCAGAAACTCGATGAACCTCTTTCTCAGTAGTCTGAAATTATCTGATACTTTTGGCGCGTTGATAAACCTCGTACACCAGGCTTGTTTTGGCTTGTTGGTGACGTCATATTCACACGCGGGGATTCCCAGAAAAACGAACATTACAAACATCGGCTTCATTTGCGTAAAGGCTATATGCATTTAATCATTTGGAAGCCGCCAATGTTAAAACCAAAAGGCAAATACTCTAACTTGTGGTCTCATGTTAAAGATGTTGATGTTATGGAAGTAAAACATGGACACATGTCATTGTGTATCGAGCCGGAGTCCTCCATGTCAGGGGCATATAATTTACTGAAGCCCAAGCTCAAACGAAGGCGAGGTTTTGCATGCGGCGCAAGACCATTTTTCGCTTCCGGGTTGGGTTGGGCTGAAACTCAATGCAACTTAGCGAATTTAAGCGCTTAGCCAAATTCAGCTGGAACCAGTCACAAGCTATAAGCATTCCATGACACTTTGGCTGGTGACCTGTTTTTGCTAAGCGAATATTTTCCATGCGAAGCATATTTCTCTGCTGAACAGCTGCCAGAAATTGGTGGTGGAGTATCAAGTTTCGTTTTGGTTGCGGTACTGGTACCGGTAGCACCATGTGGTAATAACTACTGCTCAGAAGATATTTAGTTCTGAAAAGAACTTGTCCTGCTTAAAAAGTAGTTTTAGTTCTGCTAAGAACAGTCCTGCTTTACTAAGTTCGAAAAGAAAAGTATTTAATTGTTTTCTTCAACTTTGTTTGCCCCTAAGGTAGATCGTAAACAAGGCCATTCCTTCAAAGAGCGCTGTTTACGGGTCTCTTATCTTAATTAAATCAGTTGATGCATGATGCTTCAACCTTATAATATTCTATGAATACATTTTAACAGAAAACAACAAATTGAAACTCCCCATTTATCGATCTCCGTCATATTTTTCAACCTGGAATAAAAAAAAAATGGGACTTTCCTTTTCTTTCCAGCAACATAACAGATAAAACAAAACAGCCAATCACAAAACGGACATGCTTTTCACTATAAACTTTTTATTAATAACAATGACTGTTGCAAACTTGATCACAACTTTTGTTAATCATCGCCAATTATTCAAAATTCTGTACATGTACTTTGACTCTTCCAGCAGATATTTTGCGGTCCAATTACAGCCATGCAATCTACAAGCACATACCAACTGGTTAACAGCGTGGACTTTCACCATTTACTGTCAACAAACAGCCTGAAATTTCATGGAACATCAAATTCATGATTGTGATTGAATGGCAGTTTACGAAATCTCGGCTTGATTTGGCTTTTGGCTCTAACTTCTGTTTTTAGCCGTGTGACAGAATCCAGAGCAATATTGGTCCATTTTCTGCTTCATCAACATCAAATACCATCACCCAAGGCCAATGGTTGGTGTATTTTCAACGGGTTTGAATGTGGTAGGATTCTAATGAATCTTGGGCCGGCTGAAGATGAAGACGGAAGCCAAATGCAAAGCCAAGCCGGAATTTCGTAAACCTCATGCATTTGTCTTTAATACACTTTATAAAATTAATCTGAATCTATAGCCATACAACTGGAGAAAAAATGAAAATTAGTCAATAATTGATAGTAAAATCAGGGTATAAACAAAAAATAAAATCATCATTACTGCGTATATAATCTGAAATATTGATGTTGTTGATGCAAAAATCACTTTTTTTTTTTAGAGTTCTTATGTCAATGCACTGTGTACTTTTGCGGCGTATCCACCTATGACTTTTTTTGCGTATCAATTTATGCCACATATATACATTGTACATGTTCTTTGTCTGGAGACCCAGATCATAATCAAAATATTAATGACAATTAAGCGGTTAGTATCACAAAATGTTCCCCAAACTGTAAGACCGTCACTGTATGACAACAGCACTTTGTTTAAAGAAAAGTAATCTCAGACTGTGGATTTGCCATGCTTAAAGAGGTTGTGGAATGCTCGAAGAATGCTCGATGCAGAGTAGCATAAATGAGTCCTGTTTATTACGTCACGATTTACTGTGTTTTGTTTGCTGCCCGCAACGACGACTTTTACACAAATTGCACGTTCGGGTCGAAACAGGACCTGAAAAATAGCTCTCAAAAGTACCCTTTGTACTCATTTCATGACAGAAACAATAGTCGTTTTTATTTCATCACACCTTAGGCTACATATACCCCAAAAAAGACGGAAATGTTTTCGAGCATTCCACAACCTCTTTAAAATCAACACTTTACATGTACATGTACAATGATCTGCATTTTACATTTGTATCTGGGAAGTTGTAATCTACAGCCATTTCCCCTCAAAATGTCCTGCCATGTGCTGATAAAATTGTATAAAACATCTTATTCTAATTTGCTCACATTTTTTTCTCAAAACGTCTATTACGTTAAGGCATATCAATACAAATATGATAAATAATTTTGCTGTCACTTATAATTTTTGATTTCTAAATATACTCATAAGCGTCAAATTACTTCTCTATTTCTGCATATTGCACATTAAAAAACAAATTTCACATTTTTTTCCCACGCATTGTCGATCAGGACTTACATATATAATGTCAATAAATGGCATTGGTAAAAGTATAAAAGAATATCTTTTTTTCAATACAATAATCAAATCTTAAGATACGCGTAACACTACAAATATTTGGATAATTTCAGCGGAACAATGAATAATAATCAAGTGTGATTTCTGAAGAAAAAAAATCAAAATAACTTAACCTTTCAAACAATTAGTACAAATTCTTCACTTAAACAAACCAAACACATGAGATACATAAACACTTTGATATTAACAAAATATCTTTAAACTATGCATGTATTAGTGTACTTCAAAACCCTTAACTTAATTGGTAGGGTTATGCGATTACAATAGGAAAATGAAGAACAACGATTTCTTCTCATAAACATACACATAATTCAAACAGTAAGCATTTTATGGTAAAGTTTTAGATAACAGAAAACAGTTGCGGTGAACTGAATAATGCATGCATGCTGATAACTTTTTAATCACTGAGTACAAAACACACAGAAATACATTGGCATCATATATCACAATAGCTGGTCGGTTTCCTCTAAAAAAAAAAAATTTTTTCCCGAAAAGAAACTACAAGTTGGGCTCTTTATGCAAAAGAGAAAAACAAAAATATATCATCAGGATCAAAACTTACATTTTCATTTTTTCCAATTGTTTCTCCTTTTCTCTTATGGGGTTTTGTTTTATCGAAAAATATGTCAACCAGAAGGTTTTATTTTTTTCTACTGCAAAGGAGAATAGCATCTCCAGAAAGGTTACAAGTTTTACATTTTTGTTGTTGAGAATTTGACATGAAAACAACGTACCTTTGTTCAATAGTTAACCAAAAAAAACACCTGTGTGCTGTGGTGACATTGTACATATGTTGTGAAGAAATTTTCTTTTCCTTAAAGATGCGTTCTCTTTGCTCTCCAAAAAATATTTTTGTTTTCTCCTAAAGATTTTTTAATGTGGATGTTTTTAATGCATCTGCAACCCTCTTAAAAAGTGGTTTGATTTTACGCACAGCTGAACCCGCCCTGCAAAAGCTGAATTTCTGTCTGGCAGCCAATAATTCATATTTTGTAAAGAAATAATTCAACAACAAAACAGTTGTTTTTGTTTGATGTCTTATTCAAAAGCGAACAACTTTTATATTACAAGGAAAACAGCAATTGAAAAAAGAAAAAAACAATTCGGGGCGAAACTTGATGTTTCAAGTTTCGCCCCGAATTGTTTTTTTTTTTTTTTCAATTGCTGTTGTGAAGAAATTTTCTTTTCCTTAAAGATGCATTCTTTTTGCTCTCCAAAAAATATATTTTTGTTTTCTCCTAAAGATTTTTTAATGTGGATGTTTTTAATGCATCTGCACAGGGAAAGAATCTTAAACCTAATTCTCAGCCATTTTTTTGCCGAGATCCTTCCTAAATGCTCTAAAATCCACCACTGTGCATCAGAATCCATGCCACACTCTCTCTACTGAAACTTGCATCAACCATCCAGCCCATTTGAATTATAAGTGGCTGGGCTCTACCTTCCCAAATCTTACAAAACTCTAAAAAAAAAAAAAAAAAAATAATAAAAATAAAGAAAAATAAACATTTCGGAGGACGAAATCTTAAAGAAAACATGATTAAAGAGCAAGAATATTGACATCATGACATGAGTTGTTATTGTTGTTGTTTTGTGGTCTTACACTTAAACAATTGCTGAATAGTTTTCTGCATTTGTAATGAGCACTTAAGATTTGCGGTAGCAGGATATAGGCATACAAAAGCAATTTTACAAAATCCTGAAATGAAAATAAAAACACACTCATTTTCTTTATAAGCAGCAAAAAAAGGCCACTACGATTTTGGAAAACATTTGATCATTGTATCGGCACTTATATGATACACAGATACAGTTTGAAAAGAAAATTGACTTATTGGCATTGACTCGCTGTTGCAATGAAAATAGCATTGGTATCATTATGTATGCATTGATGAAACTGCATATGTATAGTATAAGACAAGAACATAGCTCTGAAGTGACATCACAATTTTTTGCCCCGTTTTCATCTGAATGGCATAGGGCCCATCTCAATTCATATCCGGTGTTCTCCAACCTGTTATAATAACCTGGTGCCCCGCCAAGCTTTCTGAGGCACCCGCCAAGCTTCAAAAGTTGCCGGCATGCTTAAAAAGTTGCCCGCTATGCTTTAAAAAAAAATGGAAAAAAATAATAAAAAAGACAAACAAGTGGGACTACCCTTACCCTCCAGGGTATATTTTGGCCAGAAACTCTGCCAAAAGCAGTAACATGCAACACTTGTCAAACTGACAAGCCTGCCCATTGTAGCAATCCATCAGGTTACAAGTCTCAAGGCCAAACTGTGCTCAGAGTCCCTGGTCACTGATGTATTAAAAAAGATGATGCTGAGCCAGTATTGTACTTAACTGTTACTGTTTTAGAAATAGCCTAAAAGCTGTTATCCATACATAAATTACATGTTCATCTGTAAATAGCGCCCCCTAGCATAAAGAAATGGATGACTGCAAATAGCGCCCTTAACATTATTATAGCGCCCCCCTCCGCTTTTTGACGGCACACCGACCTTTAATTTTCAAAGTTGGAGAACACTGCAAATCCGGGACAAATTCCGGAAAAGTTGTGGGTTGAATCATTCGCTTTGTCTGGAAGAAGCTCTGCATTTGTCCCAGACGCGTTCCAGGGAAATTTTCATGAGCAACTGCTTGACTCACCAATACTGATAACTTCATTGCGGGAAGATTGCGGTAAAGTTGTTCGCAATCCTGCAACTTTTACATTTATACCCGATACAATGTCCGCAACTTGTCGGGAACTCATCCCGGATATGAATTGAGAGGGGCGCTTAATGTATGATGTTTCTCAGCTTGATGTCATATATGCGATACACTAGATTAGGTTTGACTTTATAAAAAAACATCAAACTGAAATTAGCTCTCCTTCTCACCACAAGATAAACTTTCATACAAGCCCAACGCATTTCAAACAAACCAACGTAATCATCTCAGTTCCTTATCATGACAAAGCTAATGCGCTGATTCTTAAATGAGCATAATTGTCACCAACCTTTTTCTTCACATCTTAGGCTGCATCAGAACTATGTAGGGCTGTCCATTTTTTTAATAATTTAGTATTCGATTACTCGACACTGCGTTAGACCGAATATTCGGATATTCGAAACTGACAGCTGCAACTGCGTGCTGCGCTGGTAAAAAGTTGCAAGAAGAGTGCCGGTTTAAATTTGCGTGCGTCGATATGCCGCACTCAAGTGTTTTGCAATAAGTATTTTATAACTGTTAAAGGGCTTTGCTAAAAGAATGGCACATGACACCTGACAAAAAAAGTGGCACCTGACAACAAAGCACCGCAACTTTACGCTAAAATAACATCACAGTCGTGTGTGTATGTGCGTAGTTTTTTTTCCTTTGAATATTCAAACTGGCAAAACGCTATTCAAGTATTCCGTTGATGATTGAATATTTGACTATTAGGTATATTTGGGACAGCCCTAAAACTATGGCTTGCGGTTACACATGCTCCTATGGAAGTGGCTGAATCCAATTCCCATAGACACGTGTTACTGCAAGCCGCAGCCAAGTAAATCAGACACGGCTTAAGTCTGGTTCCCTATGGCATCAGGGCCCAATTTCACGGCACTGCTAAACACAAAAATTTGCTTAGCACAAAAAAAGTCTGGCTTATAAAAGCAGTTTACCAGCCAAAACTCCATGTGATTTTCATGCTAAGCAAACAACAGCTGAATACTAATCACGAGCAATATACATCACACAGGATTTTGGCTGGTAACCTGCTTTTATAAGCCAGACCTTTTTTGGTGCTAAGCAAACTTTTGTGCTTAGCAGCGCCGTGAAATTGGCCCCAGGCTTCATCGGCAATGCGTTCAAATGCCTCTCTCAGTGGTCTCTCCAACTCTCCCTTTCTTACCGTAGAGGGGGTCCTTGTGCACACAGCCCATTGTCTCGGTCTTTAACAATTATTGCCACATCAGAGTATCCTGACAACAGACGTAGCCGTAGCTCTGAGGCCCTTTTGGGACATGGCCAAAACGTTCCTCTTGGAAGCTTGGCTTGTTTTACTTTTTCAGTGCAGACACTTCTGTTGGATTGCTATTAGAACGGACAGTTATCAAATATGTTGCTTGTCATGATGGGTAGAGGAACGTCGTCCATGTTGGGCAGAACGAAGACTTTCTGCAGAATTCAAAGTTGGGATAAAAATATCAAGACAATTAAGTTCTGCAGGAATAGCAGTTTTAAGAGAAACCTTGCCTTAAGCCTAGTTAAGTTTTGCCTTTCCATATGTGTGTATTCAGTCCATTTGTTTCAATTGCCTCGTAAGCTTACAGTTTAGAATAGGTCTAAATACAGACACAAAACAGGTTGAAAATATGCACATGGAAATACTGCTTTACTCAAATTTGTAACCATTTTGTGTATGTCCATGAAACTTGAATACAAGGATTTTTAAGCAACTACGTAGACAGAAATAACAAGAATTTAAATAAAAGTGTCTTGAATAATATAACCATGTCAAGTTGTGTAGGTCAATAATTGTTTGGGCAGTGAATAATGAAGAAAGTGATTTACTGTAAAACTTTTGAAGTGATTTCAGAATTTGGGGTTAAATATTCCTTTTTAATAGAGTTTGCAGCTCAACCAATGGTAAAATGAGGGCAATGAATTCTGAGGAGAAAGCTACAATCTTTGTATTTAGTACATTTCAATCAAGTATGGCCATGTAATGGTGATCAAGATCCAACTAATATTTGGCTTTGCAGATTGTTCTTGTTAAGCAATAAAACGACAGAGAAAAAATTACTACAAAGTGTACATATTAAATATCACTGTGGCTGGTCACCTGTATAAAAGCAAACAAGTTCTAGACTAAGCAACAAGAGATCACCATGAAATTATCCGCAGATGGGTAATGCAACAACTCTAATACTAGCATGATTTCAATAACTCTTTTGACTTCAAGTCCATGTCTGAACAGAAGTTCAAAATTTTACGGAAAGTCAACAAATAGTTTGGTTTTTCTGACCATTGGTGTTATTCAACCCTTTGCTCTTTTGGTGTTACTTTAAGCACAAGGATATAAATTCTGTGAATCTGAGGTTCAAAGTGTGACATTTTTCCTGTCCCTGTTACCTCATTCGGTAAGTAGTTTGCTATTCATAATCACTCTTGGAGGACGACTAATTAAAGAGAGCACATCAGAAATATAAAATCATAGATGTCAGATGTAACAGGGACAGGGAAAATAGTGAACCCCAAATTTATACATAATGAACCACATGTCAGTTGGTCATGCCAATGGACTCCAACCGAAAAGTACAACGGTTATACTTTGACTTATACACTCTGGAGTGAATGTTTATGTCAATAGAGGGTTTATCTGCTGATCAGTAGTGTTACACCTGATGTCACTACTGACGTGTTTACTTTAGTTTGTTTATTGGCAGTGAGTTATGAACATAAGACTTGTTACTGTGACAGGCACTGGAAGGCAGTGCATGTCCAGTCACTACCAGCAAATGTGGATGTGATCAAGCTAAATGAATCTTCTGTCAACCTTGGTAATTTATTATTTTACAGATTTGAAAAGAGCACAATCTCAGCATTACTGCTGTGAAAACTGCATGCTGGTACCATCTTTAGTTCAAAAATTATGGAAGTTGGAAGACCAAGAGATGTGATGAAGTGATGTGATGAAGTGGCCCCATTTTGGCCTGTATCTCCAAATGAATGTTCCCGACAAACGTCTCAATTAGCTTGATCGCATCATAAATGTTGAAGTCAATTGAAAAATGTGGCATTGCAGGGGTTAAAGACAACCGATGTTTACCAAGCAAAATGTCTTTTGACTGTTTTTGTCTTACCTGAAATTCTGTCTCCAGTTTCTTCTCGATGTAGTCGGTGATGTGGGTGATGGTGACTTGACGAGCCCCTAGCTTGGGCTTCGCTGACAGCCATAGGTTGGGCTTGTCTCGAAAGCCGAACCTTTGAAAGGAAATACACAATTGCGAAATTAAAGATTACTTAAAAAGCAACGTGAAATAAACATGAATGGAATGCACAAGAATGCTACAATGTTAATATTTCAGACAAGATATTTGCTGTGGATGTTATGCTCCACTATTTTCTGATATCTTTATGGAAAGAAAAATAATCATGAAAACTTGTAATTTTGCGTCACTCACCAACAACATTAACTTAAATGTCGGTGAAGGGCAAAACCTAAGTTGATTTATATCACCCCAACGCAAAATTCCATCTTATAACAGTATCTGAATTAAGAGTTATTTTTGTTATAGGTGAATAATTTCAGATATTTAATGTTGCTTACTGGAAAAGCCATGTGCTTTAGTCAAGTCATCACAAGTTTGTCACGAGTCATCTAGTCTGAAGTCAAGCGAGAGTCAGGCAAATGACAAGTGACAGATTTATTTATGTGTCATTGTTCATCCCCAGTTACTTGCGATCTTGTGATGTACAATTTACTTGAGATTTGGCTTGTGATTGACTTGTCATTGGATTTGAAAATGACGTATGATTTGGGCTGTGAGGGACCTGTCATTTGACTTGTGAATGACTTGGATTTTAACTTGGGATTTTAACTTGGGATTTGACTTGCAATTTGAGTTGTGATTGCTTGTGATTTGATCTGTGATTAACTTCTGACTGACTTGTAATGACTTGTGATTTGACTTGTGATTGACGTGGGATGTGGCTTGTGATTTGACTTTTGACTGGATCTGTGTGTGACTTGTTAATTGGCCTGTGATCTGTGATGATCTGTGATAATCTGTGATGATCTGAATTAATCTGTGATGCACTTCCCACTGAGGCCTAACATGTGACTGACTTAGAAATTGATAAGAATTTGTGATTGACTTGACTCGAATACAACCCTGGTCCATACCAGAATCTGTCCGTGGGTGGTGGTGGGACGTTCACACACAATGTTCCCGTCAATCGTTTGACCTCGACCGTGAGTTCGACCGGCGTGTTGGACACCTCGTCCATGGCCCGTTTGATGTACTTGTTCTGCGTAGCACTCTGGAAGTACTTGGAGCTGGCTATTTTGTTGACGAATCGCATCAACTTGCCAGAGCCTTTAGCGCTGAAAAGAACAGAAAAATTATTAAACATTGATATTTTGTGCTTGTGCGCCTTATCAATGCCCCACTGCATGTCCAGATGGGCACTAATATGTGGGTAGGTTAACCTTTCCAAATGGAACATTTTCAGTCTTGAACTACCTTTGCTTTGGTCTTAAAGGGCAAATGCAATCAACTTTTGAAATGGAATCCTTAAATTTACATTTATGTCCAATCGAAATTCACATTTATGTCCAATTTAAATTTTATACTGCTAGTTTGAAAAGTTTTACCAGTTTGTCCCCCCCCCCCCATTTTATGCTAATGCAAATTTTCAAATTCATGAGCAATAATTTGATGTCATCTCAGGCAGAAATTTCAGTCATGTCAGTGGTACAGCAGGTTTTCCATCAAACATTACTGAAAGGTTTAGTCTTGCTTTGGGAATTCTCAGTTTTAAGGTGTTTGATTTTGTCCATAATAATCCAGTCATTGTGAACATTTTACTCAAAAATATTTCAGTGAGCTTAAATTTTTGTTCATATTTGTGTTGAACATCCCTGAGTACATGTAATAATGAACTGAAAATAATGAATTGAAAACCTGAGAAGGGTGTCTCATTGCTTTCATACAGAGGAATTTGATATTTGCCTAAAGTAGGTTAAACATGTTAAAGTGTGAAATTCACTGCACAGTTAATTGTTACTTAACAGTAGGTCTAACATCACATCAAAGACAATGAGAAGGATTATGTCAATATGGCTTGGAGGATATTTCAATAATACCGTATGGTACAGCGACAATATTTTTTGATACCGAGCCATACCGAATGATGTTGTTAAAATACCGAAATACCGGAAAAGTCGGTATGGAATTTCAATACGACAATAGTCTCTTTAAACTGCGGCCAGATGTGTGCAAAAGACATTGTATAAAGGAAAAAAAACTTGGCTAGATGCATGCACATTACATTGATAATTGTTTAAATTCTTTGTGGTCATGGTATTAAGATAAGGCAAGAAATGTCGGAGCTGGATTTAACATGCTTAAAACCAATGTTTTTGCCTTTGAAGTTCTGCTGACGCTCCCTGTTTCGGGTGTTTTATTATTTTTTTTAAGAATTAATAGTCTGTCCAGAAGCAAACCTGGTTATACTGAATACCGTGATATTTTTGTGATGACATACCATAGGCTCTCAAAATCCGCCACTGCACACGCCTAATGTCAATAACATCTCAGTAACTTACGTTTCAGTTTCTACGCTTGGTGCAGCAGCTTCTTGAGATACGAAGGCATCGTCTGCTTCCTCGTCCGACGACTCAGCGCTATCCTCTACTTCACTGTCCAATGCTGCCATGGACGGAGTCCTATGGAAAGACAGTCAGTAAAATGTGGTCAGTGGAAAGTCTTTGTGAGGGATGATACTCTTAAGCAGCTCTTGGGATACATGCGAAAGGACTGTTCCGAATTCCACCATAAAGGCCACCCACCAACCCTCCTGCTATTCAAAGAGAAGATACATTTGCAAAAATCAAAAAACGAAATGATCAAATTATCATGGAATATCTTACCGAATTTATAGGGAATGACAGTCTAAAGCATCCTGTAAAATCGTGGCCCCTGGTGTGCTGACATTTTCAAAAAAAATTGTATTTTTCCAATGCTGGTCGGCCGACCAGCGTTGGAAAAAACTGGCTTTTTTCAAAAACTGCTCCCAATTTTTCATATTTAGTTACCCAGCATTTCGTTTGTAATTGATTACACACGTAGTAAAGGGGTACAAGCCTTCCAGACTGATTCTCTGACCTTACAATTTCCCAAAGTCTATAAATTGCTCCGTTTCATTTTAAGGGGTCAGGGAACCAGACTACAAGAACATGATTGGTTTTCTTGAATTTTCCAGCATCTACAAGCCCAAAAAGTTAAACAAGTCAGTTTTTATTTGCTATATTTGACAATATTTGCTATAACATACTAATCTTCCAAATCCATTTATTTCTGAAAATTTCAGCAAAAGCAAATGTTGTACATTCCCTTTAAGCAGTCATGGACAGTCAAAATTCACTTCCCCTGCTATACTTTTAACAAAGGCTAGTCACCAGCAGTCAGATCATATTTCAAGCAAGCACTGTGACTAGTCAAACTCAGTCAACAGACAAAGCAGGCAAGTTGTGGTCACAGCTGTTTTATCACTCACTCAGAGTCAAAGCACATACATGTAGCAAGTTACTTAAGCAGTGCAAGGCAGTCAATCCTGCTTTATGTGGGCCAGGAATTCTTAAGGGTTGAAAACAGTCAATTGATTGATTTTGACTGCAAGGACAACTTGGCGCAAAATGTATGTTTGCATAGGAGGGTTAAAGGCATGTCTGAAGTGAACGTTTGGATGGAACAAATTTTTCAGATCGTTCAATTGACATGGGGCATCAGCTTTAATTATTAAAAAGTGTGTGTTTACGGTATCACCCCAACATCATTTTTAGCAAAATAATGTTATTTTGTAACTTTTTCGTTTGTTTGACTGTCGGGTTTTTTACCAACTTTATTAAATTTAGGATACCTTTAACGGTATTTTTTAACTAACCTGTGTAATTGTTCAAGCAACCAATAACACGCAAAATAGTCTTTTTCAAAATATATGTAATTTAAAACTTTTGGTCAAATGAGGCGCTAAAATTGTTTAGGTCAGCAACAGCAATCCAGGTACCTGTAGGTCGGGTTATCGTAATCACACAATTTTTTTGGGTCTCAGACATCCTTGAAAACAAGATAAATATACATGAAAACATGATAAATGTAAAGCATTTAAACTAACAATGCCCAATGTGCAATCCATGAGTAAATTCCATCAAGGACCATTGTTGAACTAGTGGTTGCTTCATGAATATAAGTTACATGTACGCCTGCGCTTTTATCATTATAGCAACATGCCAATATCCCTAGACAAACTCTATTCAAACAGTGGTCAAAGTACCGACGCTATTGATCACAAAATCTCTCCAGGGGTGGATTGCAATACCGCTGTCTTAGCCGGCTGGCTTAACCTGTCTGATTTTAGCCAGCTATCGCTCTCAGACGTCCTTGGTTAAGACACCAAACTTAGCCCATTGCAATAAGCCGATCTTTACTAATCCAGCTTAATGATAGTGTCATGATTCACAAACAATTATTCCAAGGTTACGGGTCTGTGGTGCTCACTGGCAAATACCAGAGAGACTGCATCATTCCCGTGTGTCTGATTCAAATCATGTGAAATCAAATAGATTGTGAGATTGCATGTCGAGAAAATTGTACTTGCAGTACATTTCAGTGTCATTACAATTCTCTAGAACATATCCTTGATAATACCCTCTCTAAGCAGTATTTTTCAATTTATCAAACACGCATCAAGTGAAATTTTTTTTTTTCAATACACAGATGAATTAAAGAAAATCCGGACTATAGACCGATTAAAGCCAGCCCTATGCAGGCTAACTATTTTAAGACTGTCTTAACACTTAAACCGTGTCAAAGACCGTCCACACGCATCTAGACAGCTTTAAGACCAGTTACTGCAATCCACCATGTCCACCCCTGGTCCTTGCTCCTTGCTGTGAAAATGATGAACATGGCTATTGTTACTACTGATGCATATGACCCTGGTAGGCTGGCCCTTGGTTGCCTAGCCTTGGTCCTCATTTAAAAATTGCAAAGGGTTGATCTTAAACAACTTTTTAAAAAAGTGGTCATGGTAGTCGCATTTGTCTGGAAATAAGTCACTGCGTATTAAAAGAGTTTTTACACCTGACAATGAAAAATTGCAGCAAATGAATGGCGGTTGGCTTGGTTGATGTGATTTACATGTACATATTGTGTTGGTTAGTACAATGTGTGACAAAACCACATGAATCTTGCGTTTTTTTATTGTAGGTTTATTTACATAATTACATGTACAGCACTACATGTAAGTTGAGATAACAAACTTCAAACAAGTGCATGTCTGCATGTACAATGAAGTTATTTCTAAGCCAACAGTGTAATCTGCATGGCTTTCAACTCATGTTCATAGATTGACTGAGACCACAAATGTACAGACAATTTTCATGGTATATTACCATGTCATGAAATCAAGTACGAGCATGTCTTTCTACTCTAGAAGAGGTACATGTACATGCATGAACTCTCTGAAGTTTGACATGTTTGATGTATTTGCAATCGGATGAGTGAGTAATCTGATTGAAGCGCAATGCTGACTTGTGACATTCAAGATGAAGTTGTACCTGGGCTTGTCATACTCATAACTTGTCGTCTTCATCTCTTGTGGGGCTTGTTGCCGTTTGCCTTTTCTAGTTTGACAATTTTGACGATTGATTTATAAGAATAAAATCATATATGATGACTTTCGAATTGCAAAATTCTGTCTATTGTAATAAGTGTGTGGTGTGTAAAAAAAATCATGTACATAAAGGTTTAAAGTTTAACACCAACAACAAGTTTCCACAAAACCTCAGTTGCCAAAAACTTTCTTCAAATAGATAATTTTTTTTCAATTAAAAAAATTTAATGATTGCAATTTTGTCCATCAATTCACTGCAGACAGTGAATGAAATTGCAACCCAGGATGAAGAAATTAACAAATAAAAAAATAAAAAAACCAAATAAACCAGCAATTAAAAAATGACAGAAATAATGGACCAATTTCACAGAGCTTCTAAGCTGAAAATACGGTAAGGTTGAGTACCAGTCACAACCTGTACACACCGCATGAGGTTTTGGCTGGTGACCTGTTTCAGCTGAGCAAATATCTATCGCTGCTTAGCACCTCCTCAAAATCGGACCCTTTTCTTTGATAACTCATTTTTCTTTGGTTTCATAAAATCTATTTTTTTTTTTTTTGAAGGAGAAAGCTTACCTTTCCTTCTCTTTGGTTTCTTTCTTGACCGGGGGGATTTCCGCCATCTCCCGTTCGTATTTGTCCCCCTTCCCCAGTCGCCACAGATTGACCTTAGTCGTCATGGAGACCATGCAGGAGCCTCCGTACACCATGTCCAGATCCACCCACAGTCCCCGGTCGTCCAGTCGGGGTCGGGAGACCCGACGCAGCTGGGGGGAGTTGACCCCTAGGTCGATGTCTGTGATTTTTAACTCTTCAATGAAGTAAGGTACCTGGAGACAAAATATAAGAAAGTGTCTAGCTGTCTGAAGTCTTGTAGACCAAGAAACAACTTTAAGTTGCTCTGCCTGTGCTATTTTTGAGTTTCACTCTGTTTTTAAATTGCTATTTTTCTAGCAATACAAAAGTTATTAAATTTTGAATGAGACATCATTCAAAAATATCTGGCAATGTTAAGTCATAGAATATTTACTTTGCAAACAACTTGCGGCCCTACAATAATTCAGGCTTATCTGATTCGTGCGTTATTGGCGCAAAAGCGACCCAAAATTAAAGCATCTTTTCAGAGGGATGAACAAAAGCAAATCAGAAAAGAAGTTGCCTTTTCCATTTTAATAAAACTTCATTCAAATATGGGAAACTTTAAGCACAACGGAAAATGTATATCACAGTTGAACCCGGAGCCCTGAACCTTGAACCCTTGAACTCTGAATAGAGCCCCGAGACGTAAAAGCTTATTTCTTTTGTAGGGAGCCAATGTTGATTTGTCACCTTGAGTTTGCTGAGTTTCTTCTGCAGTTTAGTCTGCACCAGGTTGGCCCAACTCTCCTCCCTCAAGAAATCCCAGAAGAATCTGCCGACCACAGCGTTGACCCAATCCACCGGCGACGTTCCGGGCCCGTTGACCTCAGGCTTAGGCTGGCGCCTGGCTGGACTTGCGTAGGTCACGTTCCCCGCCTTCACGTTCACCCCTTGCGAGACCACGACCTCTTTCGGGTCCTTTTCCTTGGGCATGACTTTGGTCAAGAAGCGGTAGAAGTCGATGGTGCCCTTCCTGGCGGCCACGTCGTCTGGGTCGGCTCGATGCAAATGCTGGCTCCCGCCATCTTTAGTCAGCTCCCCGCCAATCAGAAACACGCCTTTGTTCAAAGTGGGGATTGGGCGCCGGCCGCGTTCGAGTCTGTCAAACTTAGCGGCGATGTCGAACTTCCAGTACCACTCCTCCTTGTCTCTGCTAGTCCGCGTGAAGAGATAGAGGATGCGGTCGTCGCATTCCTCTTTCTGGATGCAGTCGAAGCCCATGGACTTTGCATCGGTGTCGTCGTGTGATCTGTTGTCACATCTGTCGGTGTGATCTGTTGTCTCCTTCATTGTGTCCTTACACTCCAATGAGATGCCTTTCTTGGGAAGCTCAATGCAGATTGGGTATTTCTTGCTCCAAAGTCGCTTTTTGACCAGCCCGCTTGGAAGTAGGTAGACCTTCAATTAAAAAAAAAAGGCAAAAATTGTTTAACTAAATAAAAAATATGAACATTGGTTGGTTAAAGTATATATTACATGTAGAACAAACTTAGGGTCCCTTTTCATGGCTCCACTAACTTGTGTGCTTACACATGTTACGTGGACAGCAAAAACAAAAGAATGCTTACTGAACTTATGTGATGTGGGCGAGGGCAAAAGCCAAAATCCCTTGATGATTGTGAAACACGCTAACCCTTCCAATTCTGGCATCTACAGTTGCAGCTACACAGCAAAACCTCTCTGCATACATGTATGTAGGCAGAGCAACAAAATTGGACCAAGTTTTTCAATGGCCAGCAATTTGTATAACAGTTGTATCAATATCTGTGATTGTTTGCATTTGAAAGACATGGGATTCTCAGGATGTTTCTCCTGTGTCTCATAGGCAGTCTTTTTAGTTTTTAGTGTTGGGGTATTTTTAGTTGCGGGATAGCAGCTCAACAGGTTATTGTGTCTCTCCGTTAGTTGTTAGTTAGTTAGTAAAAAACATTGATTTGCTAATAACAAATGTTGCAATTGTCTATTGCTCCTACACATTTTGACCGATTTCAACCAAAGTTTGTCAAAAGTATCAGTAGCCCAGGCCCAACATGTCACATGACCAAAATGGGGTCAAATGTCATCATGGGGTCACTGGGGTCGAAAGCAATCACATGACTCATGCATGAACACGAATTCGTTGGCCCGCAGCTTCCGCGATCCAATCCAGCTTGTTTTTAAATTTGTTATTTCATTTGCAAAAGTTTGAATTGAACAAGATTTTTGGGAGAGCCTTAGCACACAGATGGGATTTGGATAAACCAATTAGGTCACAAAAATATTTTCAAAAAATGTGTTTTTTTTACAATGCAAATAGACTTAAATTACAGTACCTTGCTGTCTCGCATGTCATAGTGCCTCTGATGAACAAACTCGACCTTATGGACGGCCGGCTCGTCAAACATCGCACGACGCGGGATGTTGTGCCTAGGTCGTGATAACCTCAGCGAATAACCATCCAGACGAACGTAGACCGACTGCGTCTGACTTGTGTGGTAATTATCAGGGTCATAGGTCATGGGCAGCTCATTCATCCAGCCCTGCATGGAGACCGAAACATAAAGGTCAAATGTCAAATTTCCTTTAAAGGGAATGTACATCATTGGTTTTTGCTGTAATTTTCAGAAATGAACTATTTGAGGGGTTAGTATAATAGATCAAATATTGTTACACTGACATGTTTGAAGTTTTGTGTTCGAAAATGCTGGAAAAAAACAAGAAAAACGAAAATGTCCAAGTAGTCTGGTTCCCTGACTCCACTAAAGATAAAATGGATCCATTTATAGATGCCGGAAAATTGTAAGGTAAGGGAACCAGTCTAGCTGGCCTGCACCTGTTCATGAACATGTAACCAAAAGCAAACAAATTTGGACTGAAAAAAAAGAAGGTAAATTTGGAGCAGTAGTTGAAAAATAGTTTGGTTTTTCCAACAGTGGTCGGCCGACCACGGTTGGAAATGTATACATACAAAAATATCATTTTCTTGAAAATGACTTCACACCAGGTGCCATAATTTTACAGGATGCTTAAGACTGTCATTTACAAACATCCTAGTAAGGTATTTCGTAAAAACTTGGTAGTTTTATTTTTCGATGTTTGCAAATGTTGTATATTCCCTACGTCGAACCTGCCATTTACCAAAACAGAAAATGTCCCAATTTTTTTTTTATTTCCTGAAGGATCATTCTTAAAATGGAAAATAATATATTTTGCTTACAAAAAATGATGAACAATAAAGGAGTGTTTATAGCGTGCCTGGTGACGTCCTGCAGACAGGCATCCGCCAGGCAAACCAAACATTTGAGCATCTTTCGCATGTTATTTGGCCCACATTAAATAGTACATCAACATTTTTAACCATTCATATTTCAGGAGATAAGCAGTGCAGAAGAGAACCGTTTGCTGAAAACTGGCATCATGTGACCACATCCAACAACATGCCATTGTGTAAACAAATGTCACATGGTCTGTACTCAAGCACTTGTTAAAATTTATGACTTGGGTAAAACCTACATATCCAAGATACATGGATGTATATGTACAGGTAGAAGTACATGTACATGTACATTATACAATGTATGTGTATCTCTAACACAATGAAAATGAACCTTCTATTTGTACGTACATTGTATGTTCTTTCTCTAAAATACTGTAAATCACTGTTTGACCAGGACATTCTGATAAGTTTTACATGTAGGTCCCGAGCAAACATTCCTGTTGTTTTACTCAAATTTTCAGACATGTTGAGGATCAAAATTGTCCATTCCTAATGCCATACATGTGCTACCTGTGCATAATGTTAATCCTAATCGCTCCCAAGGATCAATGAATGTGGGACATCTGGCATGCATGGGTCACATGAAACTGGCAATTTCAGCTCATTTGTAATTGTGTAATGGCCCACAGATCAACAGTGTGTTGGATCAATAAACAGCAATTTCCTGCAGCCTGTTGTCAATTATTAACATTTACGACACATTAATTAGCTGCTTGGTAAAAAAAATCTGTGCCCATCCCTGACAAACTGTACATGTACATGTACCGGTAGGTTCATACAAACGTACTGTACACACGTATGGGTAATATTTACATGTTCATGTACAATGGCAATATTTAACAAAATTTTTCTAAAATTTGTTTTTGTTCACAATGCCTGATGATGAGTTGTAACCATACCAACAAATTCTTCTAAACCTTAACCCTAACCCCTTGAGCACTTTTACTAGAAAGTATCCAGAATCCGCTAAAATCCACCTATTGTGTCATGCACAAAAAAATTTGGTGTTGGTGACTGCTGAGTATGGAGGTATCCTGAATCCATCAAAATCCTGCAGTACCGCTAGGCTTACATTGTACAATCCTCAATCCATCAAAATCCCCCGTTTTCAATATGGAGGTATCCTGAATCTGCCAAAATACTCCAAAACAGGGGTATGGATTTTGATGGATTCAGGTACGTCAGGGTTAAACATCTTGCTTGTTTTTCACAATTCTTATGAATTTAGTTCTAACTTTGCAAAAAAAAAAAGGGGCATGATGATCCAAATACAAATGTGATTATGGCTTACTGCAAAATGTTGGAAACAGATTCAGTCAGCTAATGACCAGGCAAAAACATACATTGATATAGAAGAGTGCCGATATTTAAAAAAACACACCTGAATTTTGAGCCCATAGAGGTATATGGGCAATTCTAACATTATGAAAGTAATGTCCGTGACAGAACCAATAACAATGAATCTAATTAATAATTCAGAGAAATGATCCAAAACTCATAGTCTGAAATCTCCTTGACCATTACTAAATAATAATGTACACATCAAATTTGAGAATATTTTCAGGTTTATTCACTGAGCTCTTAAAAGTTCTGTCACTGACATTACATAATGCTGGGTGATGTTGAAAATGAATGAATTTGTAAAGGCAATAATGTTTTCCTTCACTCAGATGCTGACTGTCTTACGTAGGTGAGCCATTCAAAACTGAATAAACAAACCAATGTTTGAATATAAATGTATGCATGAAATGTCATCCTACCAGTACATTATCAACCCAATTTCTCTTAAAACAAGATTAGAATATTATTATACAGCTGAATTTGCCAGACATTTCTAGCAATAAAAGGATTTGATACAGGCCGCACACCCACAGTACTGCGTAATTGGATTGGATTTTGTTGTCTAAAGTTCATAGTCTGCAGCAAATGACATACACAGTGCCTGGCAATGCGCAGAGCACATATGGCTGTATACACATGCATACATGTACATGTACATGTAGGTTATTGCTCGAAGCCTTGGTGAAAGATGTTTTTTTTTCTCCAGAAGCTAAGTTCACGGAGATGCTACAAACGGAAATTTGCTCAACACACACAAGCGTTGCTTAGCAATAACAGGTTACCAACTAAAATGTCATGAACATTGTATGTGACTGGCTCCCAGCCTTTGATTTTTGGACGAGCACATGTAACGCTGAAAAAATTGTGTCTTTACGGTAAGGCCAAAAAAAAAAGTCTCCGGTTTCTGGTATGGAGCTTGCCCCAAAAGTGGTGCGGCGACGCGTTTTTTTTTTTTTTTTACCTGTTTTTTTTTTTTTTTGGCTTCAAATGTCGGCTGATGACTGCAAATCGTGCCCGACTAAACTTAGTGCAAATATATGGGAGTCCAGAGAGGCCACATAAATCTTATTCTCGATCATAACCCCTTCTAAAAACACGTTAAAATTGTGCAGCAGCAGAATTCCAGTCAAACAGTGAGTTTGGCGGTTTTGAAACATCATCTTGTATTGAAAAAAAAACCTTTTTCATTTTGCCGACGCGCATGGCTACGGCGACGCGCGCGCATACCAGAAACCGGAGACTTTTTTTGGGGGCCTAATGCCCTAATAGGTGGAAAGGAAAATAATTTAATTCTGTAACCTTTTTTGCTGTTGTCTTTTCTGAACTGTGTTAAATTTTTAAAGGGTACATTTAGCAGTTTTCTGTTTAACCTGTTTAAGTGTTTAATTAACCAATCATGGGGGGGGGGGGGGGGGGGGGGGGGGGTAAAGGGGGTATTCCCCCCCCCCCAATTTTTTAAAGACTGCCCTTTTCCATTCAAATGCCTTCCCCCCCCCAGCTTTTACCCCCCCAATACTTCTTAATACATGTAGTGCCCTTCTTTTGTTAACAAGTGCCCTTCTTTTGCTTAACAAGTGCCCTTTTTGTTTAACAAGTGCCCTTTTTGTTTAACAAGTGCCCTTTTTGTTTAACAAGTGCCCTTTTTAAAAATAAGTTGTGCCTTGTTTAGTTCCATCGGCCGATACGTGTGCCTTTTCTTTACATTTCGAGCATGTATCGCCCTGAAAAGCACCATATATTTAAAGCTATAGTCCATCATTTGCAGTCATCCGAAAAGTAACTGCCGTAATTATTGTTGAAAAACAAACTTGGTTGAAAGATAGTAAGGGAACTAAGGTGATTCTTAAGAAGCACCGTAGGAAAATTTAAATTAGTAGTTCGTTTTGTTATTCAGCGCAGCGCGCACAAGTATTGGAACGACGCACACGCGCGCGCGGTTGTTATAATTCGTTGGATCAGTGCGCTACGTCGCGTATGGCTGCAATTCAAAACAATTCAAAACATGATTCAGTAACTTTTGATTTGAAAATGAGATCTTAGAATGCTGTTTTTCTCGATATGTACAGCTGAAGCTTAGCTGAAACTTCATCAGGTTTGTTGTTCAGCACCCTTCTTTAGATTTTGAACCCTTTTGTTGCTTCAAACGAACAAAATGCACAAATTACAAATGATGGACTATAGCTTTAAGTGTATGTAATTGTGGGTTTTGAACCGCGCCCCACAAACACATATGGTACCTGCCCCCCCCCCCCCCAACACTATTTGATTTTACGGAGGCCAAGTGTCCGGAGAAAAAATGGTCCGCATTTCAGCACGGATGTGCAAGTGCCCTTTTCAAAAAAATTTACCCCCCAATAAAAAAGACCGTGCTACGCCCCTGAAATAAAAAGCATGATATGAAAAGTACACAAGCACACACAGAAAAGAGCACACATGTACTTCTAAAATGCCAAAAAACATGTCAAAAGGAAATGTGAAAAAATAAAAAAGACGTCACCTGTGATTTGGTTGAGTCATCCTCTGCAAGTGGCTGCTGACGGAGATGTACGGAGATGTAGAATGAATGACATGCAAAGAGAAATGAAACAAGACACCATACAGAAATAACGAGAGCATGAAATGTATGGATTTCGGAAATGTTGCAGCAATGGCTCTACAGTATGTCCCCAAAAAAGTGTCAGTCTGACTAGTTTGAAATCACTACAAAACCATGAGGTCATTTTTGGAAATTGTGGTTGTGCAGATACTCCTGAGCCTTGGCTTCAACCTCTTGGGCAATTCCACAGTTTGATGGACATGGCCAAGAAAATGAAAGTTTTATTTTTTAACCCAGTACTTACGTTTCACATTTTTATTACAGATTATACATTCAAGTATGTGAAATTAACAAAGAAAACCCAATTTTATCAAACTAAAAAATAATTTTTCACTACCAAGAACTCTAAAAATGTAGTAAAGTTTAAACCTTGATTGCTATTAATGCAATTAGAGATATTTCAATCATAACCTTATTACTAGCCTTCATCCATTTTTAATTAAATATCAAAAAGTAGCATTTTATATACACGTAATGTGTGTGGTGAATGCAACACAGCCTGGAGCGTTTCCCATTGCTCCAGGGTTCTAAAGCTAATTCCTGGGTCGTTTGGTATTTCATCATATTATATTCTTGATTGATTTTGACTGAAAGAACAACTTTGTTTGCATAGGAGGATTAATGCAGCCAGTCCCGGTCAAGCTGCTGCAGTTGTTAAGGATGCTACACACGTAGTTGAATTATATCCAGTCTCGGGAAATTTTGACATCGATACCCGAGAAATTCCGAGCGTAACGTGCCTGCATAATACATTGAGTATGAGGTATGCTCAGAACAAAAAAGCCAATTCAGCTTAGATCAAGACTACTCATCCATCGTGAAATAGTTCTGATGAACAACACATGAATTATGTGTGGGCATGAACGTATACAAATATTATCAACAGCAAATTGCCGCCCTTTTCTATATTAAGATGAAAGGAAGTGTACACGTGCATGGTGACAAAACAGCACTTGTCTAAAGTTCAATTCATGCAATGATAACAATCTGAATAATGTTCAAGCAAATTTAAACAGGTTATCAAATGAATCGCGGTGAATGGGAACACATACAAATGTTCCAAAATCCTAACTTCTGACTTCTGACAAAAGACAGCGACGACGAACCAATCCAAAAATGTGAATTGTTTCAAAACAAACATCAAACAAATTGTCAAACAGAAATGCCTTGATGTTAAATTTGAATCGTTCAGTCTAAACCAACCACTGCTTGTAGAACTGATTCAAACTTACATGTATTTAATTTTGCGTTAGTACATTGTAAGTAGTGTGCGGAGTTGTGTATTGATGTTTATTCCTCAGTCACTGTGAAATTTGGTCCAGAGGCTTCTCGTGTCACCCCCCCCCCCAAAAAAAATGGGAAAAAATTCAAAAAATAACAAATTCAAATATGACACTGTGCCGTAAAACCACACTACATTTCTTTGTTTTTAACCAAATCGGGACATCAAGCTTCAGATGCAGAGATAGTACTTGGACCGAACAGTCCTGTTACGCCCAAACTATAGCGATAGTCGCATAGGCGTCGCCAGGATTTTTTCTAGAGGGGGCAAACATTTTTTTGTATTTCTCAACACATTCTCGATTTATCAGTTTTACAGGGGGGCAGGGACATTTTGCCCCCCCCCAACTCATTAAATTTACACCACTTTGTCTTCGCGCCTCTTTTTTTTTTTTTTTTTTTCTTCCTGGTTTTTTTTTGGGGGGGGGGGGGTTGCTTTTCCAGGGGGGGGGGGGAGGGGTGGGGGTGGGGGCAAGTGCCCCCCCCTTGCCCCCCCCCCCTCGCGACGCCCATGGATAGTCAAAACTATTAGTGTACATGTACATGCAGTTGGGATTATCAAACTATAGTGGGGACAAGCCCAATAACAGTTTGGATAAAACTGACACAAACTATAGCACGGACGACCACGTATATACATGTACCTTGACCACTTTGTTAGTTTTACAACTTTACATGATCATCGGTGTACTTTGTTCAGGGCAATTTTGTAGTAGCTACCTACTTCTCCTGATCAAAATAGTCGATAACCCAAGGTAATCAGCTGTGCAAATGTTACATTGCGAAATTTCTAGATTATAATTTGATCTTTGACCGAGTAAATTTGAGATAAAAAAAATGAAGAAGAAGAAAAAAAAAAAACCAGACAAAAACATTCAACATGATTTAAATGCGAGTATGTACACAAACGTGCATGTTGCAATACAGCAATACTGCATAGGGGAAACTTCAGACAATATCTGTTCGAAAAAAAAAAAAATTCTGACAAATTTGTTGTTGTGAGAACAGGTTAGCAAGAGAATTAACCCTCCCTCTCTCAGTGACAACATGGGGAGAGATTTCCAACTCCTCAAAATCTATCACGTGACAGGTCTTAACACTTCTGTAAATTGGGCTCATATTGGTACAATTGACAGGCTGTGGTAGTTTTGTTAACTGAGAGTACCATGCCTTGACTGACATTGATAGATGTGGTGGGTCAGCGCTGGTGAATGCCTATCAATGATGGATTTAATTCAGTAACAATGAATGCACAAACACTTCACTCTGTCTCATGCATATCCCAGCCAAACAAAGGCCTTCTAAGATGGCTGCTATGCAAATTGTAGCAGTATTCAACATGATCAAGGCCACCCTGTCTATCAAACCCCTTCATCCGGTTTTGACAGTTTAATGCAACTTTAACATTCAATTTCTAAACACTTCTTTGAATGAAAGTACAGATTCTTACTTTTCTGTCACGTCCCAACCATAGTTTGGGAAGTCCCAACTTTAGTAATAAGGAGATCCAGACTATAGTTTTGGATGCTGTAGTTGACCTTTGTGAGTAGATGTAAAAATTTAATTTCCAGTTTAATACTATTGAACTTGGTTTCATGTTAAAACTGAAGTTTATGGCTCACCTTCTGCATAACTCGTTTTTGCTCCTTCGATCGAATGACCGATGCAGAGAGCGGGACACCAGGAATCACAAGAGGTGTGCTGAGATCCTCCTCATCCCAAAAACGATCTTCCTGCTGACGACCTGGAGGCGATGAGCCCAACGACAACCAAATGGCAAACAGCATTGAGTAGAACATGAGAGCCATGCCAGCAAAGAACCCTGTCATGTAGCTGGAAAGGGGAAACTGGAAAGAAACAAACAGGCAGAGAGACAGGAGGGATAGAAGGAAAACTGGAGGAGCACTTGGTGACTTTGTAGTCTCCTCCTTTGCAGCCACTTCTTTGCTCTCTTTCTGGGTTTGTGGAGCTGCTTCTACAACCTCCTCTTTAGCAAATGGAGAGCTTGGACTTTTATTCTGGAGTTCGTTGTCTGTGACGGCTTCCTGTTTCCCACCATCTGGGCTGTCAAGAGTGGATCTTGAGCTCCGCGTCGACGTTGACGCTTCCTTTTCCTCCTCCCCGTTGTCGTCGTTTGACGTGGCAAGAAGTCCAGACAGGCTGAGGCTCATGTTCTTGGCAGGGACCTTTCTGTGTCTGACGTGAGGACTGCCTGATGGGACGGGTCGAGAGAAAACAGCTTCGTCAGGGAGGTCTGACGGGGCTGGGATGTTGTAGTAACAAGGGTCAATCTCTAGAGCATCTCCTGGCTCTTGTTTGCCCTTGTAGGCATCACTGTCTAAGCTCCGAGCTCGCTTGTGAGATGCTAAATTGGTCCTGTTGGCGTTCAGCTTATTCTGTTTTTGCTTCTCTCGTTCAGCCTCTTCCTCCAGGGCTTCTTTTTCGAGTTGCTCTTCCATCACCTTGTCCAAGAAACTCAGGGGATCTGTGGTTGCCTCCTCACAATCAGCCGGTAGGCTTGAAGCCTCGTCATCTTCTTTCAGTACGGTGTTCGGGACCTTCATCAAACCGGTGATGGAGGTAATCGGCTTGCCCGTCTTGGCTTCAGAAGAATCGGTGGATATTATCGTTTTCCTCTTCTCTGCTTCATTGGGCAAGGGAGGTGGAGGCTTTGCTTTCAGTTCCTGCTCTCTGACTTTGGCCACTGGTTTGTTCACTGGTGGCGAGTCCTCTCTACGTTTGCCGTAGTTAGCTTCCATGGACTGCATGATTGAATGCTTGAGCTGCTCTTGCCTGCTGGGATTAGCGTCCGTCTTGGCAAGATTTGGGACACCATCCAACGAAGATGATTTTGTAAGCGAAGCCCCACTCGGCGTTTTCCCTTTGGTGGTTATGAAGCTGATGCCCTTTTCACTGTTGTCGTTCAGATCATCGTCATCGTCGCTTCCCATCAGAGGATTGTACCTCAGTGAGATGGTTGTGGAAGGTAGAGGGCGCTTTTTGGATGCCAGGTTGGGGGCAGGGGGCCTTGGAGGTTTGGTCTTTTTGTCTGTCATTTTGACGACTGTTACGCTTCCCCTGGTTGCAAAAATGCAAAAAGGAAAATGTAGTCAAACACAATGCAAGTGGATGTACAAACATGGTAAATATACACCCAACTTGTGTTTTTAGATATTTAGCCGAAGCTGCAGCTTTCTTCAGTAAACGCTATTAAGCCGGCTAGATTACACAGCGCCCTACTTGACGCTTATACGAGTAGGCATGGTAGGCCAACATTATTAAACGTATTAAACTGCCACCATCGGTAGTGCAGAACCATTTGCCGAGTAGTTCATAGCGCATCTATCTTATGAGTGACAGATCCCTGGTTCAAACTCGGCTAGTATCCCCATTTTTTTCGTTTTTTTTCACATTTTTCCGAAATATAAGGATTTCGCATTTGCGAGGCTACCTGGATTCATCTTGGGTGAAATCACAAGGTGAGGTGAAAATTTATGTGTTTGGCGGCAGGTGAGTGGTGTCCTAGCTAGGATGATCCTTAGCGTTAAATGTTTATAATGCATAACAGTCATGACAGTGGTGTCCCAGAATGCCAGAATGGAATTCTTTTTTAAAAAATGTTGCGTGAATTTATGTTGTTAAAGGGAATATACATCATTTGCTTTTGCTGTAATTTTCAGAAATGGATGGAATTGGGGGTTGGAAATATAAAGCAAATATAGTTACACTGACTTTTTGGAGGTTTTGGGTTCGAAAATGCTATAAAAACCAAGAAAAACGATCATTTTCCTGTAGTCTGGTTCCCTGACTCCATATAAGAAGAAACAGAGCAGTTTATATACATTGGGGAATTGTAAGGTCAGGGAACCAGTCTAGCTGGCTCGTACCCGTTCATAGGTTTGTAATCGATTGCAAACAAGTGCAATGGTCAATTGGGGCCAGTATTTGAAAAAAAGCCAGTTGTTTCCAACGCTGATCGGCCGATCAGCGTTGGAAATTGATACAAAAATACCACTTTTCTTGAAAATGACAGTATACCAGGTGCCATAATTTTACAGGATGCTTTAGACTGTCATTTACCAACATCCTATTAAGGTATTTCGCAAAAACTTGGTAGTTTTATTTTTCGATGTTTGCAAATGTTGTATATTCCCTTTAAGTTTTTCCTTCCTGCATGGAGGAATGTCATTATGGTTTGAGATATATCGCAAAAAAAATTAAACAGAGTTTTAAAAGGTTAACTAGAACTTAAAATATGTAAATAACTCCTTTGTTGATACTGAACTTTCATGATCTACTTTGTACCTTACGTTAGATTGCATCATAGCTATTGCACATCTCTTTCAGAACCATGTCCTTTGCATAAACATAACGCTAGGATCATCCTAGCTAATTGCATCATAACAAAGGGAAGGGAAAGAATGTTGCATCCTGACGCCACTTCATAATCTCAATGCAGGTCAGTTTTTGCAAAAATGTTTAAAAGACATGAATCTGGGACTGAGGAACATTGCCAATTTTGTTAGAAAATACAAAAAGTGGCGCATGGATATTAATAGTATTACTACGCTAATTAAGAGATGCAACAAGTTAACGACTATCTTTTTTGTGAACCATACCATGGACAATGATGATGGCGCAACAAAAGATACTATTAATTTATAGTTATTAACTACGAAGTGGCTATCGTTACGGCAGTTTTTGTTTAGCGCCCTCTACGATACTTTTTTGATACACACGCAGGTATATAATTATTTGTTTCCACACGATTTAGCGATTAGTGCGACAGCTCAGTCGATAGAGGGTAGGATTTTGCACCGCGAAGTTGCGGGTTTGAATCTCTGTTTTGCACTCGAATTTTTTTCCTTTTTGTACCTGAGGCTTTGGAGGATTTTTTTTAAAAGGGAAATAAAGTCTGAATTTCATAACGTTCAAATTCACTTTTTTCCGTCTAATTTTATATGTTCTTGTCATGTTTTTAAAAAGATGTAGTCTACCGTAACGATAGAAAATGGGAAATGCGTTACGGCTGCCGTAACAATAGCCACTGCGTATTAACTAGTTTAGTAAACAAACACAAGCATGACAAGCCTTTAGGCAGCTGACGTCGCCACTTACCGTTTAGAAAGCAGATGAATCGCTGAATCACTTACGCATATCGGAAATCGTCAGCAAGTTAGTAATAACAAGGGCACATTTATACAGTCGGTGGCGTGGATAATCAGCTGATCTTTAGGTCACAGACTATTTATGTGACAAGAAAAGATTTTCATCATCAACCTTCAGCAGTCTAGCTCTGCTGTTTACATATAGTGCAAGCTCGAATACTATGGCTATTCAGAAAAAAAAATATTATTAGTTATATTTAAAATGATTATATTTCTCAATTAAAAATAAATTTAACGATTTAAGAAATTATTTTTTTTATGAATAAACTTACATTATTTGGTTAAATTCCTGTAATATAGACTGATTGAATTTTTCAATGATTGAACAGGTCGTTTAGCTGACCTTTTGTTACTAGTCTTGCACACAAGCACATTTTTGCTTTCAAAACATCATCCTGAATGACTGATTCTCAAAATACATTGTACCACTTTGCTCCCCTACTAAAAAAAAGAGATACTTTTCATTGATAAATTTACTTTAAGGATCAGAAAATGTTTTGAAATAGACAATTTTTTTAACATTTAATCGCAACTTGTCTACCGGCTTGATATTTTCAAAACCTCGGCTTCGTTTCAGCCTCGGTATCCTAGGATTGAAAAATCATAACTAGTTTAATGTCAGTTCTAAAATTGACCCCCTGAGGTGTTGCGGTTGATTTATTGGGAATTTAATAGGCATACTGAGAGCGCTCACACCTTGATAAGGTCCACCTTTTCTGGGTTTTTTTCGTGGTAATGGGAGAAAATAATCCATGATTGAACAGTAAGAAGCGTTCTCTCTCGTCTTCTTAAGTGTCAGTCTGCACAGCGCCCTCATTGGTTCGCATTGATGCATCTGCGATGGTCAACGTGTTTGTTAATTTACGGCTAAAGAACAAGAAACTAAATTTAGCCGTGATTGTTTACAAGCAACTTCACTGAATAATTTACAGATAAACAAATAGTTTTGAAGCAGTATAATGCGTGCCATACTTACGGTACGGAGTCCGAGAGGAGACGTGAACGCGGGATATTATCTCATGGATGAATCGAAAGTATATTCTTGTTCGTGTCAGTTTCTAGGCCCCGTAACCATTACTGATACATAACTGCTCAAACATTAAAATTGTCTACGAATTCATCGACTGAGATATTTGGAAACATTATTCAAGCTTGGATTTCTAAGCTTTTTCATGATCGCATATGGCCTATGTTGCCGCCGAGATATTGAACAGTCTTTAACATGAAAGACATTCTGTCTGTGATATTTTCAATGTTAACCCCTAAAAAAAAAATCAATTTTAATTTATACTTGCTATTTAATCATGTGCGCAACACACACAATTTATGCACGTTTGAATGAGGAATCTACAGAAACAAAATCAGCTCGCGTTAAAAAATAATTTCATTTTGAAATTACGAATAATTTTCAACTTTAAACGGATCTCCAGTTCTGTCATCGCTCGCGGCATGTGTCCCCCTTCCCCTGTGCCCCCACTCAAATTATAGGCAAAATTAGGTTTTTTAAAAATCTGTTAAGCCTTAAGGATGCATTGAGTACCCCCTCCAGAAAAAAAACTAGGGTTCCCCTTATAAGCTTGCAAATTGGACTCCAGTTCACGGGCGTCGCGGGGAAAAATCCTGTGTCCGTCGTCGTCAATGTGCCACCTATTGTCCGATAGTGCCATTGGTCGTCCAATTTGAATTATCAGCGCACCCTATAGAAATACAGCACCCGAGGCCTGCAGGTCAGTGACCGGTAAATCCTGTCTGCCTCCTTACCCTAAAGGGACCGGGCTATTTTGACCATCTCTCAGCCGGGGGGGGGGGGGGGGATTTCGCCCCCCTAAGATCTCGGCCATCGAGTGACGAAAAATTATGAAACTTGGTACATGCATAGAACAACTTTTTATGAACATACCCAAGAAATATCATGACTATAGGTCAAAGGATGTTGGAATTATGGCTAATTAATTATTCATATGCACGAATCGTAATTCTGCTCTGTGTACGGGGAAATTCAGTTTTCACGGTGCATAGCGCCGAAAAATGTTTGTGGTCCGATTTTTATGTTTTTGGTATCAAAAGATGCGCAAGACGTGAGGAAAAAAATGTCAGAACAGCTCGGGTCGCGAACATTTTTTTCAACGCTATCACGGAAAAAGTTGAGGGGGGGGGGGGCGGGGCGGATTCCCCCCGGCCCCTTTAGGGTTAAAGCATGGATGGTCTGTCTGCAAATTGTTTGTCATGCACCCCCATTCGAAGTGGTCTAGCGACGTTCCTGCCCCCCCCCCCCCCCCAGACCGTTGACATGAGCGTGAACTAGGTTTGGGGTTATCTTGAGGTTATTCTTATTGTCTGTTGGCCTTACTGAACTTCTTGGGCATTTTGTGCCTTTCTTGTCAATTTAAAATTGCTTTCTCACATAACTTAAGATATATTTCCATCGTAATGTTTACATGTCCTTGTGTGACTTTGCCCTATCACCTCAGAAGCGAACGCGATATCAATTTTCAAAAGGTTGTCTGGGGGCTGACACTAATGGCTTAGTTAATTATTTTTCGTGAAATTAGTAAGTAACCTGGCACTCGTGAGCACGACCAAGGCCGATCGATTTCCTCAGAAATGAAACTCAAGGATAGTATTATAAAGATTAGAATGAGGCAATGAAGGAAATGATCATAGTTTTATGGCAACCGTATAAAGGTGGTGACTATGTCTTACAAGGACGCTCTACTTTGAATTGTTGATGAAGAAAAGGAGGGAAAACCAATGAGGCAAAGGAGACACCTTCTGCGTCCATTAATTTCTATGGCAACTGTTGAAGAACTGGCAGTTTTATGCTCGGGATAGTTTCTTTTAACCTAGTTACGTCGGTATAATTATTTACAGTTGGTTATAGGTATATCTTTCGCATGAAAAAAAACACCAACATTATTTTGCTCTGCGCATAATTACCGCAGCGGGTATAATAGGTAAAGTAGTTTACTACAAAATGTCTCCCTAATTTACCATTTAATGTCGTAGTGCTGAGGGCAACTCTTCTTTGAGAGATAACAAAACGATATGCTTGGGTATTGAGACATTTCAATAGTTTAATGGTAGCCATTTTATTAATTGAGGAAAATATTCAATCTTTTCTTTTATGTCCCAGAAATGAGACTCTTGCAGGAATATCATTCTACAAACAAAAGTATAAACAGTACTGTATAGTTTCGACGTCGGGGCTTTGTTGGTTGAGAATTAGAAAGACTTTGTGATGAGGATTGTATGCATCATTTAAATCGATTTTGACTTACAGGCCCGCCTTCGATGTAAGCTTGAGCAAAAACTTGTGATTCAATTCATAAGCACACTCAGAGTACAAGAAGTTGGCCGAATTTTTGTTTTTACAGAGGTCACTTCTCACGGTGTTTCTGTTTTAATTTGTTTTTTTTGTCACTTGTACATCAACAGTATACGCAAACGTAAGCTACAAACATAATACATTTTACGTTGCTTTTGTTTTTGCATAATAAGCGCATAAACTTCATAAACTGTGACATGGTGCCTCGATGACGTCGAAGCAACAGCGCCCTCACGTTTTTAAAAACAACCAACCAAACAAACACGATGAAAACAAATGTATACAAAAAGTAACCTATTATGCAAGTTATCCTACATTTAAATTTAAAAGCCACTTTTTACTCCACTACCGCGGGGCTTCGTTTTTTGGCTATGCATTTATTTTGGAAAAAAAAAAGGTTTGTACCCTAATTTAATCTAAGTTCACTTAAACTTTTTATTTTCAATTTGTATTTTCGTTTGCTTGCCTATGCAATAAGTCCCCATTTATCTTTTCTCTGCCTAATAATTTTGATTCAGTACAAATGTCAAACCAGTTTCAAAGAAATATGACCAAGTGAATAACAAGTCCCGTGTGAATCAGATACCGGTACTGTTAAGGGATGATGAGCTTTCGAAATCAGAGATTTCCAATAATAATATGATATCGACTATTCCAGAGCTTTTTTTTAAATTTTTTTTTTAATAAACTGACACTCAGTTTTTTGCAAACGCTACCAGAAAATGTAAACGAATAATGCGGATCACGTGCCCTTCAAAAACCACAAACTTTAGTCGTACTCGTCTCAATAATAACAATAATAATCGGCATTTAAGAACGCTCTTATTAGTAAACTAAATCACAGCGCTTACAGTATTATTATTACCCCTGATCATTGGGCCAACTTAAACATTCCAAATACCATCTCAGCTCCCTGGGGAGTATACAGCTGGATGCTGCCTGTTAGGCGCAAGCTAGCTTATTCAATCACAATAACCATCTCTGCCCTCACAGGTACCCATTTACTCCTGGGTGGGGAGATGCAATGAGTGACAAAGTGCCTTGCTCAAGGGCACACGCACCGCACCGCAGCTTTACCCACAGACCACGAATCCAGCGCCCTTAACCATGAGGCCACTTAGGCCAACAAAAAAGTCTCCCGTTTCTGGTATGGAGCTTGCCCAAAAAGTGGTGCGGCGACGCGGCTTTTTTTTTTTTTTTACCTGATTTTTTTGCTTCAAATCATTGAAATGTCGGCTGATGACTGCAAATGGTGCCCGACTAAACTAAGTGCAAATAGATGGGAGTCCAGAGAGGCCACATAAAGCTTATTCTCGACCATAACCCAATCTAAAAACACGTTAAAATTGTACAGCAGCAGGATTCCAGTCAAACCAGTGAATTTGGCGGTTTTGAGACATCATCTTTCATTGAAAAAAAAAACTTTTTCATTTTGCCCACGCGCATGGCTACGGCGACGCGCGCGCATACCAGAAACCGGAGACTTTTTTTTTAGCCTTAACCAGTGCCCTTAACCACGAGGCCACAGCACTCCACAATTACCTTAATTGTCTCTCCCCGTTGCAAGCGTTCAGCAAATATAGTTCTTTAATGGTATTAACATATTATTACACTTATTTATTGATTTTTTAAATAACTAATAAGCTACCAATGATACTGGTACCAAAAATCTACAAATGATGGCTTTTTTTTGCTATCGACTTGCTTTAGAATATAAAATTATTTGCAGGTATCCCAAAAAATGCGTAAACCTACCAGATTATTATCAAAACGCTTAATATGTGGATTATGTATTAAACACCCCGCGAAATCGT